GAATGCGACGCCATACCAACGACACTCGATTCTTCTGATCCTCTACGCTACTGGCCCAAGAGCCTTTGCCCACGACTTTGTACGCCGGCACGTTGGTCTGCTAGAATACTATGACATGACCCCGGCAAACTCCTGGCTTCTTCGAACCATTGCCCGGTCGGAACCAGGGTTTCGATCTAAGTTGGTCTGCGAACAACAAGAACTATGCGGTCAACCTAATGGCAACAGCCGCAAGAAAACTGGACCAGACATCTGTCTACAGACGCAGTTGAAAGATATGCGCGAGGCTGATGCCGAAGAGAGAGACCTCTATTTATCAACTCTGTGTGCGGGAGGACCTGCCGCAGAACTTGACGCCCTCCTATGGTATCCAGGCGAGCTCCCTGAACTTAACCCCAAGCACGAGGGTGGCAGGTTCCTTCGGCGGTATCTTGAGATATCTGCCGCCTTCGGGAACAGTCCTGTCTTCAGACGTTTGATTCAGGCCGGTGCTGACACTACCAGCCGTCAATACCACCTATGGAATGTAATAACAGGGCATTACAACGTGAATTGCTATTTCAACACCTCCGGTGACCAGATAAAATTACGATCTGACATGGCGGAGATGCTCTTACCAGATGCTTCGCCGTCGCTTGCTTCGTGTTTGACGCCTTTAATGCCCTACCTGATGGTCCCAGACACCTCACGAGCCAGTTACTGGCTATCGCACGACCCGACTAGCACCCCAAGGACACCTACAGCGTGGATGCACTGTGGATTAGCAATGAGATACACACGCTACTGCAACATCCGATTGTATGGCCCTTTTCCAGCCGAAGATAATATTCCAAGACTTTTGGTGGCAGAGGGTCTTCCAAGGAGGGCAGCATCAGCGGCTCTGTTGGGTGCAGCTGTTCTTCACAGAGACCAAACTATCCTCGCAACAGTATTAAGCGAGAATAGTGAGTTGGAGTGGGAGGACGACAATGGTTTGACTCCACTAATGATGGCCATTATCTTGCGATCCTTTGAATCTGCAAGGAAATTGCTGCTGCACGGCGCTGATGCAGAACGTATCAACTCCCATGGATTCTCAGCCAGACAGTTGATCTTCAAGTTGAGAGATCTGTGTGAGGAACATGAGGAAGTAAGTCCAATCTACCGAAGACGAAGGGACACTCGGCTAAGAATACAGGAATATATGCAATCTCTGCGCGAGGAACTTTGTGAGGATGTGAGCTTTTTCATGCACACTGTCTTCCCCTCAAAGAGAGATTACAGAGGCACCTTCGAGGAGTTCAATGATGCAATTGATTTGCTGGGGTTCGACGACAAGGACGAGCAAACACAAGTTGATGCGACTACCCAGGACATTCCACAAAGACTGGGCAAGCTTTACCTTCTTTCCGACCAGACTCATGTACTAATTCGTGCTCAGAAGCTATGAATGTAGCATCGGACTTTCCACCCATGACGATACATGTTCTGGTCATCTTTGGGTACCTTGCTTGCATTCTCGCCCACATGGGCTACGACACCTGGGACACCCTCGACTGGATCTTGCAGCTACCTCCCTCGATGCTGAGACTAGCGGGCTTGTCGCTTCTGGCGGTGCTCTGCGTTTGGCTGTGGACAATGATGGTCAGATATTGGTGTTCGTTGACGCCCATCTTTGCCATTGCTGTGGGCACGGTGATGTTTATCTGCACGAAATTTCGCTCGAGCTTTGGATTCTGTCTTCTCAGCAGAAAATCCTAGATGATCGAGGGTCACAATAGCTCTCGGAAAGGCCTCGAATGCTTCCCGTCCTGCGGGCGTCACTGAGGTGTTCATAGTCCTGGGGCTCGTCCATCTCAAAGCATGCCAGCGCTCAGGTTTGTCGCACTGTGCGTTAGGTTGTGGCTCAACAACCATGTACCGGCGTGCTTCATTCGATACGCCCAGCTCAGGCTTCCTCAGCTTCTCCTCCTCCTAGTGGTCGCTTGATTACCCCAGCATGTCAGTCTTGTGTTAACTTTCCTGGTACACGCGCAGTGGGCCTGAGCTGCAAGGCTGCGATACCCCATGTCCATGTTAACAGCAGCTTGACTTCCCTTTGCACGCGCCAGGGAGCCGAGACCCGCGACAATCGAAGATGCTCCCAGGTTCGCTACCCAGACTGCCGAGGCATGGCGAGGCGACGATGATGTCTTTGAAGTAAGGCCACCCACAGCGAAAGCACCCGGTTGAAGCCACTCATTGACTGGTGGCAGCAGTGCTCCAGTCACTGTCCTGCGGGGTAGTTCAGCCTGCAATCGAAGGGCCTGACAGATGCATGTATCTCGTATATCTCGCTTACAATTGGGTAGCCGATAGGGCTACTCGCGAACCCTCGTTCAGTGACATGGTTTACGGTAAAGGGACCAACACTAGCTCGACACAAATACAAGGACTTGTAAAGCCGGACGCTGCCAAAGACGAAAATCCTTCAATGACCAGTTATATATCGTTGAGGTTCCTTGTGCTGCCTGAGGTATTCCAACTTGAGGCAGGATAACCACCTATACATACACAACTTGGATACATCCACACCTGGAGTTGGGTCCATTTTCTCTTCGCCTGAAAGTGTTCCAACGCAACTGGAACTCCCCGAGGTCTGAGATCCAACAGCAAGGATGGTAGTGTCAGCGAAGATGCCAACTCTCATGTCTGTCATCGACCTGCGGAGCCCTGCCACTGGGGTTGAACAATGTTCTCATCCACGAACCAGGAAACGAAGATGGCACTCCAAAGTCTTGACTGGCTGTCTTCGATGCAAGCAGAGGCGAATCAAATGCAGCGAGGAGCGGCCGCACTGTGCTCGATGCAGCAGAACGGGTCTACCGTGTCCAGGTTACAAGGTCCCTGTGGCCCGCGTCTTCGAGTATCGACCGCCGCCCGTCCTCCACTTCGATTGCGAGTTGGACAAAACAAGATACGAGTACTTTGTCCAAGTTGGGAGTAAGATTTTGGCGACATTCCAGCTCAACTCGATGCCCTTCTGGACACGCCTCGCGCCCCAGCTAGGTCTTCGCCATGACGCTGTTCGACACGGCTTGACTGCCCTGGGTGCTCTCCAAGCTCCCTTCCACAATATCACATTGGCGGCTGAAATGCAAGCACAACCACGTCCCGAGATCTCGGCGCTGGCCATGTCACATACGCACAAGGCAATGCGCCTGATTCGGACTGCTGATCCAGCAACATTGCCGATTGAAGTCTCGTTGACCTGTTGTTTGTTGTTTCTGGCCATGCAGTTCTGGATCGAGAAGACGTCTTCAGCCACCATGCACATCATGGCGGCGTACCGCATCCTGCAAGAGAGATTTGGCACCGACGCATCTTCATGGGTCAGTTCTCGGGACATGCCCAGCGATTTCGCTACTATGTTTATTCCGTCGCTCGACGAGCTCATCAACCATGCCTGCACGTTTTCGGACGACTTTCCCCCGCTTAGGTCAGGGATCCCGGAAAACTATCATCTCGACTACGATGTGGATCAGATATCCAACATTTCACATGCGAGTGGTGCTCTCGATGCGGTCGACCGGCTGCTTAAATGTGTTTTGCGAGGAAGCTCGACGCCTGGAACGTCACAGTCCCTTGAAAAGAAGATTGTTCTGGCATTCGACAGCCTGGATCGCAAACTCCAGGTCCTGCACCACACGAATGTGCTCTCAGAAGATGGGTTTGATTATGTCCACCTCTGCCTTCACCTCCGAGTGGCCAACGTTATGTTTTGGACGCTTGGACTGCCTGACGAGGCAGGATTTGACGCATTTCACGTCGACTTTGAGTTCATCGTGAGCTGTTGCAGGAAAATCATACATCTGAACGCTGCTGGTCCTCGAAGAAAGCAGAGCGTCTTGAGTCCGAGTCTCGGGGTCTTATCGCCTTTGTTCTTCGTGGCAACTCGGTGTCGAGAATCGAGGTTGCGCCACGAAGCGCTTAGCCTCCTGCACGAAGCGGGTGTAAGTGAGAGGGGATGGACAAGCTGCATGGCCTTTGCCATTGCTCGTTTCGTGGTCCATGAGGAAGAGCGTGGAATCCATGATCTCCTTGTTGGAGCAAAGGCCGTAGATCAGACCCATCACCGGCTGAGATTGCACGATATCCAGGTCGATACTCCATCGAGAACAGCACACATCACATACTTTGTCTTCGAGCAGAGCCACCAACACAGAGCCTCCCACCCTCTTGAAATCCTTGCTCCCAAACCCGGGCTGAACAGTATCATTCGGTGCAAGGCAAGCATACCTTACCCGTCACACCCATCAGTCGAGATTGACGGTGTGACCTGCCAGATGCCTCGGAAAGTATTTCAGGCCTGCGGATACTCGAGCATAACACTCTTCAGGCAGCGGTTGGGATGTCATTGTCCGCGCGAAGAACGACTGGATGTAAGAGCGTGTCGAAAGGGGTCTGGCGTGACCTTCAGCGGGGGAAAGTCAACGTGTCCAGGATGGAGTTGAGGACATTTCTGGTGGGTCCTGGTCACAGAAACACGCCTTGGAACGGGAGTAAGCACCAGATATTCAGATTCAGCGCGCGTATAAGGATGTTCGCTATAATTGCTGAGAGCAGGCCGTGTCCAATATGACACAAATCCATTGAGATTGGTTGTGCTTGGTACCTGCCAGGCACCCAGGCAACAGGTTAGGTAGAGGGCAAGGGGGGTAAGGGGATATTTAACTATGGAAGGTTTACCGAGTCTTGTATCCGGACCAACCTTAATCCGACCTGACTACCTCATGTTCCGACACTTTGTTCCGACACTTGATTAAGCTGATGTCGCACCTTGTCATCACTGAACGCTGCTTGGCTAAAGTGCCAGTTTTGACGGTGAAGAGTGCTGCTGCTGGACGAAACCCGCAAAAGTATCATGACCGAGGTTTGATAACGGCACAGAACACGACGAGATCGAGGCATATAACGTCCTGAATTCAGCGAACCTTTGGTTTCCCCGTCTCACTCTCTACATCAACCCGACTGGAAACAAAATGGCGTCGGGCCCTCATACCTTTGTGACCATGGTGGTATGTCTCATTTTCACGCTCTGCGGAATATTCTCGTTTTTATTGACCACTTCGCTGCATTTGCTGCTGCGGTCAAGATGGCACGGAAGGGCAACGTGGGATGAGTTTCCCAACTCGAGCACTCCATGTTTCTCGTGTACTCGTCCTTCTTCCAGACCCGATATTGCTGTGCTAGTCCTGATTTTCAGATCATGCACCGAATGGCGCTTGATACTTTCGCGATTCGAATGTTTCTCATCTTGCAAAGTCCTTTGTCCGCGCTACTTTTGCTGTCACAGCGTTAGGAGACCCTCGAATATTGACGGGATACCGTCTACTTTCTAGGTCTTTTCCCCTGAGAAATTCCAGGGAAACCCCTTGGCCGTCGTTTCCGTGCATGGGAACGCGCTCTCCCAAAAACGCAAGGCCCAGATCGCAAGGGAGTTCAGGTTCTCCGAGACGGCCTTTTTGCATGATGCTCCAGGTCCCGGTCAACCCCGGCTACTGGAGATCTTCTCGGAGACTGGGGAGGAGTTGCCTTTTGCCGGTCATCCTGTAAGTCTCGCAACACGGAGAGATGTGGCGTCGGTTGGTGAAGATGGGATCGGACTGACACAACTTACCAGGTCATCGGAGCAGCGTATTATGTACGTTCACTATGGTCCTTCACCGAGTGTGAGAAGTGCTAATCTTACCCCATCAGATATTCAGCTATCTCGAGAGAATGCACTACGGCGGGCCGGCCGATCGAGACACTCAAAAGCAGACCGCCGTGCTGCTGACAAAGGCCGGTCGCATACCCATCTTTTTCAATCCTTACCGTCAAGTGGCTGCCTGCGCAGTCCCCTTCAACTTCCACATTCACGCCCATCGCGTTCCGATCAACAATATCATCTCCACACAGCCGCATATTCAAATCGTCCCGACAATCGACAAGGAAAGGGACAAGACCTTTCCTCTGGTCTCGATTGTCAAGGGCATGTCCTTTGTCCTCGTCGACCTCTCTGACAATGCCGAGATTTTTGGCGCCTTGCAGGCAGCCAAGTCGCCAGAGGCGGAGCTGGATACTAAGTGGTCACCGAGTTTCGTGGGATGTATGTATTATAGAGTCCTCGCAAAGTCGGAACAGCCTGGGGAACCAGCTATCCACAACATCCAAGCAAGGATGATTTCTCACGGCATTGAGGATCCGGGGACTGGGAGTGCGTGTTGCGCTCTGGCTTGTTATCTGGCCTTGGGCAGCCCAGGCCCAGGCGCTTCATCGGAGCCGGAAAAACCTGCGGAGGAGGCAGCGGGCAACGGAAAAGACGATGCCGAAATCGCAAAGAAAACAGAGGAACTGAAGCTGGGAGAGGCAAAGACTGAGAGGAAAGTATTTGGCATCCAACAGGGAGTAGAAATGGGGAGGCTGAGCACCATCGCAGTCGAGGTGGACGTCAAGACCAATGCGCAAGGGAAGAAGAGCATCGCGAATGTGATTCTATCGGGCAGGGCGAATTTGCATCTGAAAGGGGAAATTCTGGGTTTCTAATCTTTGTCGAGCACAAGCCATGGCACGGTGCACCGACTAGTGACAGGAGGGAAGGGGGTCTGCGCGCCTGGAGAACCGAGTTTTAGATTTCTCCTGGCGAGGTTGAAGTCGGATAGTGTCGACGCCGAGGGTGAGCCAGCATGCCTTGCGCGGGTCGCCCAGATCCGTCTACGGAGCGAAGATGGTTCCGCCCACGTTGCAACGTTAATTGACAAGCTTTACGTGGCTCAAATTATTGTGTAACGTGGGACTGAATACTGGTACTCCGTCCTTGCTTCATCTGAACAGGGTGAAGCTCTCGCTTCAGCCCTTGACGCAATCATGGGGTGGAGGACAGAAGGCGCTTCGATGGCCGTTTTCCGTGCTCTTACGAGGTACGAGGTAAGCCCTGAGGAGAACGGCCGCATCTAAGCCTTTTTCCCTCGGGGTTAACTCACTAAGGGGAAAATGGTCGAACGCTGGTTGAGGCGCTCGAACCAAGGAGCGCTTCAAGCTGAGTCCGGAGAGTGGGCGATTCGGTAATCGGCACAAGCAAAGCTTGACCAAAGCTTGAGTGCGAGCCCCAGCAGTGTGACTGGCAGGGGGGAATTTTCTCACGATCGTGGAGTAAGTACTCCGTAAAGGCTAAGAGATGGCCAGCCATGGTGCTTGTCAAAATGAATTATTTTTAGGAGGGTGGGAAGAACGTGGTCTGGGCGGTTGCAGATGGCAAAATCGGGAAGGTACGAGACCCTCTTAGCGGAGGGGGCGGAGGGTGAAGTGGAGGTCTTCATTACAGTTCAACCAAGGTACTAAAGGTACTAGAAGAAAGGCGGACATTGCAGGAGGAGGTTTGTGTTTTTGCTACTCAACCTCGCAGACCCGTAATATGGAGGTTGGAGGAGGGATTACTGGGAGGCAATATGACGTCGTCAGGAGAAGGGCAGGAGGTTCTAGTGATTCACCAAGACACGCTAAACGCGGCTGGTGGTGGTTTAGCAGAAATCTCAGCCCAAATACGGCTAGCATACATGAACGGTGGAACCTTGCTAAGACCTCAAACTACCAATTGGGTGGCCTCACTCCAGGCTTCGCTACAGCCGCCCGTTTCAGACACGCCTGTTTCCCTGGGTTCTCCGACACGTCTCGAAACTCTCTCAGCTTCACCTTGGTCCCCTCTCCATTCTCCCTTCTTGCCCGTCCTGTCTCGCCTCTAGGTGAGCTAATTGTGTTTCTAAAACATTGGCAATGCTTGATCGCCCTCGCAACCACGCTGCGGCGCCATGTTGCGACCAACCTGTAACCTTCGAGGCTGGCACTATGCCCTCCCTGACCTGACGCACGGGGACACCTAGAGAGCCTCTTCTGTGTCATCTTCCATCCTGGAAACATTTGCAGCCTCAGACGAAATCACCATGGACCACACACCCATCTTGCCCCCCAACGACGTTACGGTCCGAAGAGACCTGAGACCTGTGCCAAGCAGAATGCATAAGAGGTCGGTTTTTCCTTCGCATCAATGTGTTACTTCTCTCCATCGTGGCAGTGCCTCTACATTCCTTTCGCAGCAATTGAATTGCGACCGTTCCAAGCAGCTTTTTTTGTTCTCTTCCAACGTACACTCCTTTTTTTTCTGGTTCAGACCGCGTTGACCGCGAAGTCTCTCGTTCGATTGCTATCCCTCTGAAAAACACATCTTTTTTGATCCCGCACTCCCAAGTCCAAATTCCCAAAGGAAAGGCTTGTTTGATATCACCAAACTCCGAACCGACACAATGAAGACATCTCAACTTTTGACCTTGGCAATTGCCACTTTCGGCCTCACGACAGGCGCCGTTGCCCAGCGAAACCGTGGTGGAAACAATGGCGGGAATGCCGGAGCTGCAACTACAACCAACGCAAACGCCGCGGCTTCTACCACTGCTGCGGCTGCAGGAGGCAACAATGGCAATAACGGCAACAACAATGCTGGTGGCAATGCAGGTGGCAATGCGGGTGGTAACGCTGGCGGCAATGCGGGCGGCAACGGTGGTGGTGACGATCTTACCTTGCTCGCGAGCAACGTCCAAGCTGCTAGCAACTTCATCGGCAACCCCAATGCTCAACAAGCCAACTCCGATACGTATGTGTTTTGCGTGATTCTCATTCTTGATCACTGAAGTGACTAACTCCCTCTAGTGATCCGGCCAACTTCATCAACTTCTGCACAGGCAAGACTTTGACCAATGGAACTCAGAACACCGCCGGGTCGTGTAACGGTGTGGTCATGGGTGACATTCCTTCCAACAACAATATGGTCTCGGCCATTGTCATCTTCCCTGGCCCTGGAGACGACTTGACCCCCAACCAATCCTTCGACATTCAAGTCCAATTGACCAACTTGGTCGCCGGTTCCTTCACCGATCCCCTCACCACTTACTATGCTGCTCCTCAAGAACTGCAAGGCGGCAACATTGTTGGCCATTGCCACGTCACTGTCCAGGATCTCGGCGACAGTCTGGCTCCCACCAATGCCCCGGACCCGAAAACCTTTGCCTTCTTCAAGGGTATCAATGACGATGGCAATGGAAGAGGTCTTCTTTCGGCCACCGTTGACGCTGGCCTTCCTGCTGGGTTCTACCGTATCTGTACAATGAACAGCGCATCTAACCACCAGCCTGTCCTTATGCCGGTAAGTTCTGAACACTACGCTTCTCCTTATAGAGAAGCAAAAGCTAACTGGAATTAGGTTGCTCAACGAGGTGCTCAAGACGATTGCCAGAAGTTCACCGTCGGCCAAGGCAACGGCAATGCGGGCGGAAATGCAGGTGGCAACGCTGGTGGAAATGCCGGTGGAAATGCAGGCGGCAATGCAGGTGGTAACGCCGGCGGTAACGCTGGTGGCAACGCCGGTGGCAACGCAGCCAGCTCTACCACTGCTGCTGCTGCTGCGACAAGCACCGCTGCTGCAGGCGGAAACGGAAACGGCAACGGTAACGGCAACGGCAACGGAAACGGCGCTGGCAATGGCGCTGGAAACGGTGCAGCTGCCACCACGTCGGCCGCTTCTTCTATTGAAACCGGTGCAACTGGCTCGAACTCTACGACTGGAGGAAACACCGGATCTGGCCGTGGGGGCAGATTTGGCGGTGGCCGTGGCCGCTACGGCCGTGGACGTGGACGATTTGCCGCTCGAGACCTCATTGCATGAATGTGATTCTGTCAATGTGTGATGACGCCAGAAAAACACCGAACCAAAAAGGGAGGAACAGGTTTGTTATCTTGATCGTTCCCACATGACGCAGCATTTTTATCTCTTTACTTTCTTTTCTATGTCATAGAGTGTATAACCAGAATCCGTCTTTCTGCTTTGGGGAGAAGGGTCAGCAGACGCCAGGAGTCGGTGAAGTGTGTTGTGGCGGGAATGACGAGCGAGAAGGCAACAGAGCAAAGGAGAAGCAAAAAGTCGTTTCAGTGCGAGCGACCACGGAACTCTGATTTGGAGGCGGGCGTGCGGGATCGAGCAAGGCTCGCCAGGAAAATTACCCTTGTGCATTGTGGATAGCGGACTAGCCAGCAAGCTGAATTGAATCGGGAGACTCAGACCAGAACAAACCAGGACTCGTAATTCTTTCATTCATTCCATGGTCGCCGGCAAAAAGGGGGCCAAAGGACCTACCCGTACGAGTACGAGGTATACTTCGTGTGGTCGAGGTCCAGACTGGTTCCTCAGAAGCTCGCTTTCAAACCCCCGGCCAGCTCTCGCCCAATCGATCCATGTGACGCGGTCGCTCGACCCCTTGAAACACCAACCAGATCCTACAAGGAGGTCGAGTTCGTCTCAGAACACAGTCCAGTCATTTCGGCTCTGAGTGTCTCCGGTCTCGTCGTCCAAGAGTCCAGATGGTTTTAGTAGTCGAGTCTGCCGCACTTGTTTTTGCAACTCTTTGTACCCGTCAATCGATCGTCGCCGTTGAGGGTCACAATGACCGTGTCAAGGCAGAGTCCGGACATGGTTGGCCCATGCGGTATGCAACGGCGCTGAGACGTGTGAGAGTGATCGACAGCACATCTTGTTGCAAAGGTGAGGAACATGCCATAATTCTTCTAGTTGGTGAACATGATGCTCCAGTGAGTGACACGTCGATGGCCTGGCAGCCTGGCAGCTGCCTGGACAAGTCATGATGATGAGGTACAGTATATGGTCTTGTGATCAACCGTACTGACTGCGCGACTAACAAAACGGTCGAACGTACCACAACCTCCACCTGACGTCATTGGTTTGGTCGCTTGGTCGCCCATTATATCCTTGGGGCACAATTGGCACAACTGACTGACTCGTCAAGGTCGTGTCACCAACCACTGTGATTCCCATGTTCAATCTTGGTGTCTTGAAATCCTCTTGCTTGCTACTCGCTGCCTGAAGCACCCCAGATGCACACCGAGCACCGAGACCCGCATCCCCGCATCGACCAGTCGTCGAATTGCGGAGTTGCTTGGGGCTGGACGTCTTCGCAGAGTCTGTCAACTTGACAGACTAGTTCCGAGGTTTGAAGTCGGTAGGACTGTTTGAGCAAGGCGGCGAACGTGGAGAGCATCCTTCGTACACTGGGTGACTCGGTGGTGTCGACAACGAACCCCCGCCAGTCTTCTCGATGGGCACCTTGTCTACATATGGTCAGCATTTATCTGACCTTTGCCAGAGGGCAAATGCTCCTTTCCAGGAGGGTATCTCCCTTGAGACCCCGGGCTCCATTCATCTGATAGGAATTACACAGCCATGATCCTCTCCTTGAGCCAGATCGCTGCAGTGGGCACTGTGCTGGGGGTGGTGTCCCATCTGACATACTTCATCCATGGGGAGCACCATCGTCAAGCATTTCAATATTTTGTGGCCTTTGTGACGTTTCCTATCATCGCCACCGTAGCGCAGCTCACCTTTGGGGTCCCTGTGGTGTTGGCTCTCCAGCAGACGGCCGTCCTCTACACCACCTACCTGACCGGATTATACTCGAGCCTGTTCCTCTACCGAGCTTTCTTCCACCGGCTGCGCTCTTTTCCCGGCCCGTTTGGCGCAAAGATATCGAAACTATGGCACGTGTGGAAGGTGGCTCCGCACGTTGACAACTACAAGCATCTGACCAGAATGCACGAGAAATACGGGACCTTTGTTCGCACGGGTTCGTGGCAAAAACCTGTGGGAGGTCGTCACCTGTTTGCTGATTTGATGTTCTCAGGGCCCAATGAAATCTCCACGATCCATCCCGATGCGGTCGAAGTCCTCTATGGAGCATCCTCCAAATGCACCAAAACCGCTTGGTACGAGGGCAATTCTGAGTTGACCTCGATGCATTCAACCCGGTCAAGACAATATCATGACCTCCGACGGAAAGCCTGGGCTCGAGGATTCACTCAAAACTGTAAGGAAGTGCTTGTGGGTGTTACGCTTCTCTGACTAAACGTATCCCAGCACTACGAGAATACGAACCTCGCGTCGAACGGTACACCCAAAGCCTCGTCGAACAGATCCGCGCCTTTTCTGGGCAGCCTGTCAACGCCGCACAGTGGTTCAACTACTACAGCTTCGATGTCATGGGAGATCTGGCCTACGCCAAAGACTTTGACATGCTCAAGAGTGGGCAGAAGCACTGGGCCATAGAGATCCTCAACGCTGGGCAGCGCGGGATTGGAATCTTCGGACCTGTGCCATGGCTGTTCCTCATCCTCGAGAAGTTCCCACCGATCACCAAAGAGTTCCGAAAGTTTATTAAATTCTGCGAAGATATGATGGAGGAAAGAATGAAGATGAAGGTCGGCAAACCAGACATATCATCCTGGATCTTGCAGTCTCCTCCCATGACGGGCACCGGCTACAGCGAACGTGCCTGGCTCACTGGCGATTCACGGCTCATCATTGTGGCGGGAAGTGACACGACTGCAGCAACGTTGACCCATCTTTTCTTCCATCTGGCCAAAGATCAATCTCAAATCGACCGCTTGCGGGAAGAGATTCAGTCCTTGAAAGGCGACCTCCAAGCCTCGAAGTTACTCACCCTCAAGCATTTGAACGGTGCAATCAATGAGGCGCTCAGGCTTCATCCACCTGTCCCCGGTGGTGTCACCCGGCTAACGCCAGCCGAAGGCGTTACCGTGGGAGGCACGTATATTCCTGGTAACGTCAATGTGTGGGCGCCATTATATCCTTTGTTCCGATGTGAGTTGACCTCCTCTGAATGTGTGAGACCGGCGCTGAAAATGAATTCCCTAGCTCCAGAATGCTATGTACATCCGGACGACTTCATTCCCGAACGATGGTAAGAGCGGCCAAAGATGCTGGCAAGACACTTGACTAATGTCGTCACCAGGTATAGCAAGCCAGAATTGCTCAAGCGCGGCGACTCATTTGCCCCCTTCCTCATTGGTGAGCATGATGCCTGTTCTCATTCTTAATGCATCTGAATTGACATGTTCTCTCTAGGACCGTATTCATGTATCGGCAAACAGCTTGCTTTGATGGAAATCCGCTCAGTGACCGCTCAGATCCTGTTGAATTTCGACGTCGCATTCGGACCTGGCGAGGACGGAACCGCGCTGCTTGAGAAGACGCTGGATACTTTTACTCTGGAGCTGGCGCCCTTGAGTCTGTGCTTCACCCCGCGTAAGCAGGAGGTTGAAGCTTGAAGAGACGGGTAGTCTGGATCGTGTCAGGACCGGAAGATTGCTGCCACGTCGGACCTGTATTCTCCAGAAATTGGAAGGTTTTTTCATGAAGATATGATGATGTATCCGATTTCTTCAGTCAGACTTGGGATGGGTCCGTACAATTGACGAATGCCGTACTGATCGATGCCTACCATATGTGTGTTGGTCGCCTCAACGAGTGAGACCTTCCCAACCTAGCCCTGCGCATTGCAAGATTGAGGCGATCATCGAGGGATTTATCAGCATTGATTAGAAAATCCGAGTGTTGTCCCTTTGTTAAAAATGAACCTTCAGCGGTCCAAGGCGCGTGGTGGTGAAGCTCCAGGCACCGCCAGGCAGAAAGACGGAGAATACGAAGGTGCAGGGGATTGAGAGGCACGCACGCCAGATCAGCTGACGGCGCGTTTTGTAGATCTCGAGCGTCTACCAGTAGTACCAGGCACAGTTTCGTCAGAAAAGACCCTGAGCCAGTGCGGGAAGGGAGGGGAATGAGAGGAGCGCTTCGTTCGTATCGCGGACAATATAATACGTCGGCAACGGGGCAATTCAGCCCAAGTGCCTGGGATGCATGTATTTGCGTGCCGCTGTATACGACGACCAGGGATTAGTTGGTCAAGAGAAAAAGGGTGGAAGGGTGCCAGGGGGATTGAATATAAAGAGCTGAGGTGGTTGAGTTCTGCTTCTGTGACCTTCTCTTCAGCGAACAAAGTGTGAGGACAGCAACTCATCTCTCTCGTCCACAAGCCTCAGACCAGTCTCTGCCATTACTCACTGCAGAAACGCACATCGTGTTGGAAAACCCCCCCAAAAGTCTCGCCAGTAGAAGAGAAGATCAAAATGGCTAAGGTCAAGGTGATTGCCCTCCCTTCTGCTCTCTTCCTCTCCCCAGACTCCCAACTGGTTTGTTCGTTGCTAACCTCCCATTACCTTCAAAGATCGTCTCGCAGGCTGAATACCTTCCTCTCCGCTTGTCCCTCCTTGAGGCCGAAAAGGAGAACACCAGGGCCCGCGACAAGCTCGCTCGCCAACGCCGAGCTCTCCCTGTGGTCGAGGTGACGACCCCGTACAGCTTCACCAGCGAGGATGGGAAGGAGGTCAGCCTCGCAGACCTTTTTGACGGACGACCGCAGCTCATCATCTACCACTTGATGTTCAGCCCGGACTGGGATGAGGCATGCGCCAGCTGCTCGCTGTTGGGCGACTCGGTGCCAGACCTGCGCCATCTGAACGGCCACTCGACCACGTTCGTCGCCGTGAGCCGTGCCCCGATCGACAAGATCCGGGCGTACAAGAAGCGCATGGGCTGGTCGTTTCCCTGGGTCTCATCGTTCGGGTCGAGCTTCAACTACGACTTTGGCGCCACGCAGGACGAGGCCGTCAAGCCCGTCGAGTACAACTTCAAGGACAAGGCCGAGATGGAGAAGCGCGGGCTCGCCCACTTCGCGACGGGCGAGCAGCCAGGCCATTCGGTGTTTGTGCTCGGTGGCGAGCTGACCGGCATCGGCGACGAGGAGGGCAAGATCTACCACAGCTACAGCAGCTATGCCCGCGGTGGGGAGCCCATCATCAACACCTTCACCTGGCTGGACATGACCCCGTTGGGCAGACAGGACGGACTCAGTGGCGTGGGCGGACTAGGGTTCAAAAGGCACGACGAGTACACCACCGAGGACTTGAAGGGGTTACCCATTGCGAAGATTGGGGTGTGAAGAGCGGGATAACATCAGGATAACAGAGAATGTTGAATTGGGCATATCACAGTACGAGGGTACACATGCGAGTTTCTAGTTTCTAGGTTCTAGTATTCTTCGAATCGGGCAATGCAAATGGCTTTTTTTTTTTCGGTCTTAGTTATTCACCAAAATGCCATGTTGTTGATTGACCCTGTGGTCGCGGGGTGTTTCGCTAGTTTCCTCGGCCGTTCCTGCATCAATAAGTCTCGCGTATGTCACACCTGAGCCGTCTGGGAGAAGACCATCGATTAGGCGGTCTTGTGTGTGTCTCTCTTTCCCTGTCTTTCTCCTCCTCTTACTCGCACTTCGTTCATGTGCAGACCACGCATCTCGTTGGCTCGGTTTCTCACCGTTCGAGATATGGCTCTGCGCCTCTTTACAGGCTTGGTTGCGCCTATGCAAGTTGAGTCATCGCTCGCCAAATCGCCACCCAGGTAGCCCATCCGATTGGCACAGTCGCTCGCGGTCTTCTCGCTAACAATCTGAGTTCGCCTACGAGTAATACCGAGTACTTGGGGGGCTTCAGGGCACTAATCACTGGCGAGGAAACAGGGCGGTGCTTACAAAGAATGAAGCATAGGGCTGGGTACCAGGTACATGTACATGTCTAGCGAGGTGGTCAGGGTGGTTCAAGGGGCTATTTTCGGTACGAGGACTGGCACGTCGTGAGTGTCGACTCTATATGTTTTCCTTGATTCGCGTGGATTCCATCTCACACTCTCTTATAGGCTTCCTCTTCTATTTACACAGGTCATGAAGATGTTTCCCACCATTGCGTCTCGATGATAGCTCCACGCCGAGGCCACAGCCTCTTCCTCTTGCCTCTGCTCTATACTCCATCATGTTCATCACCTATACCCACGTGGACCAACTGAAGTCGCGCGCCAAAAAATGGCAGGTCAGCTCCTACCAGAACCAGCGGCGCAAGGAACTCAAGGCCACCCTGCCCGCGACGGACAAGTCTGCTCGGTCTAAGAGGCCCAGAGTCCTTGCCTGGGAGCAAATCCCCCACGAAGCTGGAAATGTGGGCAGTGATCAGACTGAAGAGAGATCAACGGCACCCAGCTGGGACGACGATGATGATCGTGTCAAAGGCGAAGATGTGCGCGTCGCAGTCGTCTCCTGGGAGCCTCACCTACAGGCAGCCCCGGGGAGTCTCCGTTGCGATCCTTTCAATTCCTATCCCATGCGGTCTTCCGGCCGAGTGCAGTTGACAGTGGACTACTGTACGCCCGTTTCCTTGATCACGGCTCCTATTCCCTCCGACGCCGATCTATTGCAGGTGGACAAAACGTCAACAACTAATGCTTCCCAGACACGCAGATCTATGCGCCCATGAACCTTGGCAATTACCAGGACGGCCACGGGGGCAACTGGCTTTTGTCACACCTCTTCCGGATGGCCGTGCAGGCTGACCTGCTCTTTGAGGCGACCATGCTGTTCGTATGGAGTCAGCTACCCGCGAGCCAGCTGGGTTCTTCTCCGGAAGAGCTCCAGCAGACCTTGTTGAGCCTTCGAGGGAGCGTGATGCGGAAGCTCCATCATCGTCTCACCGTGCCGCGGCTGTGTTGCGACGATGTGACCATCCACACCGTCTTAGCATTGATGGCTGGAGATGTAAGCAGTTTCTCGGACCTCTCTTTCTTGTGCCTCCTGCAACCATGCTCTAAGATCTCGAGAGAGTGTTGATTCATGTGCCTTGCTCGACAGTTCCATCGCGGACAAGATGACCACGTCGAGCTACATCGAGAAGGACTGCGGCGCATTGTCGATCTGCGCGGCGGCTTGTCCACCAGTGATATGCCGCCTCAAACGCGATATTCTGTCACCGCGTGAGTAATCCACGACTTTTAGACCCAAGTATCAGATGGTCCAATGCCCCCCCTTATTGACACACACCTTGACAGGACTGAGATGATGTGCGACTATGCGATCCAGAGACGCAGTCGCTCCCCAAATACCAACATCACCCCGGACAGCACGCTGACGTATCCAACCCATCCATTCCCGCCATCTCTCTCCAAAGTCCTGTCGACCCTGCCCGAGGGATTCAGCGACCTGGCCCTGAAAACGCGACTGTCGATCCAAGTGATCCGCCTTCTCTACCGCATGACCAAGACGGTCGAGAAAGGCCCCGCAGAGTTCCCTGTGGACACGTCCATCGCCGTGGAGATGATGCGGCTGTCGATGGACTCGGGCGCCCGGCCGCTCGAGAAAGCCGTTGTGACGCTGAGCTTCGTCTTTGGCCGGTTCCTCTTCGACGTCACCACCAAGGGGAGCGGGCCCGTCAACAGCTCGCGACGCACGTATCAGTCCATGGAGACGACGCTGCGCACACTGTGCCAGTCCATCTTTGAGCAGCTGCACCCCATCGACGGCGCCGGGCATGACTTTGTTGCGTGGGCCGTCTTCCTCCTCGCTTCTGCGGGCGTCGACTACGGCGTCCCAGCGTCCATGCAGCGCGACATGCTCCGGCGCCTCTACGTCCGTGTCCCGGCCGTGAGGTGTTCCGAAGCCTTTCTGGAAATGCTCCGCAAGTTCCTATGGCATGAGAAGCTCGTGCCTTGCGCGCAAGAGATGTGGGAACGGATGATGGAACAGCACAACATTCCGAGTTGACAAAAGAGCGAAAATCCCGTCAATATGAAAAGATAGACAAAGAGAAGAAAAAAGGAGGGAGGAACTTTGAGATAGAAACGACTTCAAATCAACTTGCTTTTTCCTTTTCTCCCGCAGCCCCTTTGTCGGACTGTTCTTAGGGGTCCTCAAATCTTCATTTCATGATCGAGCACTTTGCCTGGCACTATGGCGTTATTAGAGCGTATATCTGAAGCCCTTGTTATCCAGCTCCGTGACGTCGTGCATGCCCATTTCGATGGCCTCTTTCTCCTCGTCCACCTCCACCACGCCCGACGCGGCGGCCTCGCGGTCCCGTCTCTTGTTCTCGAGGAACATGTAGATGTACAAGACGACGATTGCCACCAGCTTGATCGTGTACCCGACCAGCATGGCCACGTAGGCGGAATGGTATCGCGGCGCCTCGCTCGACTTGAAGGTTTGCGGTCTGTCGGGTTTCGTGTGGTTAGTTAAGAGTATTTTATCCATGGCGGCACAGTTTTCGTCGTTGAAGACGATGATGAAAAGAGAATAGAAAGAAGGGGGAGCTTGACTATTTGAGGGAGAAGACGGAAAAATACTCACCCAATAATGTTGCCGACGCAGTAGCCGGTGAAAAGGATCGCGGCTGTGAGTTGCTTCTTCGTATACCCGGCGACGTTAGAGCTGACCATGGTCAAACTCATGCTGAAGCCCAGGCCTTGGAAAAAACACAACCATAGCCCGACCATCCGGCCCCACTTGTTGCTGTCGGGCAACCCGACGAGTAGCGAGGACCCCACGATGCAGATCGTGTTGGCCACGATCATGGTGATGCATCTGAGATTCGGCCACTTGGAGCAGATGATGCCCCCGCCGAGGAGGGCGAGGAACTGGACCGCGCCGCCCGGGATCTGAAGGTACTGCGTCCCCAAAGTGTCGACGTTGAACGATTTGATCACCAGCGACGTGAACTGAGTGATTGCCGAGTTCGGGACCTGCGCGCCGACGGCCATGACGAACAAGATCCACGTCTTGGGGTCCCTGAACGTCTGCCACATCTGGTACGACTTGAAATGGCGGTTCTTGATTCCCTGTCGGTTGGCGGAGACACGCTTCGCGGCAATCACTTTCTCGGCCTCGGTCAGGAATTTGGCAGTCGAGGGAAGATCCGGGAGCATGATGAGGGCGAGGATGCCCAGAGCTATACTGATGCTGCCGAATATAATAAAGACGTACATCCAGCGTGGTAGCCCGGTTGTGATATGACCAACAGCATAGCCGATCAAGCTCGATACGCTGTCAGTATCCTGATTCGAAAGAATCACCCTAGAAAACTTACCCGCCAAACATGGTTGCAATGCCATTTGTGCAATAATAGGCCTCCAGTCTCAAGGGTTGCTCCAGCGACGTGTACCAGATACTCATAATGAGAATGAACCCGGGGTTCACCACCGCCTCAAACGTGCCTAGCAGAAAGCGGTTGACAGCGATGCCGGCAAAACTGGAACATGCCGGCGTTGTGATCAGGATAATACCCCAGGCAATTGTGGTGGCACCAATCACCTTTCCGACTGGAAGTCTTTGTAAGAGATACCCCGCCGGATACTGCGCCCACAGATAACCTGAGATGTTCAGCGGCGCCACTGTTGAAGTCGGGGCCAGCTCTTACCGAAGTAGAAGATGGAGCCTAACCAGGAGTAATCTTGGCCGTGCAGATTCGTGCCCTTTTGTAAACCGTACACGCTGGCATAGTTGATGCCATTTTTGTCGAGATACTGTAGCAAGTAGATGAGAAACAAGATAGGGACTAATCGCACATCAAGCTTTCGCAGCACCCTTTTGGATTCGGCCGGGTCGATTTCTTGATCATCACTGCGCTTGTACAGATGGTAGACGTCGTCGAGGTCGGCGGAATTGGTTGGAGAACTGGCGACCGAAGCAGGACTAGACTGGACGGCAGTGATCTTGTCCGCTTCAATCGAAGCTTCATTGGCGGCCATCTTGTCCCTCTGCTTGAGAAATAAGAATATTGTGGTCTGGGAAATGCCATTGGCGCCGAGATATAAGTATCTTCAGCTTTTAGGGACCCTTTCTCGTGGATCATTGTTACACAATCACACTGCAACGTCGTCGGTCATCTCCAGAATTTCTTCCACTGACAGCATCTCTCGTCTGCGATTCAGGCGTAGTCTTTGGACATTTGGCGGCCATGATACCATATTGACATATGATCACGACATCCGCTAACGCCCAATCAGGAAAGGGATCTCCACGACAGCATGTATTTGAGCCAACAGTTAAGTCCACAGCAATCGCACGCCCCTCGGTTCTGAAGAGACGCTTGGCAGAGGCCAGGTCTGTATGTGACCAAGTGAGTAGCTTGTTGTCGATATAGGAAGGTGGAATGACTGAGACAAAAAATCTATGCCACGATCCTGGGTCCAGGTCGGTGAACGACCGGTGCAGTTTCGGTTGGAGATCCGCATGGCACGCGAGGATTTTGTGTGAGAAATCCCATCTATTGTCTGTCTATTAGCATGGAGTTGTGCCGCGAAAATATGTACCCGAGGGATTGCATGCAGAGGTCCGCGCTGGTCAAGAGGGTTGATGCGTGATGGCAGGAGACTGATCACACAAGTCAAGGGTCTCTCGTGTGTTCGGTGCGATCCTGGTCAGCATGGGTGGAGTGCCGTTGCCATCCCCATACGCTCCACTCGCAAAGACGTTCGTCGTCCCAGATGTCAAGCTCGGCCTGCTCACGACCTTCATGAAGTGCTTCAAGACCACCCTTTTCCAGAAGCTGCCACAACTCCCGAATCTGATCCAGGTAAGCCACACGCAATGAGTATGTCAAGATGACCCGGGACGATGGTCCTGGAGCCAGCCACCGGAGTATCGTTTTGGAGAGCAACTCGGGGTGCTCCTCCGAGTAGACGGTGTCTGCTGCAAGGATAACGCGGGCTTTGTCCTTTTCCGCATGATATAGTGTACCGCCCTGGATGGCAAGAGTGCCCGGGTTGCTCCAGTCCAATGAGCCACACTCGACAACAGCCTTCACGGTCGCCGCGTTGAGTTTGACATTGGCCGCCAATCCAGGTACAATCGGCGGCAGGTCTGTAAGGATCACTGGTGATTTCCACAGCGCAGCCGCAGTGAGACCGACAAGACCGGTACCCGCGCCGAGTTCAAGGACCGGTATGGGAGCGAGGGAGGAAAGATCGACAGACAGTTTATGGAGCAAACCCGCAAGCACAAAGGATGATGCCCAGGTCGTTAGACTGAGGCCTTGTGCGCGTAAGGCTGGTTCTGCTATATTGAGACAAAGGTTCACGTCCTTTCCGCACGGGATGGAAAAGTGTCGAAGCATTGGAGAGACAGGTCGTTTGAAATGGCTTATCTATAGATGTCTTGAGCAGAAACGATGAGCTACGACCGACAATTTATGAGGTCTTATCGAGGTGATCGGAATTTCGTCCGAAAACCTTGCAATATCGATGTCTATCACGTGGTTTTTATACGGAAGACCAAGAGAACCAAGGCGAAGGCGCAGTTTGTGTCTCCGAAGTGCACTTTTTGTCGTTTTACTTCGACGTAGAATTTAGTGCGCAGTTCCGCAGCTTCAACGAATCCCAAAACTTCCATCTCAATCTGGTCACAAGAATCTTTGTCCCTCCCACACAAGATGGCATCCGCGGGCCGCGCCTCAAAGTCCATAAGCAGCGGACTCGCCGCAGCTATCAGACCCAGCTATGTCTGTCGGACATGCAAACATCAACTCCTGCAACGCGAAGCACAGCAAGCCAGACAGTCCTCCAGCCTGTCGTCAAGAGACTGCATGCGACGTGGCACGGGTCTTGCAAACGTACAGCGCCGCCAAGTCTCCTTCAACTCTCTCCTCAACCGCTCTGAACCTTCCAACCAGCAATCCCCGCCGAAGGACGCTGGAACTACTGCGCCGATTGAGCATTACGTTGAAGCCACCACTTGGGACGGATTGGAACATGTAGGCCATCAGGGGCATTGGAGGGACCTTCCTCCTAATCCCAAAGACGACTATGAACCGTATGTATTTCCCACCTCAATTGCGCATCCCAAGGCGATCTAAATAGGATGTGTGTAGCTGGCTTGATCCAACCGCCACAACACCTCTCCAGCGCGACGAATTTCTCTCATTCCTTTACATATCCGTCGTCGAATGTTTGGCGTACAAACAACTTGGAAAAGATCCAGCCATTCTTTTTGAACAGGGTCCGCCTGACTTCCACGGCGACATGACGTCTCTAAAGATCAAACTGTCGAGCTCTGGGACTGTGTCACACCTCGAAGATCCAAGCGGTGTCTTACAGAAAGCCAGCGAAGCGCCGAGGCCTGAGTCGGAGAGGCAAGAAGAGATCGAACTTTCCATACCAGAGGTGGAGGAACAGCTCGCTGGCGCAAAGTTTGATTTTAGTGATCCCCTCACGTTTGCTGTACGTTTTGTCCCTAGGGTTCTTCCTGGGACCTTTACCATATTTTCTATTCTCCAGCCCTGCTGACCCGAGCTGACCCTCTCGTCATAGGTTGTCAAGCGCTTTTCCCAACTCACCTCCCACCGCATCCCTGATCCTCTTCTCAATACCATCTTACGCGGCAACAAGCCCCTAACCACCTTTGTGGACTTACTCACGCAAAACGCGAAGCCAAAAGCCAAAAAATTCGCAGAGTTGTTGTTAGCTAAGCAGAAAAAAGCACTGGATTTCGCGGCTAAGGAGAGAAGCGACGCCGAGATCGGCGAGACGCCAATGCCCGAGCAGACAGAGAAAGCTGTCTCTGGACCACAGAACGACGCTACCCAGAAAACCCTGAGGAAGCCGCGGCAGAAATTCCAGCCCCTTGGCCCCAACGTGATGATCTTCCCCCGCCGAGAGACAGAGGTTGATCGCGAAATGGAAATCGGGCGTTGGAAGGTCATCAAGCGCGAGCTCGAGAATCGCAGTCTGCCAGTGTACCCGCTTCCGAGGTTGGTGCCGGAGGGTGAAGCGTGGAGGAACGAGGAACCGGAAGGGGGAGTTGCGCAGAGGAATTTGTGAATGCAAGTCGAGACTACAGGTCACCGCCAACACTACCTCGAACCCCTCCGGTCGAGACTCACTGTGGAAGTGAAAATGGGATCGAATGTACGACTTGTGGGTTCCAAGAGAGGATGGAGAGATGACTCCCCCTGAGGCTAGGGAAAGACTGTACAAAAAATAGAAAGAAAAGTGTAACATGGACACATAATATACTCTCTAAAATTCCCGAAAAACACCAGTTCCTTCAGCAGGTTCATGCAATCCAAACTTTTGACACCTGATGGAGAACGCAAATGCCATGGTATGACCGACCGCTGAAAATAGATATACAGAGATTCGTGCGGCCCTTGCATCGGCCAATGGACTTGGAATTGCGTGCTTTCCTCCCAAAATGCGAAAAGACGACGCCAGGATATGAAGATAAAGTGATGACGACGAACGATTGGCGATGGCTGGGCCTGTGATGCTGTGGTTGTTTAGTGAGAGCCGAAAGCCGTGGCTGATCCAGCTGGTGCTCACATTTGTCCTAATGAGGCTCGAAAGAATCAAGATTTCACAACGCAGGAAAGGCGTAGTGATGGCGACACGACGGCGCCGTGAGTCTCGTAGGATCGAGCAGGACGAGACTCGCGGGAGATCAGCCAGCAGAGAGATCCTACTCTCTGACAAAGAGGCCGGCCATGCCCATACCAGTACCGATGCACATGCTCACAACGCCGACCTGTCCCTCTTGTAATTGCGGCATCAAGGTCGCGAGCTGTCTCGTTCCAGTCATACCCAATGGGTGGCCCAAGGCAATCGCACCGCCTCTTGGGTTGACCACGTCGGTATCCAACCCCAGCTTGCGAATGCAATACAAAGCTTGACTGGCAAAGGCCTCATTGATCTCCCAGATATTGACATCCTCTTTCGTTAAGCCGGTATAGTCGAGGAGCTTCGGGATGACCACAGCAGGACCAATACCCATCTCGTCGGGTCTGCAGCCGGCGACCTTGGTGCCTACCCACTTCCCAATGATACTCTTGGTGAGACCGAGCTCATTGGCCGTTGACCTGCGCATGAGCAATGTTGCAGCAGCGCCGTCCGAGATCTGGCTGGAGTTGCCCGCTGTTGAAGACCCATCTTGTGAGAAAGCCGGTTTCAGTTTAGCCATCTTCTCAAGGCTGGCATCGTGTCTGATACCGTCATCTTTGTCAACCACGACTTCTTTGGGTGGTGCATCAGGATGCTCTGGTGCGTATTGTCTGACCTTGACAGGAACGATTTCCGAATCAAACAGGCCAGATTTCTGTGCCTTGGAAGCTCTGCGATGCGACTCGGCGGCAAAGGCATCTTGATCTTGTCTATTCACTCCATACCTCTTTGCCACATTTTCACTGGTGAGACCCATGGGCATGATGCAGTCTTGTACATTATCAATGGGGCTGTTCCTGAGTTCGTCCCAGAGCATAGTAGGGATCGCCTTGCTTCCGTAATTCTTTGTCATGCTCTCCATGCCTGCACCAATGCCCACGTCAATCTGTCCGGTTGTAATCATGTTGCCAATGCTCGTGACGGCAGCAAGACCTGAACTGCATGCTCGGTTCACAGTGTGCAAGCCTGTGCGTTCATTGAACCCGGCATGTAGCTGCGCCATACGAGCAGCTTTTGAGCCGCCTAGTTCAGCGAGAACCACACCTACCGCAACGTCGTCAATTTTCGCGGGGTCGAGGTTCGGATTCGCAGCGAGGGTAGCGCGCAGGACGTGGGAGAGGAGTTCATGGTCGTAGGCATCTCGGAAACCACCTTTGACTGCTCGGGTGACGGGAGTACGTAACGAGGAGAGGATGACAACGTCGGTCGGTTGTTTCGCGAGAATTTGCTTTAGACCTTTAGCGGCAGCCATGTTTGAGGTGAAACTCCGAATGAAGGCAGTTCTAATGTCACAGGCAGGATTTTTCTAGTTCATCTATGATGTGCAAAGAACTTCAAAAGCAGGATGAAGCACCACCAGTCCTGGGACAGAGATATATAGAACAGCAGAACAGTAATCGTGAGCAAGCATGGTCGTCGGCTAAAGAATATCACTCAATGGGGACTGTTGCCATCGGAAGCGGACAGGGGCCTCGGAAGCGACACTCGGCCCCACGCTGGGGTAGTTGGTGCGGCGGACCATACAGACTGTGGTGGCAGTATATTTCTCAGCTACGGCGAAGCATATGATTCATGATATGTAACTGGCTTTCACTTTCCACTCACTTCACTTGCTTCACTTCATTCTCATCTCTTCCAGCAACAGCAACCGCAACGTACAGAGGGAAGTCACGGTTGTCAACTAGGCATGTAATCCCGTTTGTGAATCGACACAAAGTTGTTCCGGTGAATAACAATTCTTTGCAACCACCCTATGATCACATAACTATTCTCCCTTCCTACTGTTTTCCTCCTTGGCTTTCCTTCACTTCACTCTCACTCTCGCTAACCTGCCTGCTTGTGGTTTTCGTGTTCGAACGTCACTTTTTATTTCTTTCATCTGAGGCTCGCCAATAAAGCTGACCGCCTAGTTCTATTTTAACACCTGCACAAACCACCTCACACCTTGATTCCACTCTGCGTGCCACGTCCTAGCCCTCACAAGGAAAATGAGAGCCAGGAAACGATCTGGCGAGGAGATTGCCACACCCATTTCCCCTAAGATCCCCCGTTGCTCAACCAACACCACAAAAGATGCTCTGTTATCGCGGCCTGATCCGAGCATTCCAATAAGCCACGAGCCACGAACTGACCTATCATCAACTCAATCTTCAGAGTCAGAGTTTTATGTGAGGATCACACTTTGCTCAGAAACCAAGGCGCTGACCAATGACCCTATACGGTGCATAAAATGTGTTGAGAAACCTCTGGGCATCGAATATCTTGACCCCAAAGTGGCAGCACACGACGAATTCGCCCACATCCACTGGTTGGAGCCGATGGAGGTGACGGTAACTAGGGTACCCTCTTCACCGGGTGGATGTGCGGAGAGGGCCGGATTCTGTGGAGCAAAGCTGATCAGGCGGTTGAATATTAACCGGGAATTCTACAAGGAGATGTCGAAGCCTTTTGACGAGTCGACGTTATTAGCGTTCGATCTATTTGACCGGTTTGGTAACCCGAAGCAGGACGGCAAGAACCCCTTCTTGAGTGAAGAGTTGTTTATGCTGGGAATCGAGCCCAGGCACGGGGATATCCTGCTCATTGAAGACCTCATCGTCGAGAAGCCGTATCGGAGGATGGGACTAAGCAAACTTATTGTCTCAGCGTTGCTAGAGGCCACCGAGCAGAAGACCCATTACCCTTTTGCTGCAATCCTCTGGCCCGAGCCCTCCAAGCACGCCCATTTTCACGATTCTCTGGCGGCCATTGTCGGAGACAGTGGAAATGAACATAGACCAGAGGTCTTTGACCACTATGACGCCGAGGCAGTTGCGTGGGCAGACTCGCTGGGTTTCCACCGAATAGGTTCTTCTATCTGGTTCGGTCGCGCATCTCAGCCCAAGTCCTTGATGATGCGGGAAGATCCCTACCACCCTCCGACTTTCGTCCGCCCCATCAAAGATGCCCTGCCGAAGTCAATTTTAGGCGAACTGAACGACGTCGGGTTTCTCGAAGCCGCTCAACAATACCTTCAGCAGACCATGCCTGACGATCAGCGATGGTTTGCTACTGACAAGGAGGCGAATACTCTTCTACACCTTGCCGCACTACGCTTTCTCCCAAAAAGTGTCGCTTGGATGATGCAACAGCCAGCCTCTGCTCAGCTGATCACGACATCCAATTCGAGTGGCAATACTCCTTTAGACGCATTGCTAGAAAAGCTCGAGATTGTGCGGACAAGGTCATGGTCCGGCACTACCATCAACATAGTGTCAAATGACTTCCAAGGCTATACAGATTCCATGGCGAAATGCGTCGCTCTGCTGAAAGGAGCTGAAATCGAGTCGGACCAAGATCTGATACAATTTCGATATGGCTGCACTTGCGGCAAGTGCATACACGGTTATCTTAGTCCGCGGATGATATCTGCGTTGCTTCATGCGGCCACCGGTCAATATCCAATGCTTATGCCAAACCTGGAAAATCTGTCAGGCATTGACTGGGTCCGTCTACACAAGGACGTCACGCGTCGTCTCCCATTTCGGTGCCTCAAACCACTGAGGTGCTATAAATCAGTTCGGCGGGGCTGTGTCGAACTCTACAACAACATCTGCAAATGTCTTGCCGCTGGCAGGGCCCCTATCGTCGACTCCATTCTTGGAACCAAAGACGACAAGACTGCCTGCATTGAAAAGTTCTTCATGTGCGGAGGCAATATAACAGGGCTTATATCCCTCATCTTTAGGCGAGCTTTCTTGACTGACAAGTTTTGTGGTGACGGCGTTGAACTTCCGGAGGGAGATGGATACTTGTATTCCGAAACAGAATGCTGCAACGATCACGAATTTGCGCTTGTTGCTCGGAAGTGTGGTTATGAGAGCGTAGCAGAAGCGCTGAAGGAAACCGAGGTCTCGAGATATCCGTCATGGTACACAGGCTGGCGAGGATCCATAGAATGCGATGCCGACGGGTGTGAAAGGTGTGACATTTGTGGGAATCGCTGTGCTTCGGATTGTACAGAGAGCGCGCCGTCGGATAGTGAGGACACGGACATCGACGATATGGATCTGGACACCGACGATATGGATCTCAATGTATCATCAACACTCCCGACAGGTGGGTATTGATGTTCACTACCGCCATTGCGACCCTGGCCCTATCCAGGGGGGTTTTGTCCCTGATTCCTTGCGATTGTGACACAAGACTGTCACTACCAACCAGCAAAACATGGGGAAATGGCCGAGTTTGTTAGATAGGAACATGGAAGATAGACAGCCTCCCTGACACATCCAAATCAGGATGTCAACCATAATCAGAGAACCAAAAAGTCACATACATTTTCCCTGTATTCTGATAGGTATTCACAGGCTCCATCTTGTTTTTCATGGCTGCCACAAGCCCCAGGGCGGCTTGGTTAGACCGTGCATCTATCTCTACTCTCCACCATCCTGCATCTCCTCATCTTCGTCTCCTTCCTCGTCCTCCTCATCTTCATCCTCCCCTTCCTTGACGTCCACACTGAATGCCATGCTTTGGTCCACGCCCACGTACGAGTCGCACATGAGGAACAAGGTGAGGTCCTTCTTGCCCGCGGTCGGGACGACGTATTCCAGCTTCGTGCCAAATTGCTTCTTCGCGATCGTGACGCGTTTGATGGCCAGGAGCGACCTTGTCTTCTCCTCGGCGACGACGAGCCACCAGTTTTCGAGTTTGCGGAGTGGGTAAAAGGGGGCGTGGACTGTGATGTCAACGTCTTGGTCGGCGCCATCGCCTTTGCCTCCCTCTTCTTCGTCTTCGTCCTCATCGTCCGCCTCTCGCGAGATGCGGATCGACAAAATGGCTGGCTGGCCGGCTGTAACCTCCTCCTTGTCCTCGACGTCAAACTCCAGCTCGAGACTCGGGTACTTGTTGTTCGTAAAGTCGGCCGCCTCCACGAGTTGTCGATTACTCAAACCCATCATCTGCACCAGTTTGGCCTGATCGGGATTCTCAGAGGGATCCATTGCCGTCATGAAATCGTCAATGTCCTTGATTCCCTGTTTAGCGAGAACATCCACGATCCGAGAGTCAAAATGTGGGATCTGCAGGAGCGGAGAGTCGCGATCCCACATGGCCTGCACAACCATCTGTGACATTTCCATGGCGTTCATCGCGTTCAAGTGGCCCTCGGAACTTAGCACATCGACACAAGCCGAGAGCAACGCGAGCGTCTTTGACACTATGACCTCTTGATCTTTGGCGAGATCGATGGGCAATTGCATCCTCGAAAAATGTGCCTGTAGCAACACCATTGCTTTGAAGTGTGGCGAGTCGTAGACGGGCTCTGACATCTTCACCGGCACACGATCATAGATACGGCGGAGTACGTGATCTTCATGCCGACGGAGTTGGATCGATTCAAACTCCGTGGCAGACGTGACAATTTCGAGGAGACCCTTGAGTTTTGTGCGAGCTGTGAGGGAGAGGAGGAAGGTCTGCATTGTGATGAAGGAGATGTTATAGTATGCGGCGATCATGGCGGGGTTCAGTGGGGATATGGTATCGTCTTCTTCATCCAAGTCGATGATTTTGGCATCGGAGAGTTCCTTCAGCGTGGTTTCAATGAGCTCCGAGAGGTGCGTGCTAAGACCTTCGTGAGACGTGTCGTTGAGGCCGTAGTAGCTTGGGTTTGCTAGAAGACGGCGGTAGAAGTACGTGTAGGTGGTCCAGTCGACAGCGTCTTGTGTAGATGCGATTGTCTTTGTGCTGATCTCAGTGACAAACGCGTCATGTAGCCAGAGTTGCAGATGGCTTTCTATGGGTAATGCCTCATTGAGGAATTTCTTGTAATATTCGCGCTTGACCGCCGAGACCATGAGCACGCCCTTTCCGATATCATCTTCGCCAGGCCGACAAGCTCGGCCAAACATCTGAAGGATCTCGCTGATCTGGTAATCGACGTAGCGGTGTTCGCGGCCCACAAAGTACTGCGTTCCCATGATGACAACGAGATGCGCTGTGAATGGGATTTCCCAACAGACGTCGCGGGAAGCGAGCATCACTTGGATGGCTCCAATCTTGAAGAGATGAGAGACGATTCTCTTGTCACTGGTCGACAGTGCCTCGTGATAGTATCCAATACCATGCGTCAAGGACTCTGCCAGTGCCCGTTCGTTGATCCGTTCCAAGAATGGTCTGAGTTCATTCACGTCGGTATGTAAGAATCGTTCATCATCATCATCCATGATGCACGCTAAAAGAAGATCGAGAGCTGTGGCCCGGACCTGTTTGCGTCCCGGAACGAAGACGATCACTGGCTTGTCAGGTGACAGTTGTATGATGGATTGATATGTTGGACGGGCCATGGCCATCATCAGAGACGGGAAATGAGGGATACTGAATGACTGAATGTGTAACTGCATTCCCACCGGCCTCGTCATGGGGCTGAAGTTGTAAATTGTGTGTTTGTTGGCACCGAGCCATTCGCCCACGTCCCGCGCATTCGACAACGGGACGCTCAATCCGACAATCCGCATATTGTTGTCTAGTTGGATGTGGATGTATTGCATCCGGGAAACCACAACCTCATAGACGGCGCCATTTTCGCCGCCGATCATGTGGAGTTCGTCGGCAATGAACAGCTCCACGTTTTGTACATTTTTCCGGCGCTGCCATTGTCTTGACAGGACATCCCATTGAGCGGGAGTGGCCAATACCAGGTCAGATCTGTCCAGTATTCGCAGATCAGCCGTAATCTCGCCAGTCAGGGTTGATATGAGCTTTCCGGAACCCACTCGGCTCAACCGTTCGTTCCAATCAGCGAAACGACCATCGACCAGCTCTTGGAAGGGAGCGATATAGACTGCTTTGCCAGCGTCTGGATTCTTCCAATGTCGAAGAAGAGCAAATTCGGCACATACAGTCTTTCCGCTCCCCGTGGGCGCTCCCACAAAGACACTGTCATTGCTGTCGTACAGGGATTTGAAGACTTGAGTCTGGATTTTGTTAAACCTGTCCCACTTGGGATACAGCGCGACGTAGTCTTTGACCTTCAGAGCCTGGACAGGCACAGGTTGTAGATCGAGAAGTGGAGTATGAGGAGGAAATCTTTCGGGCAGGATTAGCTTTTGAAACGAGACGGGAATTCTGGTCTCGGAATGCATCCACCGATCCGAGATCAGCGAGATGAAATAATTCGGTGGAATAGGCTCGCTGATGGGAACTGTGAAGTCAACCAAGTGTTCAGACATGTCACCCTCGGCGTACTCTCGCCGTAGGATGAACATGTCGTGGAACAAGATCTCCTCTCCATCACAGTCTTCCACAACAATCCAGAACGACTCGGCAGTCCCATGTATTGCTTCATCCCACACAAAGTTGGGAGTGATGGTCAGCTCGACACGAAGCAGTGATCTGGTGATCGGTTGCACTTGCGCTTGGACCTCCAGCCGCGGAAATTTCGAAACAAGGTCGCACACAACCCGGCCTGCCTTGGGAAGACCGAGCAGCTCCCCCATGCGAGGCGGATCAAGGTCAAAGTAGCTGGACCACGGGACTTCCATCCGCTCAGCTTTCTGGATGTATTCTCTGGGGCACATCGAAAATTGTCTTAAAGGAGTCATCGTAGGCCACATACGCTTCTCGGCCATTTTGCAGAGGTCCAAGGCAGTCTTCGCCACCCCAGCCCAACCCTTTTTTAGACATATCTCGAAGATGGCTCTGATGATTCGACCTGCTGATTGTGTGACGTAGACCAGATCAGCCATCAAAGCCAGACCTTCTAACTTGAGGCGCGAGATAAAGGCTTGCAGGAGAACGTTGATTTTGGCTTGTGGTTCATCCATCCCTTCTTTGACAGGAATGGGTACTCTCCCGAGCAACTTCGCCAACTCAAGCTTCTCGTCTTGTCGGACCGGGATGTATTTGAATTCATCACTGAGAGCAAAAATCCGGAAGAGCTCGATTGTGCCGATTGAGGGTTGGAGGTGGTGGTTGTAGGTCAGCATGGAATTATGTGTTATATAGTAATGCGACGCAATGCGACCAAGGTCGGTGGCTTGCAGCTTTCCGGTCTTCTTCTCGTACTTGACAAGTCCGGCCTTTTCGAGAACAATGGCGGCTGAGTGGATGAGATCGACTCGTTTCTGCTCCAAGGCCTCATCGTTGCCATAATCTGCACCCACACTGTAGAGACCGGGCGAGCGTATCATCCGAACGAACAGATAAGTGTACCCGAGCCATTCAACGCCCTCGTCACGGGTGCGGATGTTTCCAAGGACAATTTCTGCGTTGAGGTTGTCGGCTAGTTTGCCCATCAGTTGGCTTTCGATGGGCAATTGTTGGTTCATCAGCGAAAGATAGTACTGAATCTCGGCCTGCGACGTTATGATGATACCTTCACCATATGAGTCAAACTGTGGCCGGCCCGCTCGACCGAGCATCTGAAGGACGTCTTGTGGACTCAGTTCGACCCAGCTCCCCTTTTCAGGGGAGTAAACTTGAGTGCCTTTGATGACAACGGTATGTGCGGGAAGATTGACACCCCAAGCCAGGGTTGCAGTGCAGACGAGGACTCTTAGATAGCCATCGGCAAACAGATCCTGAACAGAAGTTCGATCAGCAACGCCCATGCCAGCATGATGTATTCCGAATCCATATGGTAACAAATCTTTCAGGTTGGCGTCGTTGACCGCATCAGCCTCCTCCTGCAGGACTGACCTGCTTGCTGCGTCGGTCCGCATGATTTGACCAATTGATTCCAGCTCGATCGCCTTGTCACGGATATATTTGGCAGTTTTGGCAGTTTCTTTCCGAGAGTGAACAAAAATCAGCATTTGTTGTTGATTAGTTCCCGCATGCTCGATGGCTTTTGCGTAGCAGATGTCGTTCATGGTCTTGAGTTGCTTGATGGCTTTCTTGTCGGTCACACCGATGAATTCCTGCCGAAGAGGGCATGGTCTGAAAGACCCATCAAAGTGGAAGAGACCCTTTTCAGGATCGACTCGTAGGAAAGTCGCCACATCTCGGTAATTGGGAAGCGTGGCGCTCAGACCGACAATCCGCACAGGCTCGCCAGTCTGTTCAATCTTACGGATAGTCCGACTGACAATGCTTTCGATGACGGGACCGCGGTCGTCGTGTAGAAGATGGATTTCGTCAATGATGATGAGCCGAACAAGTCTGGTATAGCTTTGATCGGTTGCTTTTCGAGTTATAACGTCCCACTTTTCCGGGGTCGTTACGATGACCTGTGTGTCTGCGATTTGTTGCTTTGTGAGCTGTCGGTCTCCAGTAAGCTCAGACACCCGGATTCCATACACTTCAAGTCGCTTGCCAAAATTTCCTACTTGTTCCTGCACCAAGGCCTTCAAGGGGGCAATGTAAATGATCTTGAAGTCATCCAGCATAATTTCGCCAGTTTCTGGATTTCTATGCTTGCCAATTTCGCGCAGGATCGTCAGCATCGCGACATTCGTCTTGCCAGATCCGGTCGGAGCACATATTAGCATGTTCCCATCGTCGTGGAAAGCAGATGGGAAGCACTTCGACTGGATCCGATTGAGCTCCTTCGCAGACCCAAAACCCTGCCTTGCCCAATCGGGAAGCTCGGTGGTAGGGATATTCTTCTCGCCAGGGTCGCGTTTGGGCTTGGGCGGCGGGACATGGATTTCTTCATAGCCCTTGAAAGTTCGCTTTGTAGAACCTTGTGGAAGGACGACTTTTGGATTCGTCATAAGATGATTGCCCTGTTCGAAGACGAGATTGTCGAGATTGATGACCCGCTGTGGCTGCAGCCCACCGGAAAGACCACCGTCTTTTTTCTTTTCTTGCTCTTCTTGCGCTTTGGGGATATCAATGTCCATCAAATCCAGCTTCATCTTCTTAGCCGGCCGTGGCTCGTCTCCGTTTCGACCTGATTTGCCAAGCAGCTCGTCTAACATTGCTCGATGGCCCGCCTCAACCATCTCGCTCTCCACGAGGTGTCGGGCATCCTCATCCTCAGCGGCTCTGCGCCACCTCGTTACCCAAACAATCCTTTCTCTGTTGGACACAAGTTTCCCCACCAGGTCGGCGTGCTCATAGTCGAACAAGTCCATCAAGTCGTTTTCGATATCACGCAGGGATATTTCTTCACCTTCGAGATTTTTGCCAGACAAGATCTGAAGGGCATCTCGGGTCTTTTGCTGCTGGATAACGGCGTCAGAGTACACCGAACCAATTTGCCGTTGGAGCCAGTAGGCATCAATTTCGTCGATGGGAACCAAGTCGGCATCCTCACGCTTTCTGCGAAAAGACTCGCCAAGCCCGCTGTCTATGATCATTTCGGCCTCCTCATCGTCGTCTGGGTCGATGTCGGGAGCAGCTGCCCCACCAGCTGACGCTGATTCTTCAAGGCCTGGTTGGTCTTGAATATCTTCCTCTTCATCACTGTCCCCTTCGTCTTCATCCCGAACTTCGTATGTTCGTCCAATGCCGTCTTCGTCTACGTCCTCATCCTCGTCAAAGACGACAGCGACGCCCTGACGTTCATCAAGTTCGGCCTCGTCAGCGCCGGCACCGTCCGCCATATTCTCGTCCTCGTCTTGTGCGTCATAATCCGTTATCTTTTTACCCAGATTGACCAATTCATTAAACTGCTTGGGGGTCATTGTAATGCCAACAATATCATCGATTTCCTTTTTTTTATCGAGATCTTTCAAGTTGTCGTCCTTCAGATATTCGAGGATGGCATCGGCTGCACTTCGGACGATTTCCTGCGAAACATCTCCAAGCGCATTTGCAGTCACGGTGAGCAGTAGGTCGTAAGTCGCCCGAGTGGCGGGAGTCCTAGGACGGTACTTGAGCCCTTCGATCAATGCATCGCCAGCGGAAAGGACGCCGGCACCTCGAGGTTGGGCAGGCTCACCCCTCTTCCGTTTCCTCTGCTCTCGTTCCAAAACATCTTCGCCTTCACGTATCGAGCCTCTTTCCACACCTTGTAGCCCTGGCGCAATCTTTTTTTGTTTGGGTACTTGATCTCGCGCGACTCGAGAACCCATATCACGGATGTTGAGTCTTCCAGCCAGAGACTCAGGGTCGCCAGTATTCTCATCTGTCCGGCGCGAGATAAATCGACGGTCCGCCTGGAGGACCAGGTTCGACATCGCCGAGTATTTGTATTGCGATACATTGTTAGGGTCTGCCATTCTGGCGACACGAGGATCACAACCTTATGGGCCGGTTCGAGCGAGTTGTGATGGTTGCGATAGGTGCGAAGGCGGCCCAGATGGTGGAGAGGATATCCGGGCAAAGTCGTCCAAGCCGTTATGGGGGAGGATAGGATATCTTGGTGGCCATGAGCAGAAACAAAATCGTTCTGCACTTCTTCGCCTGTCGTCACTTAGAGAGATTTCAATCCTTCAGCTGCAATGTCGCTGCCTCTGTGACGGCGACCTCGACTGCTCAGAAAAGTTTCCCATACTCTGAAATCTTGGCATATTCTTCGGCAAACCTTCTATTTTCGTCGACACTGAAAACAACCTCAAAAAGGCTGAAACCCCTGATGTTGACCAGATGATTTTACAGTTGTACGTGTTCTAACAGCACAGTAGCACAAAACCTGTCTCTTTCTCGTGATGTTGCCGATTCTGCTTCGAAATTAACTCCTCGAAAATCTACTGCTTGGCTATGGATGCTCTCTTGAAACTCAAGTATTTCCCTCAAAGGCTTCGGCAGCCATTGTACGCGGCAGAGCGGTTGAGGCGGTTACCATGTCACAGCTATTCATCCTAGCCAACTGTATCCTGGCTTCCTAAAATATGTTTTCTGGCATATGCATTACGCTTTGATATCTCCTTCTGAGCTCTTTCTCCATTCCGAACAATCCAGAATAGCACCATGTTGAAGAACTGCAATACGCAAACTACAATTCCCCCGCAGAAGACGAAGTCCTTGAATTCATCAGCGTGTCATCCTGCGAAAACCCATTTCTCTTACCATGTATCGACAGAGCGACTTAAATTCAACACTATCATTTCCATAGTTCAAGTGGATGCCTTGATAACTGCAAGACCAGGACCACAGATCGGACGATGAGGAATCGGGGCTGTTCCATGTTTTGGCATAGATCAAACCAGCAATCCACACTGCGATTGAGACGGTGAAAGCTGACGATTCAAGCCAGATGGCCCAGAGCTCACTACGATGTACCTGACACCTGTCAGTAAGGTCCAGCGACAGTTGGAAAGCAGTTCTAACCTCTGCACATGTCATAACCAAAGCGGTCAAGTCAAACAGGCAGGAATAGCCAGCTGCGGTCAGTAGGACGATCGTCGGTTGCATCCATATTATCGTTGGCCAAGCGGGCCGGTTGTTTCCCTCCGCATCCAGAAATCGAGATTCTTCTGTGGCATTTTTTATGATGATTGTGTACACCAGGGCTGCTCCGATCCCAATGGCGAGCAACGCCGTGATAATTCGAATGGTGACGCGATAACCAGGGGGGATTGTGAGCAGCGAGCGTGGCCGAGCATATGTATATCGTGGTGAAACGGGGACTTCGCGGTCGGTCAGGGCTGGTGTGATACTCGATGTGCTCAGGGTCTTCGTGTGAGCATGCATTTCTCGGTGAGCAGGATAGTTGGTCGTCGAGATGGTGTTCGGCCCTTGTCCTCAGCCAAAAAGATACGTTTTGTGGAAGAGAGAGACGGTGGACTTTAAGGCAAGGTATGTACATGAATTCCCTCCAGTCCTGTGGGCCTTCGGCTAACCCTGTCTGCCGAAAGCAAGCTGAAATGGTCAGGACCACAACAATGCCACCCTTTTTAAGCGGACATGTTGTTTTTTCGGGGTCTCCTAGCCAGGTGAGGCCACGCCCGATGTTAAAGCAAAGTCAAGCTAAGCGAGCAACTTGCCTTGAGCGAATCCCGTGCCTTCTGCTGTTTCCTCCTTCGTTCCTCCCGACGCCTAGAATGCTTGTCATTCTTGCTTGTATGCCCGTCTTCAGCCACCAACGGTCACTTTAGACGTGGCGTCCTTGCCTGATCTCACTTGCATATGCTTCAGCTACATCGCACCCGAGCGAGAGTGGGCTGAGCTTTGTTGGTGTGGCAGGTCCACCTCCGACAGACAGCCCTCGACATCCAAGGCCACCCGTATTCTGGGTACTAGGTCCTATTAGGAAGGCCAGAGGTCCTCTCATTCGTCCTTTTCAATGGGGAAGCGGCTTGAGACTCGCCTTTTAGCACCTAGCTGCTTATGCCGATCAAACGACGGTACGAGCTTTTGGAGCTTTTGGTGAGGCACCCCTCGAGAGCGTGTTTGCATTTGACCGGTTTTCCATCCAGATACAGACTTAGACACAGTGATTTTCAAGTCAAGGGCACTATGCTTTGGGCCGAATCTGTACGGGGCAACCAGCCTGGGACCGCAGTTCTTCAATACAAGCCGTCAGTGTTTACCCTTAACTAAGTCATGCGTGGTTCCAGACAGAACCCGCGAGCCTGGCTTATAGCCAGTCGGCAGGAGGTCATCTCTGTAAGGCATCCATCAAGTCAGGGAGAACCAATTACAACCGACCCCACCTGGTTTGACCGACCGTATGGTCTTCAAGGGCGGCACACAGCGGTAGATGGTCCTAAAGTACAATCTTAAGAGTCCTCAAAGCCCAGCACCTAGAGTGCACAACTGCGCTGCGGAATTACGATATGTCCTGGTACATGGCTCTCATAGCTAGCAGTGCCTTGAGATGTGCAAGTGTATGTAAGGCCATCGAATCAACGGTGTGGTCTCAGCTCGGACGCCGAGTTTACCGTACCAGCCCCAAATACAGGAAAACGTAAACGATGCCGTTTGGAGAAGGTGTTTCAGCACGGCGTTGCTGATGCCGCGACGCTCTTCGAAGAACAGCCAGGAACTCTTTCGATTTGAAATGTAGAATGGTCCCCGATAGTCAGCATTGTATAATATAACTAATCACTTGCTAACTTATGGTTGGTGTTCAGGCTCAAGATCAGCCTGATCACTTGTGTTGGATTTCTGGAGCACACCCACTTATTCCTCCTTACTTTCTTTTGCCTCTGACTCAGGACAAAGCGATATTATTATTATTATTATATATATATCGTCATTCTTATTCTTATTGCAGCTGTGCATCGGATGTTCTTCCACTTACCCATCGAAAGGGGAACTAAATATTTAACCCGAAAAGGAAGTAGGCCACAAGGCTGAGGATCGAGTGTCTAGATACTCCGCCCTATCAGCCTTGCAAAATGCTATGGTCAAGTATATCCTCCAGAGGCGCAGGTCATACCATCGGCGCATGCGGCGCCTGGGCGTCCAATGCATACGAGTCTACACCTCTGCCTGTACCCCGTACTCTTCATTTAACCAAGATGCGACACACGGAATAACGACAGGAATGTCAGGCCCATTCCCAAGTCTCTCATCTGATCGTCTTTCCGTCTAATTCCTGCACGCATCGCATCGACCTCCATCGTCGCCGTCGTCCTTGTCTCTCCAACAGGTTCTCAGCACTCTCCTGACTGACGGTCCGGCTTACGCCTGCTTTCCCTCCCCAACCGCCCATCATGGCGAACACGTTCCTAGACATATTCTATTCCCTATCCAGCTGTATATGCTGTTTTCCGAGCACTCCGCAGTTGAAGATCAATAACAGAAGCTTTCGGATGCTTCGACTACTGGGTGAGGTGGGTACCTCCTGAGAACCTGGACATTTCAGCCATATACAATGCTGACACCATGTCTCCTGTGTCTAGGGCGGCTTCTCCTACGTCTACCTTGTTCAAGACACCTCCGACTCGGCTCTGTACGCACTCAAGAAGATCCGGTGTCCCTTTGGCCAAGAATCAGTCTCCCAGGCGCTCAAGGAAGTCGAAGCATATACGCTCTTCGCACCACATCCTAATATAATCCACGCCGTCGACCATGCTGTGCAAACCGATTCTACCACGAAAGTGTCTGGCATTGGGACAGATACGGCCAACGGGGCTAGTAAAACCGTCTACATCCTCCTTCCTTACTACCGGAGAGGGAATCTGCAAGATATGATCAACGCAAACTTGGTGAACCACACCCGCTTCGGTGAGCGACGGCTCATGCAATTGATGCTTGGAATCTGCAAAGCACTGAAAGCTATGCACCAATACCGCGTGCGGAACACGCCATCACGGACTGCCGCCCAATCCATCCGCGACGAAGCCGCAAGTGAAGATGCCGACGCTGCGAAACGGAAAGCTCGCGCCAACAAGCGAACAATGACGGCGTCACAGGAGAACGAAGAAGACTTGGCGGAAGAACAGGAAGAACCGCTCATGCCTTCGGATGAAGTCACCCGCGCACAGGAGGGCAAGAGTCCGGGTGATACACGGGCTTATGCTCATCGCGATATCAAACCTGGCAACATCATGATTGATGACGATGGCAGGACACCGATTCTGATGGATCTGGGATCACTTGCACCGAGCCCAACGTCCATCACATCCCGCTCTCTGGCTATTGCCGTACAAGATACGGCGGCTGAACACAGTACCATGCCCTACCGCGCCCCCGAACTTTTCGACGTGAAAACCGGCTCCGTCATCGACACGAAAGTCGACATCTGGAGTCTTGGGTGCACGATGTATGCATGCCTTGTGGGGAAATCGCCCTTTGAAGCTAGGAGCGACGAGACTGGTGGCAGTCTGAGTATTTGCGTGTTGGGCGGCGACTGGAGGTGGCCTGATGAAGGGAACCTTTCAAAAGGCAAGAACAAGGTCGGATCTGCGCCGGCACGTTCGAATACTGCGTCATCCCAGAGTGGCGCAACGGCAGCGAATGGTGACGCCAATAAGTCACCCAATGCGACCGCACCAGCCTCAGGGGGGAGGATATACCCCCACCCGGCAGCCCGAGAAGTCGTGAGGCGATGTCTACAAGTTGAACCAGCGGAGCGACCGGACGTGGATGAACTGATGACGTTGATCGATACGTGTCTGAGCGAGTTGCCTGAAGACGACGAAACGGGAGGCTCGGAGGGCGACGGCGATCTGTGAGGCAAAACAGACCTGTCTCTTTGTTTTTGGCTAGGTATTGGGCCCTCCGGACGTGGTCTTCAAAGCTGTGGACGGATACACAGCCCTAGATGTTTCGCTTCTCCCCCAAAAAAGTTCTCTAGGGTATCGAGCAATTTTGGGGTTTGCTCCGTTATTTGGATATCTTCGATCTCGGGGCGTTTAGATCTAGTCTTCCCCTTGTGTCTGTGACATGGCATGATATGAGGGCTCGGCGGCCGAATACAACGATGACTTATTGCCCCAAGTATTTTAACGTTCTGTATGTATGTATACCTCGCACTCCTATACCTGTATATACCTGTCTATACCTGTCCATGTAGGTACGTACCCATGTATGTACCCATGTAGATACCCAGGAATGTAGTGGGCATCTATGTATGTATGTATGTATCTGTGTAAAATGTACCTACCTCCCCGTTCGTTCGTTCGTTCTTCTGGACCCCGAGCCTTAAGATCTGTTTTTCGACATGCGAGGGGTAGGGGTACTCGGTACAGAGACACGGCCAGGGTAGAGAGAGGGAGAGGGACGGGAAGAGAGTGCACATAATAATCAATTCTCCAATCTCGAGCGCCACTGAGGCTCTCGAGTCTGTCGTCACATACATACTTGTCCACGTCTGTGTCCCGTGTCTATGTCAAGTCTTCTTTATCTGATTTACATGTATGATACGGATGTCAATTCCGCCCTCCCGGAAAGCGTCGTCGAGGTCGAAATTTATCTCTCACCCTCCACACCTCTCCTCTCATCTCTCTCTACCATTACCTAGGCGCCTAGGTACTAATCTGATCAATCTCTCTCTCCCCCTTCGTGGCACGAAGCATCGAGACCCGTTCCTGAACCATAGACGAGCCTCGACATTGCGTTCCCTGCCTCAACAGTCCTCCCAAGTCGTGCCTTGCACCCGATTTCATTTTAATGTTTCGCATTTTCTTTTCGTGCCCTAGCTACAAAGGCCAAAACCTCTCCAGCCCGTTGCCTTTCTTTCCTAAATAATCTGACTGGATACAAGAAGAGTAAAGAAGTCACCAAGGCCAAGAGCCACGATTGTGTTGTTGAGCTCTGATTTGTTCCTCCCACATCCCCCAATAAAGGCCTCTGGAGACATGAAGCGTGACAATGTGCGTAAAGACTCCATTTCGATCATTGCCAACCCTGCTCGCCCTGTGTCGTACCAAATGTTGAGGACATCTCTAGGCCCTCAGTGCACACGAGCGTCTCTCAATACCTGGCAGTGACGATGCATCGGCAGTGATGACGGACGACCCCTACCAAAACTCCCATGCACGCCTGAAAACATCGCAATTCACATGTCAATGATCCTGCAACCTCCAAGATCGTCACATTGCAGGTCTCGTACGCGCGTTCACTCGGCAGCCTTGACAACGTCGGCAGCCTCTGTCGCAGCCGCTGCTGATTCTGGGGCTTTCTCCACGGTTTCAGGTGCCGCATCATTTGCCTTTGCTGGTTCTTCGGCTTCAGCAGGCTTTGGCACTTCAGCATCAGCTTTTTCTGGCTCCGCATCCGCCGCAGGTTCTTCTGCCTCAGGCTCAGCTGTTGGCTTCTCCTCAGCAGGCTCAGCAGGCTCAGCATGCTTTTCGGAAGGAGCAGAAGACTCTTCTTTCTTGTCTTCCTCGGGAGCTTCTTCGGATTTTTCGTCGTGGACACCATTCGTGGCAGTATCCTTGTCACCAGCAGCATCACCATCCGCTGGCTCTGCACCAAGAATCTTGTTCCACTGACTCAAAAGATCCACAGAGCGCTTTCGGAACTGGAACTCTTCATCTCTTGGAATGGTGTTGAGCTTGATCAAGGCTTTCAGAACCTTGTTGATCTTGGTGGTTCGAATGATGCTGACTTCCAGATCCGCGTAGCCTTCTAGCTTTTTGATGTACGTAGCCATCATTGGCATCTCATCTTCTTGAGGAGCCTGGTCTCTGGACAAGAACCCTTTCTGCAGCTTGTGGCGGAGGAAGAGCACTGGGCTGGATTAGCTCGAGTGCAAATAATCAGAATTGTGAAATGCTTACCTTCTTTCTCACGGGCCTTGCGTGCCTCGACTGGGTCCAGAGGCTTCTCCTCAGGCTCCGGTTCGACCGCGTCTGCCATCTCTTCATCCTCTTGAGCGGCTCGAGACTTCCTCTTCTCCGCTCTGGCCTTGGTTGCCTTCTCCTTGGGCTTCTTCTCTTCAGTCTTGGGTGTCTTGCTGGTGGTCAACTTGATCTTGGTGGTCTTCGGAGTCTTCGCAGGCTACCCATAGTTAGAATCTAGGGCTAACAGTTGGAAATCCCACTGCTGCTCACCTTCTCATCTTCGTCTTCCTCCTCGTCGACCTCCTTCTTGCGCTTTTTGGAAGATTTCTTGGGCTCAACGTCGACATCAGCATCTTCCATGTCGACATCCTCGACCTCGGCCTTGGCTTCGCTCTTGCGTTTCTTCTTCTCAGCTTTGGCAACTTTCTCGGCCTCTCGGGCCTCCTTCGCATCGATCTCAGCTTGCAAAGCTGCTGCGTGCTCATCAAGCATGGTCTTGAAGTATTGTAGGTCATGGCCTTCGGCAGCGACCTTGTATGCGGCGAGGAGTGCCTTGCCTTTGCCCTTTTCTGGGATATCCTTGCACTCATCGGGCGTCAATGGAGCTAGATCGGTGTTGTGGATCCACACACTGTTGGTTGTCAGCTTTGTTGTAACCATGAGGACCGTGAGAGGGAACAGCTTACAATTCATTCGTGCCTAAAAACATGATAGGGAAGGTTCGTTCACTCATTTTCTTACCGCCGTCTGCATAAGCTTCGTTGTAGGTTCCGTCGGCCTTCTTGGTGGTAACGGGCCTGGTATTAATCATAATATCAGGAAGCATATCTTCATCTGCGATGATTGACGGCCAAGGGGGATACCCTTTAAGCCTGGCAAGATAGTAGTCGCCTGGTTGGGCATCGAGATGAGTGATTTTGGACATGGACTTCTTCTTGTTGAGCTTCTTCCCCTTGTGTTCAGCGACAGTGGATGACTTTCTCCGCGACGAAGACTTCTTGTCGGCAGGGGTGGCGCCGTTTGTCTCTGGTTGAGCGGCCTCTGCGTCATCCGTCTCTTTTGTCTCCGTGTCTTCAGCAGCAGTTGCGCCGGTCGCAGACTCAGCCACTGATTCTTGTGTCTCCTGAGGCGGCGCCGCTGCATCCTCTACAGGGCCATTTGCTGTCGCGCTATCTGTGAGTCAAGATCAGCAAGTTTTCTGAGGCATGAAAGCATCAAGAGTACCTGTCGCTTGAACCGGGTCTGTCTCGGTGGATTTCTCAGCGGGAAGAGCTCCCGACATCTCCGCGACGGTCCCTGAAGCAGGCTCAGCTATCGACGGAGGAGCTCCATCAGCAGGTTGCGGCACTTTGACAGGGACCTCTGTCATTGGAGCCGACTCCTCAGAAGCCATGTTGGACGGGGTTCAGTGAGGGAGGAGAGTGGAGAGAAGTGACGCGTTGGTGAGCGCGCAGGCGAAGAAAGGTCTTGGCCTGTCGGAAGAAGATATCAGTAATTGTGTACTTGAAGAAATGCTGCTTAATGCAAGACCGGATTGCCTTGTGAATGTAAGGAGCAGAGTGTTGTGCGCTGGGAATGGGAGGGACGCGACAGCACGAAGTAGCTGGCAAAGCCCGGATCCAACAAGATGAGCCGGCCGACCACAGCAAACAAGGGGAGAACCACAGACCAGGCGACTCTGGATGGATGAAGGATAAGCACGATGATATCGATGCGACAAAGGTTGGGATGGTAGTGTGCAAGTGGTCGCGATGGGATGAGAGAGTGAGGATTGCGACTGCGACAATGATGGAGAAGGGAATTGAAATGCCCCAAAGCAATGCAGAGAGAAAAGCCACTGCAACTGCCTTGCAGCCAATCACAGGCACCCCTGCCGCCAAGGCCCTTCGGGGGAGCTGCTCTCTGATCCTGTGCAAAAGGAACTCGGCTGGTAATCGCTGGCGTCTTGCGCCCGCTAGGCAACCCGTGCTATATCGTCGTCCTCTTTGTTCTCCTCAAAACATTGATCCGATCCGTTGGGAATGAACAATGGAAGCGCTCACCAACGGTTTCTACCAGCACAATCTGTGATTGAAATTGCTGGTCTTGGAGATCGAGCTCCGATAAATTTCAACGGAGCGGGGAATAAGGAGGTCAATATGCGCGTCAGACACGGGGAAAGATGAGAACTGCTTCCCAAGGGACCGGTCTCAGGTTTGAGGAACGCTGGCCGCTGTTGATGGCGGTGGTGTTGCGTCGTAAATCAAGGCAGATGTTGAAGCTGGTGATCAATTGCACCTGGTGTCTTGTTCATTCACCCGTCAGTACAAAAGTAAAGTGGCTGGGGATAAAAGAGCGCACACCCACCGGCCGGCCCGTGGGTGACTGGCGGCCAATGTAAAGTGCAGCTTCAGATCACAGATCGATGTCGGGTGCCAGCACCAAATGGGAAGGTATCCCTGAGGACGGTTTTGAGAACGGCCCTGGTTCACCAGGTCATTGTTTAGATATTTCTTGAAATATATCTTTGAATTCTGACAGCTCTAGAGCAGCGACATTGGTCAATTCAAACAGAGTCCATGAACTGCGACGCTGGCAGAGAGGCAGGGTGGCAGGAGATGACAGCCAGAGAGCGATTACGGTGACGCAATTGTGCATTATACAACGTGTAGGGTGAAGTATATAGCTCACTGCTGAATCGGATGTCGGGTGAGTCGCGCCTGGCCATGCTCAGCAGTGTATTATCTCATCTTGCACATTTCCATTCATTTCGACTCTTTTCCTAACACGAACCCCCTTTCCACAAACAAACTGGTATCTACCGAGGATATCTGCAGTCGTCATACAGTAGATCCGTAGCTAATGTCTTAACAACAGGGATGGAGGTCTTGTAAGATCCACGTCCCACTCCCAATCTCAATTCATGATGTCAGACGTGTCTCTCGCTTTGCTCTGTCCTCAATTCGTCTATTATATATTATATACGACTCCCAAGTCTTATATACAGCAAGCTGGACGCGATGCAGATATCCAGCCCGTTTCGTCGTCATATCGTCGCATCGTTCAACGCCTCGTGATTAAAAGGAAGGGGGGGGGGGGGATGACAAGATTCTATATGCAACCGATCCAAGTGATTCTCGTTGTAGCATTACTGTAGGCATGCAGGCCTGGTCTGTGGTCTGATCGTCGTGGTCTTGGAGGAGGAAGATAGGTCGAGGCAATAACTTTGACGAGCGGCGTCCCTGGGATCGATTTTCTTGATAAGGCTCTTCCCCCAATAGATTGATAGGGCATGTAGATCGGGTGCCAGACTGGTTTCGTAAGACTCGTATTATGCTGGCCATCCAATGTCGCAAGCTTTCCGTAGTCCCTGTGCGGGACTCGAGATCAACCTCAAGCAGCACTCGCCACAACAGGCCTCTTCTCCGGCTCCCAGCCTCCAGTCTCTCTGTTGATCCCAAGTCCTGTTGATGATTTCGCTTGCCTCTCAGCCTCCAGCGGTACCTGGACAGGCTTGTGAATCCTCAAGCACCAGAGAAACCAATCTTCCAGCACGAGCAGGTTTAAGAGCACATCGTTAAACTTCCAGCCCAGGCAGCACACGATGGAGCCCGCCACCGCATCGAGGATGAAATGGTTCGCCGTCGCGACGATGGCCGTCAGGATGGAAAAGGGGTACAAGAAGCCGATGGCAAGGCAGAGCATCCGCCGCGTGCTCGGCAGCCGAATGTGAGGCGCAAGGTTGGGGTGAGAGTTATTGAAGATGGGAAGATGAACGATCTTCCAGGGCTGCGAGTTCTCGGGGGCCAAGGGGATCGTCATGATAGTGACGCCGATCAAGAGGGAATAGCCAAAGTGCAGGGAGGGCATTGCCGCTGTTCAAAGGCAGAACTGTCAGCATACATAACATTTGAACGATTGCTTCGCTATCAATGCGCCCTAGGAGATAATCCCGAAAGAGCATAGGAGAGAGCCTTATACTCACCATATTGATTGCAGAACCGATTCTGCGTCCACACCGAACTTGCGCCTTCTTTACCATGCACAGTATCAACAAACCCGAAGCTCTTGGAGATTTCAGCCTGGGGTCCATCATATTCCGGGTCACTCAGCAACCGAGGTGGCATGCAAGGCCAAAGAGTGAAAACGATGAAGGCAAGCAAATTGCAAACTGCCATTGTCCGTCGGCGCGCCTCGTAGAGCCATGGTCCTGAAGGTGAGCCCACTGATACGGCGTCACCTCTTTTCCCACTTGACTGAGCAGCCGCACGACGTTGAATCAGCCGGTTCCTAGTGATGGTATAGTAGTACAACCACACCAAGAAGGCGATGGTGCCAGGAATGTGGATAAAGCTGTACAGCCAGTTGATTGACATCATCAAGCGCGGGTAGGACATGAAGAATTTCTGGACAGGAAGTTCCCAGAAGATGTGCAGTCGCTGTTCGAGTTCGATGACTTGCAGCGCATGTCGGCGCGCAACGTTCACTGTTCCCTCGACCAAGCTGAGGGCAGTGAATGCTCGGCCGAGCTGGTAGACCTATTTACCACAAGTCTGTCAGAACACAAGTTTCCTAGCGGGGGGGACGGGGCTGTCTGCTGGATGTTTAGACCGACCCAGTATATCAGAGCCCAGTACCAGGCTTCGACCAAGAATGGAAACTTGTGCAATATTCTGCTGAGTAGTCTATGTCTGAACATTGCTGTATTCGGTGTCTGAACCACCCTTCGGTATCCCAACAAAGGTATCTTCAGCTCGCGCTCCCGCCATTTGTCCTCTTGACTTGGTAACAGAGATGGGCTCAGAGATCTCTTCGATCGGGATATGTGTAGATTTTCAATGTCCGCATCTGCGCCGCTGTCGACTGCGCGAGCGAGGGGAAGGTCAGGGACGTCGTGATCATCTTCCTCGACCGAGAAGGTGAGAGGACTTCGCGAGGACGAAAAGGAATCCGGCGCTCGGTTGATCCAAGCACCGCCAAAGAGGAGGACGACCACGGCCAGAGGCTCGAGGAATGCGCCCGCGCCCATTTTGAGATCTCTGCTTCGTCTTCGTGCGGATCTCTGAGCTTCGACTGTGCGTTCACCGCCGTATTCTTCGATCCTAGTCTCCGCCTGATCTTTCCTCTCCGTCAGAGCAGACCGAGGTAGTCCAGAACGACGATGTTAGCTATTCAGGAAAATGGCCAGAAGAATCTCCCACGGTCAGAGATGCGGGACAGCAGCGCATATGTATGGACAGGGAACAGGACAAGCACCTCACGGGCGGGCCGGGTACCAGAATAAAAGAGCAGGGCAGCAAAGGGTACATGCTTGCATAGGGAAAAAGCCAGCCAGTGCCATCACTTGGTCTGAGTAAGGTAAGGCCCATTCTAGGTATCACGGTGGCTCTGGCTAGCGATCAGAGTTTCCAAGAGCCGGTTTAGTCAATGGATCGTGTTCTGTCTGGAACGGAATAGTTGAGCTCTACTGGCTGCAAGCCAGAGTATAGGTCAGCAGATTCCATTGCGGACCACAGACAAAAGATGACAAGGAGCGAATAGACAATTGACAAGGCCGAGAGAGCTGTGGAGATCGGCTGGAATTGTGACAAGGCTTGCCTGCATCAAGTAATCAGGCACGCATCCGAGTTCCGGCAGCTCCATGCATCTTATGTTGGATGTGCTGATGGGTTAATTTTTGGATTCGTCCGGCACTTGCTCCGTTGTTGAGTTTGCGGCAATAAATAGCTTGTGCAAGTATCAGTCTGTGCGAGCATAGTGAAGAGGTTGAGGGACCACATGTAGTACAAGGAGTCGTCATTGATTCCTTTTTTTTAGTTGAATCCTCTTTCCTCCCGCCTTTCTTCTGCCCCGCTCTTTTATGCGAGTATCTCTACAAGGTATACGAGGTACATATCTGGCAAGTCTAGAGAGTAGTGGATCCATACACTAAAAGTCCAGGTGTAGGTAGGGACTTTGAACAAAAGGACGGCGGTGACACTCTCCAACACTGCTCTCTCGTCCTTTTCTCCTGACAGAATTGTGTTACACAAGGTTATCCTCTCGGACGTTATGCCAGGGACCTGGTTGTGTCATTATGCAGAGCTAAAGGATCCAAAGCTTTTTCACAAGCTCCTAAGCCTTGTCGCCAGCATCCGGGCGTCCCGGGAAGGCCGAGTCACGGGATTTCGCCTTGATTTCTTCCGATGTTCTTTCTCCTATTGGCTACTGCATCAGGCGACAACATCTCGGCGCGAGCCAAGGCGGCTGGGCGGCCAGATGGCCAAGAAGTGTTACTTGCACTCAGGTGAAAGAACTTGTAAAAAGTGTATTAGAACTACTATTATCGATACATTTAATCTAGTACGTGACCCTCCATACCACTTGGCTTGCGTTGCAGTTTGGTTCACGACAATGTCACGTGACGTCGATGACGGCGGGCTAGTGGGGTAGAGAATTAGCTGGGCGCCTGCTGGGCCGCTCTCAAAGCCAAGGCGTTCTCCTCCTCTACGAGGTACCTCGTACTCGTCCTCGTACCCAAAGTACAGAGTACCTCGTCTCGAAACAGCCTGGCTAGGCGCCGACCTGGAGGGGACAACCCCAAACGTTTCATCTATTGGATCATACAAAAGTTTGTGGGTCTCCCTGCCCGTCGCTCAATGCCCGACGCCGGGTCAAGCAAGTATGTAGTGCCACACTAGGTACCTGTCTGCAGTCGATCAGGCTGAACGCAGGTTTGCTCCAAAGGGGATTGTATCCCTGAGATATGATGGCACGGTCTATATTGTATGGATTTCTGCTAGCCTTACTGATGGGTTTAATAACATGATGAAGAGGTTCCTGAAGCACATCAAAGGAAAGCGCCCTCGAAGCAGAGACGCAGGCGGGCAAACAGGCGCTCTGGATGTGGTAACACCATTGTCACGTCGGCTGTTGTGCGGGACGCTGATAATTATACCCAGGACGAAGCATCGAGTGTTGAACAGGAGCGATTACCGCCAGAACTGCAAGCTCTGGCAGACGATTCTCGCCGCTATGGGCTCAGAAGACTCCCCTCACTACCAGAAACACCTATATCTGACCAGACTTACGAAGTCAGCATTGTTGCCGTGCACGGTCTCGGAGGTGATTTCTACAGGACTTGGGCGAGCCGCGATCCCCAGACACCGACCTTGTGGCTTTCACAACTTCTTCCGAAAGACTTGCCTGGCGCACGAATTTATTCCTTTGGGTATGAATCTGCACCAACCTTTAGCCGCTCCGTGACAGGCATCAGCGACGCCGCGAACGACCTACTCCATGGCTTAAAGTCTCTGACCGAGCAGGTGAGTGAAACCTCACAACTCGGGACATTATCGAGCTCATATTGACCAACCCGTTAGTGGCCAGCCCAACCAATTATTTTCATCTGTCACAGCCTAGGAGGAATAATAGTGAAACAGGTACCACCAAATCTCTGGATATGAAGAATCAGAGCTGACAGGATGTCGTCTTAGGCAATGATCACGGCACACGAGTTTGACTATTTTGCCGATGTTTTGCGCGCCACCCGGTTGATTGTGATTATGGGTACGCCACATAGAGGGAGTCAGATTGCGGCAGCGTTGCTCCCCGTGCAACATTTACCAATTTCTGTTTGGATCTCTCCTTCACCTCGAATTTTACTGGTTCGATGAGGACCAATCTGATCAGCATGTTATCGCGAGATTCGGCAAAGCTCGATGAGGTCAACCAATCATTCAAAAGAAGAGCCGCTGCCATGACCATTATTTCGTGCTACGAAAGAGTGACACCTCCTGGTTGTTCTAAACTGGTGAGTCCATTTCGAGGCTGCTGAAACCTTTTCACATCGTGTGCTGAGAAAATTTGGAGGTCGTTGAAAAACAATCCGCCATTCTTGGACTACCGGAGGAAATCGAGATATCTATTCAAGCCGATCACATGGCCATGTGCCGCTTTTCGTCAAGGAATGACCCTGGTTATGAACCACTGGCGCGAGCCATAGTCTATGCTGTGAAGCAGATGACGCCCGACACCTCGCATCATTGTACGTCAATATTCCTAGCCAGTGCTGAGCGAGAGGCTAAAGTGCACCACTAAAAGCTTTCACAGAATCTGAAAGCAGATACATGGCGACGTTAAGCCGACAACCTGATGTTCCTATTGACGAGCCCTTGCAAGGCACTTGTGTCTGGTCCGTCTCCACTCGAGAATATCGCGATTGGCGGGCCGAACCTAAGCCAGCTGTTCTGTGGTTGACAGGCGATGCAGGCTGTGGGAAAACCGTACTTACCAACTTCCTTGTCCGAGAGCTGAGAAACGGCGCGGCACCGAGCTCGACAAAGGGCGAGCTGGTTTGCTGCTTCTTCTGTTCCAGGGACATCGAGTCGCAAAAAGACGCACGGTCTCTTCTGAGGTCGCTCATATGGCAAATCCTGCCGGTCGAGAAAGACGTGGTCCGTCAGATCAAGGCGGCTTACAGCTCGATAAGGCATGAATATGAGCCATCCTTCGAGACTCTCTGGCACGTGTTCGAAATGACTGTGCGAGTCAGCTCGTGCACTCATCTGTACATGGTCATTGATGCCTTGGATGAATGTGAGGAGAAGTCACGATCACTGTTCCTAACAAAGTTTCTCAACATGATACGACCTAGGAGCCTGGATGGCGGCGAGACGTGGCGCAAGAGAATCAAACTCATCATCAGCGGACAGCCCCTCGTCAGCCGAGCTTGGAAAATCGGGCATGAAAGCCTCCACCAACTCTACATTGATATGGAGAAGCGTCCCGAGGGTTTGGTGGAGGACCTTCAACGGTTCGTCGACTACAAAGTGGAAGACCTGGTTGACAACGCCATCTGCTCCGAGGCCCTCGGCGAGCAGTTGAAGCGGACTCTTTCTTCTCTGGCCGAGAACTCGTTTCTCTGGCTGAGCGTCGTGCTGGAGGACCTCAAGCAGGGCTTGAACTATCGCGATGCCGATGTACAAAGGGTATTGGCCTCCATTCCTGGCAACCTGAAGGATTCCTACACGAAGCATCTTCCACCGATATCGGAAAGCCAATTGCCGCGATTGAGGTGTTATCTGCAACTGCTGGTAGCATGTGCGAGACCGTTGACGCCATCTGAAGTCGACGTCTTCGCGACACTGCACCATCAGCAGTCGACCGCGTCTATTTCTCCCGTCGATGGGGCGTTGGTGCTGAATAGCCTTCGTCGCGCTCTAGGGCCTCTGGTCAAGTTTCCCGATGGAAAGGTCCAATTCATCCACTCGACGGTAAAGGGATATCTCTTGGCCCTGCAATCTGAACCCGACCATCTGCTTCACAAGACCCACGGCGTGGAGCTCGACACGGCACATTCGCTTCTCGCGAAAGCTTGCATCCAAACCCTCCTGCAGGAGGCGGATAGCCCCGATGCACCCGACGAAGAGAGACTTTCCCTAGAGGTGTCCCCGTCCAGTCCCATCTCTGCCTGTTCTTCGAGAGGCCAAGCCGACCACGACCAGGACGCACCTTGGACGGAATTGTTCAGCATTGAGGATGTCGCCTTCCTGCGAGATGAAAACACCATCTCAGACGACGTCTTGTCACATCTCAGCGGTCACTACCCGAGTTACGATTATGCCACGCGGTATTGGGATTATCATTACACCCAGGCCGAATTCCTCGCTGATGCTTCTATTCAACAAGATGCAATCAAGCTGCTGTCCTGCGGGTCACCGCGACTCTCTCGATGGTACAAGTACAAAGCCAACCATTCACCTACTGCGATGCCTGGTCAATCTGACGTTGACGCTCTGATCCTCGCGGCCTTGTTCAATTTCCCAACAATCTTGCAGACGCTCTTATCGACCCCTGGACCTCCCAGACAAGGCAACAAGCTTCAATCTGCACTATATTGGGCGTCGTCCCGCGGTCATGTCCAGTCCATCAACGTCTTACTCGAGCATAAGGCACCTCTTCTCGACGCAGATCGTGATAGATCAGCGTTGGCTGTCGCCGTTCAAGGCGGACACGCTGAGGCCTGCGAAGTGTTACTCGGCGCGGACGGTGCTGATCCCAATTATTCCGGTCTGAGAACTCTACCACCCCTTGCCCTCGCCGCGGCCCATAACCATGTCGAAATATTGGTCGGGCTGCTTCAGCATGCATCCATTGACGTTACTCAGGCCGATGCGTCAGGACACACGGCCCTCATCCAAGCGTGCTGTTACGGCTCCGACCAATGTCTGAAAGAACTATTGCGAGACGACCGCACCAACATCAACTCACGTGATAGAGACGGCCGCAGCGCCCTGATACACGCTTCCATGTCAAGCAATGCATTCGCGGTGGAAAGGTTGCTGAGGAACTCGTTATTAGATGTGCATGTGTGCGACAAGTACGGCCGAAATGCCATGTCCTATGCGGCCGACAAAGCCACACTCCCTATCGTCAGGCGCTTGTTCCACGCGCAAGTGTCTATTGCAAAAGAGGATGCCAACGGTCGAAACGCCATCTCGTGGGCAACCAACAGCTCCGGAGCGACCAAGGACCCCGACCATCACGGACAGTGTGTCCTTGAATACCTCGTGAAGAAATGCCCTAAAGGCGCCGACTCCCAGGACAAAGACGGTTGGCCGGCTCTAGCCTGGGCCATGGACCGACCTGGATATCTCGAAGCTATCCGAATCCTTGTCGAAAAGGGCAAAGCGGACGTCAATCAGAGAAGTCAAGCCGGCGGTCGTTCCTTGCTGGCTTGGGCGGCCACTGAGGGGTTTACGCAGATTGTCGAATACCTGTTGAGTCTGCCGCACTTGGACAAGAATGCGACAGGCGCCGAAGGCCGATCGCCGTTGTCATACGCCGCGGCAAACGGCAACGTGCGTATCGTAGAATTGCTTTTGGGCGACAGCGAGGTCAGGGCGGATTTGCGGGATTCGAAGGGGAGGACCGCCATGGATTGGGCACGGATGAATCATCAGGACGCAATCGTTTCCGTACTATCTAAACACGGTTTGGAGTAGCAGCTCCTTTTTTTTTTTTTGAACAGGGTGTCGTAGCACTCACGCTCCTCGCCGGCGTGTTGGGTATGACTGTGGTTCTGTGTCTGGCTTTGTCGCGGGCTGATGAATGACTGGTCGACATGTCCGTGCTTTTGCTGACCATGGCTGCTATAATAATGAGCATGTGAACTTGGACGCCGTGCCGAGCTATCGAGTCCGTCGCTGGCATCCTTCTATCCTCTCGTCAGCAAGGCGCCCTTTCGACGCCGTGCTGACGTCGCACATCTCGATCGGAGGAATATCTGGCGCTTCCCAGCTGTGACTTCATCAGGGAACTGGGACCATGGAGGCAGGTGGTTGGAAGGCCGATGCTGCGTTCTGTCGGTTTGCGAAGCTGCAGCGAATCTTGTCTTCTCTGAAGGACGTCGCATATCTCGATGATCTGATCGTGTTTAAATCGAAGGTCAAGCGCCCAGTGGGCACTATGAATGCCATGTCTTCAACCGATTTTCCGCCCGACGTTGCCCACTCCTCTGCCCACAACACTGACCAAGAGCTGTCCCTCTGCCTTCTCACCTTCGACATCTCGAATTCCCCACCCTGCCGAGCCAAACGCACTCAGATCTCTTGCTAATTGAATCGTATGCTCGTTGGCCAGGACATCTCGCCCCACCTGTATTCTGCCGACATCCTCAGAGCCCATGGTCATCAGGGTGAAAACGGTGTCGATAGCCTCCAGACTCACACATCCTCCTCGCTCGATGCTCTCCAGGAGCTGGAATGCGCTCATCCGTCCGATATCCTCAGGCGGTTTCCCTCCCTCGGGAGGGCTCGCTGAGTCTGCAGAGTACAAACATCCGGACGAAGTCTCAGCCACCAGCGACAGGCCAAACCCGAGCCCAACCTTCTTTTTGGCATTTGGGTTGTCTTTTGTCGGTGCAGGCACGAGGGTGGCACTGCTGACGTCCGAAAAGATATAAATGTCGCCTGCAAACTGGTTCAACACGCCCCTCGCTGCCTCGATCATTCTTGCATTGTTCTGTCCACTCACGCCTGTCGAATAAGCCACGCCTCTGATCCTCTTCACTCTCCCCGGATTGAGCATATGTAAAGTCTTAGGCAGCCGCACTTGGTGGCCGAATACCAACTGTACTTCTCCCGCGCCGCCCATGCCCCTAGGGCCAGGATTGGACCGTTTTAGAATCCTCAGCTCGATATCCCTCTCGATGCCAAACTTCGCGTAGAGAGGCAGAATCGCCGTTCGGACGGAGTCCACGCTCATATCCCCCCACGTCTCTGGAGTGGAACTCGTGATTACGCCGGGACCAGTGAACAAAATGTTGAACTTGGCCTTGCTGAAGGGCGCCAGCAGGCACATCGGAATCAAAAAGTAGGCCAGCCCTCGTGTATTCGTGGCGGGGATCTCGTGTCTCAACACCCCCGAGACGCCGTCCGCTCCACTGCCCGGCGCCGACCCAGTGATCAACCCTGGCTTGTACAACAGCACCGTGCCTGTATACGAGATTTCAATGTGCGAGCCATTCGTGACGGCTTCGAGGAGTCTCAAGAAGGAGATTTCGTGTGGCCCCAGCCCTGGGTTGGTGGGTGAATTAGGACGGATCTGATCGATGCGGATGGGACGACCAAGCAACGTAGAGAGGATCAGGCGGGAAGTCAGGGATTTGTGGGAGGAGAATCGGAGGGGAGGTTGTGAGGTCGTCGACATTGTGGTATAGGAGAGTTAAAAGATCCAGGGTCAGCTCATGTTTTGTGAGTGCGCCACTTTCATGTATGATCTGCGCTTGAGAATGGACTTTCTCTATTAAACATTCATCAGAGAAAAAAAGTCCAACAGGCCGCTTCTCCGCAGCACACCAAATTTTTCTCCGCAGTTGGACTCGATCTGAATTCTCCCGCTGCTTTTTGCCTCTGACGTTGACCATCGTCTTCAACACATACCATTTGACTTTTCCCCAAGACCTACTACTGTATATTCGCGGGCCGCCGTCCTCTGCTCCCTACATTTTCAAGTCAGGAACATAGCCGCGCTCGATGAAGGCCGCCAGGAGTGCGCCTAGATATATCCCAGTCGGTCGTACACATTTCAGGCTCTTCGCTGCTACACGGTTGTGCACACGTCAATTCCCTCTCAAACTGACCCAGTTCCACTCCAGAAGCCACTCCACCATGGCCGCCGCGTTAAATCTGCCCAAATGGTACCGAGAACAATTGAGCAGTTCTATGTGGTACGGCTCCTCGCTGACGGTTTCTCAGGCTCAAAGATAACTCGCACCTGCTCAAGCCGCCCATCAACAACTACTGTGTCTATGCGCCCTCGTCCTCTACTGGGGGCCTGACAGTCATGGTTGTCGGTGGCCCAAATGCTCGAACAGACTACCACATCAACACCACGCCCGAGTTCTTTTATCAGCATAAGGGCTCCATGCTGCTGAAGACCATGGACACCTCAACCACACCACACACGCCTGTCGACATACCCATTCACGAGAACTCAATGTTCCTCCTTCCTCCCAACACTCCGCACAACCCTGTCCGATTTGCAGACACCGTGGGCGTTGTACTGGAACAGCCGCGGCCGGAGGACTCGGTTGACACGCTAAGGTGGTATTGCAAGAGTTGCCATAACATTGTTCATGAGGCAAGCTTTCACCTCACGGACCTGGGCACGCAGATCAAGGAAGGCGTGTTGGCGTTTGAGAACGACATGGACGCCCGGACGTGTAAGAATTGTGGCACGGTCGCAACGTCGAAACCAGCACCAGGTGAGATTCAACAGCCTCCGAGATTCCCAGACGAATGAGCAAGTGGCACGGGTGATCATCCGGTCCCAGCCAGCAATGACTTTTCCTTTTCTTCTACATCATCTGCTGCAGATTGTTCCTGTGTCTTACTTTCTGCGGCAATCTGTTTGAGTACGTCTTCTGCAATTTTGACTGCTGCTGGAGGTAGTCCGGCCAACTTTGCAACCTTCAACGCATGTGACTGTCTATTGATGCCCCTCTTCAATCGGTGCAAGAACATGAACGAGCCATGTTCATCCTCCAGCACATCAGTACAATAGCAGCACAGGTTGGGCCATTTTCGTGTCATATCAGCCAGGGCATGAAAATGGGTCGCGAAGAGTGTTCGGCATTTGTTGATGTGATAGAGGTGATACAAACTCGCATATCCAACGGCAGTTCCGTCTTCGGGGGTCGTGCCTCGCCCTACCTCGTCCATGATCACAAATGACTTGGGAGTGGCGTGCTTCAGTATCGCTGCGGTCTCCAGCATCTCCACCATAAAGGTAGATTGGTCTCGAAACAAGTCATCCGCAGCCCCTATCCGACTGAAGATCTGGTCCACAAGCCCGATCTCAGCGTGGACGGCTGGCACGTACGAGCCGGCCTGAGCAAGTATTGTAAGCAGAGCATTCTGCCGGAGAAACGTACTCTTCCCACCCATATTGGGTCCTGTCACCAACCATATTCGCTCCTTGTGGTCAAGGACGAGATTGTTGCTGACAAAAGATCTGCCTTGCTCTTCCAGCCCTGCTTTGACTGTAGGATGCCGGCCTCCGATGATTTTGTGCTCTGTACCGTTGTTGAGGAGAGGTCGAACCCACGATTGCTCCCTCGCGAGGAGGGCAAAGCCGCATGCAACATCTAGTTCGTCCATGACTGCCGCATTGCGCCGCAGTGTTACCAGGTTCTTGATGACAAGCTCCCTCAGCGTTGCAAATATTCGCTTCTCTTCCTCGCGGATGTTTAGAATCGCTTGGTCGATCCGGCGGCCCAACCGAGTCCAGTCGCCCAGATAGAAGGAACGAGTACTCTTAGAGGATGAGACCATCTTGGCATGGAGCGATTCCAATTTCTCTCGATCAAAGCCTGTGGCACTGCGAATATGGCAAATGTGGCCGAGGCCAGGTGTGGACTTCAGCATCAGCGTCGGCGCTGAGAGTTCCGCTCGCAGCCTGTTCGCTAGGTGAACTTTTTCTGTCTGGAGCGAGTCCAGGTCTTTGTGTAATCGGTGCAGCGTCTCACTAGCATCGCGACGCATTATCCAGGGCTCTTCAAGTTCGATCTCGTCCTTCTTTTGATCCTCCAATTTGCTGCGAGCTTGGACGGCTTTGGGCAATAAATCCAATTCCTCTGGACCACTTTGCAATACGACATCATGTGCCATGGCGGCAACACTTGCCGCTTCGTCTTCTTCAAGCCGATGCTTCTGCATGAGGCCTTGTTCGTCAATAGCCGAAGAAATCCGAGCCTGGAGCTCAGCTGGACCGTGCAGCTCAAAACGCTGCAGAAGCTTCCGGAGAGGAAGCACCACATGTGCTTGGTTCATCCCATTGGTTTCCGCCAGGTTCAAGTCCTGTTCCAACGACTGCAGAAGATCATTCGTCGCGACGGTTTCGGTTATGGCGCTTGCTAATGACAACATGTCATCCGCATCTCCTTTGTTCAGCGCAAATTTTTGAACGATGCGTTGGACATCGAATGTTCTTCGAAGTCGGAAGATCAACGACTCCGCCAACTCCTGGTTTTCAACGAAGACTGTGACCAAGTCAAGCCGATCATTAATTTCACCAAGCGAGGCCGACGGGGATGTGAGACGGTCTCGTAGAAGGCGTGCACCACTTTTAGTTGAGGTCCTCTTGACAGCATGAAACAAACTCCCCTTTCCAAGGCCGTCTCGGGCGGTTTCCAAAATCTCCAGGCCTCTGAGACTGTTGCGGTCAATGTTCAGGATAGCCTGTATTTCGCGTTGACGTGGAGGCTGCAAACGAAGCTGTAAGCCCTGCAGCCGATGGCGAACATAGTCCAGAAGTCGGTGACCAGCATGCTTTTCTGCCATGCTGAACCTCTCATCTGCGTTTGCAGGCACGGGAGATTCGAGCATCTCATTCCACTCGGCCATGGATATAAAATCACTCTCTGTCTCATGCAACGTGAGTAGTCGATGGTCTCGGCCGACTATATTCTGCACCTCATTTTGAATTCCTTCGGAAATGTTAGAAGGTAGAATGATCTCCCGGGGATCAATTCTGGTCAATGCTGACGACAGTGAGCCACGACCTGTGATCTGCGTGTAGAAGTCGCCAGTAGATAGGTCCAACCAAGCAAGACCGAGCTTCTGCTCAGGCTCTGGTTCTGGAGCTCCCACATCACCATTGCTTTGCTCGATCATGACAGGCTCCGGGGCAATCGATAGCAGGAAGTTGTATTCGTACGGATCCAGGAACTTCTCGTCAATCAACGTACCCGGGGTTATCACTCGTGCCACCCGACGATCGTGTTTGAGACCACCGGATTTGACCTTGCCAGAGACCTGGACCAGGAATTCCTCACATATGGCCACATATTTGTTGAGATCTTGGACAAGCATTTTCAAGAACCTGTCCAATTGGAAAAAGGGAAATCCGGCCATTGCGACAGGCCCGAGCTTGGTCTGCTTGTGGCCGACTTTGAGATTGAGGAGAGGCCCGTATTCTTCCGCCTGTTCAAAGTACAACTCGTAGAAATTGCCGACCCGGGTGAGGAGGACGCAGTTGTCAAATTTGGCCATGTTAGACCTCGCACCCTTGAGCACCGTTGGGTACTGGGGCTCATCGTCGGCAGGTAAGTTGGGAAGGGGTTCAGCCTGGATCGTGCCCTGCTGTAGTTCTTTCACTTTCTTCCTTGACACCGATTTTGCTCCCCTCTGTTGACCTCGAGCGAGCCATGGTTGGAAGATAGGCTTTACGGTTTCTCGGTGCTGCTTGTGACATGTGAGGAGGGTCCGGGGACGAATGATGCTCTCTAGTAACCGGAGGTCTCGGCCATGGAGTGATTGAATGAATGGTCGCATTGGGTCACTCTGGATGCGGTCAAAGGATGATTGAGGTCGACGCGCTTGACGCGTAAATTGCTGAGCGGAATAAACGCCGCTTTTAGGATACAGACCTCATGGAGGAAGGGAGAGCGATGCGAGGAGATGAAAAGCACTCGGTCGCTGCGAGATTGAATCAATGGATGGAATCTATATATTTTCTTGCGTCCTGTCTTTGAGGGAGCAATTGGTCTTGTACGCAGCTCGTGAAAGTGAGCAAGAGCAAGTTGGGTGAACCAGATAATCAGCGAGAGAATAATGGAAATTTACTGCAGACTTGATGAAACAAAGGATGTGGTGTAGGTCTGTAGATATGCCTTCATGGCTGTTTACATATGGGGCTCTTTTGAGTCCTTTCTTCAATCTCATAATGTCGCTCTCGTCCATTGGCCTCTGTCATGCAGCATCGCGTCAGTCGACATATCTCTCTACAAACTCTTCACCCCAGCCCTTTAACTCCATCCTCAAGAGATCCCCTCTTTCGACCTCCTCCCTCTTCTCACACAACTCCTCAACATCCCAGTTACCCCAAATTAATCTTCCTGTGAGGAAATTCGCATCAGTCTCCGCTTTAGCGGCAGCCCAAACGCACCAGGACGCTGGTAACCGCACATCATCCTTCGCCATGACTCGCTGTCCTTTTCTCGCCATTGCGGTCGGGATTTCACCAGGCTGTAGGTTGAACACGGCGAGGTCATCGGGATGTTCGGCTTGGAGGAAGCAGAAGATGTGCAGAGCGGCAAGTTTCGAGGCGGCGTAGGCGGAGAATGTAGGTATCAGTGGTGGAGGCAGGTGTGCAGCACCAGTCGAGATGTTGATGATGACGGGCTTGGAAGCTGACGAGTTGTGTGGTCCCACCGAGGGCACTTGTGCTGGTGGACGGGTCTTTAAGAATGCCTTGATGACAACGAGAGCGCCTTTGACGTTCGTCTCGAAGCATTGCCAATAGTCTCCAAGCTCTGATTCCGCAAGGAGAGAGTGAAGATCCAGATACCCTGCGTTGGAGACGAGAACATCAATTCGGCCCAACTTTCCAACGGACTGGGAAAAAGCATTATCCATGGCCTCCGCAGATGCCACGTCGGCTTGAAATACAAGGCACTGGAAGTCGGCGCTACCCCTAGTCTTGGCTGCTTCCTCAATCTCGACCTTCGCGCCGTCAAGTGTGGATTTGGTCCGCCCTGTGATAACGACAGCGCGTACCTTGGCCACTGCAAAGGCGATAGCTGTTGCTTTGCCAATTCCAGTTGCACCGCCAGTAATGAAAACAGTCTTTCCGTGAGCCGATAGAGAAGGCTGCAGAGGATCGATCGCAGCGTAAGGCGAGTGATGCCATGTTTTGGTGAAGGAAGGAAACTTCGACATGGTGCGTTTAAGTTTGCAAGGTTGAAACGCTTGAGATGCTTCTTCCTAGCCGGTGGCAGATCACGTCGTACCTTTTGCGGTGGGTATACTGAGAGGACTGTTTTGTGTCAAACTCTCTAGGTATTTCGTGAGGATTTGCTCTGCTTTATACTCGAGCCGCCGTATTGGTGGGACAATATTGTTGTCGACCGGTATATGCAGTAAGCTGGAGACATTTGAAAAGAGGGATGTCGTTACATCAGACATCGTGACATGCCTGCAACATCTAGAACCGGCCGCGGTGAGCAACACCAATGAACAACAGCTCCACCGACAGTAGGTCAGAGCACAAACATCAGAGCAAGGCTGCATACCTTTAGTTAGAGCCAACATGATTATCTCCAATAATCACACTCTGCGGTGGAATAGTCCGGTCACGGTTCGGACGTGAGCCAATAAGCCAAAGGGGAGAGTAAGCCAGCCTCGAATGGCCGAATTCGGCATGGCCCATGTACACGGGTACATTTGGATAAGCATGTTGTCGCTCGAGCAGCTGCTGGTGTTTGATTATGAGTGCTGATTCAGGGGACATTCCCCACAGGCGCATTGATAGGGTTCAAGGTCTTGTTGAGTGCTCAGAGTTACTGTCAACACGACCTGACAAGAATGTCGGGTGTCGAGCGCTCAAGACATATCCTTGTAAGCGGATTGGAGGCCTCAGGTGTCCTTCCCTCCAGCGTAGAATGGACTATTTGTGTCGGGCACTCGCAGGGATCGAAAACCCTCGGGTCATGAAATCGGCGTCCCTTCGACTCTTTTCGTCTGATTTCTTAGAGTACAAGGAGCTGATGTTTTCGTTCTCACGCCTTCTCTTCTTCCTGGCTGCTTCCTCTTCCATGACTCGGGCGGTAAGACTGGCGGTTGCAGCATTCTTAATCCCATTTGGCAGATTTGTTATCGAGTTCCCTGCCAGGCTTGTCGCAGGGAGAGTGGTGTTGGACGGTGTTGATTTCTCCTGCCCATTGGTCCCCGTTGCTTGCTGTTCCGAGGCTTGCTGCAGTTGGTCTGATTTGCTGTGACCATTTGCCTTCCGCTTCTTGCTCCCACTGGCCTTTTTCAGAGAGTGCGAGAGTCCCAGAGACCTCAGGGCTTCGATCCGCTCGATCACGCGCGCTTTGTCTTGCTCAGTGCTTGGAAGTATGGGGATAACATCCCTTTCCTCATATGGAGTGCCACACTGCACACATTTTCCCTCACTCTTCATCTCTTTGATGGCCTCTTGTGAAAATGCATGACCACAGGGAACGAGGTAGACTGCTTTGGTATTCGGGCCCAGTTCTTTCGATGTCACAGGGCAGATCCATCGGTCTGACTTGGTTTTCTCATCGTGTTCTGCTTCAAATTGCACTTCGACTACATCCTTGAGACTGTTGATCCGACCTTGAATGAATTTCTCGTACTCTTGTTTGTCCACAGAGCTGGCTTCGGCAGGGAGCAGAAACTGAATAATGGCGTCCTTATTGTAGAGATCGCCTGAGTAATCTGAAACGATAGGCTTGACGAGGGGTTTGTGGGAGACTGGGCAGGTAGACCAACGATGAGCAAGGTGCTCCTTTTGCTTGTCTTTGAGTTCGGTGGCAGTTGGATTCCGCGCCGCTTCCTTGACGAGTTCACGCCGTGTTGGGATGCTATCAACGGTCAGTACATTCTACATCGATATCTCACGACGATGGAGACTCAACTCACCTTCCTCCGTCATTGCCCATGATGCTGATGACTTTGGGGCGGGTGGTTTTCGTGAAGAGAGTCGAGTTAGCGATGTGACGAGTATCTAGCCTGCCCTGCCTGCTAGCCTTACGAGGAACAGTAAAGTTCATCGGTTGGGGTGTGGGTGGGTGGCAACAGGGTCTCCACAGCCTTTTCCACCTTCCCCCTCCCCCCCCACAGCCTCTGTGCCTCTCCCAAGCGCCACCCAGACCAACCCGACAATACTCGCTACGAATGAATTTGCCAACAGAGCCTGCCAAAGAGGTTACCGAAGAGGGAATGCAGTTTTCCTCTCGCGCTATAATATGATTTGTGTCATGTCATGTCATTCATTCTCTGCCTCAGGAGATAAGACGTCGGACATTCAGCATAACATGAATACGCAGCAACAGCTTCAACATGACTTAGCCATCACTCCAAAAACAGCCAATCTCTTGATCCAACTTGGTTATACATCATATCGCGACCTTCGCAGTCTTTCACCAAACCAAATCGTAGCCCAGCTCAAGACACTCCCTGATATTATGCCAGCGCAGGCAGAGCAATACCGCCGGGGTCTGCGAAGAATGGTCTGGCTAGCAACTCAAGATAACCCCAGGGCGCAAGCTCAGTTATATCCGAATTGGACCCAGCAAGCGCTCAAAGGGCGTGGTTTGTGGAGAGACGATATCGATTACGACGGGCTTAGCGGAGATGAAGTCAATCAACTCCATCATGAGATGAAAGACAGGGAGTTTGCGATTGGCTAGGCTTAAATCCTCTTCACCAACTGGCGCCAGGATGCAATAAATGACGTGAGGAGTCCTTCACATTCGATTTTACAAGAGCGACAAACCTTGTTAAACGGACTTTCTACCGGCAAATGCCGAGCTGTTATCACCATCGCTATAGAATGTATAAAGAGTCTTGATGCTGCTCACCAAAACAAATCCTTTCAAGTCACTTCAGCCACGTCAAATCTGCCTATCTAGACCTTTTCGGAAACGTTATCACCAACCATCGAACAACATGAGAGTTCTCCTGACTGGCGGATCTGGCTTTATCGCCGCCCACTGTGTCGACTACCTGCTTCAGCGTGGCCACTCTGTTGTTTTTACCGTGCGCTCGCCAGAAAAGGGTCAAAAGATCTTGAGGAATCATCCTGGTCTACCAAAGGATAAGCTCAACTACGTAATTGTTGGCGACATCGCACAAGAAAATGCCTTTGACGAGGCCGTCAAATCAGATCCTCCCTTTGAGGGCGTTTTGCACACGGCATCGCCATTCCATTACAACGTCACCGATCCCAAGAAAGATCTGCTAGATCCTGCCATCATTGGTACGACTGGAATCCTCAAGGCTGTCAAAAAGTACGCGCCTACCGTCAAGCGCATCGTTATCACGAGTTCTTTTGCAGCGATTATAAATCCACCGTCGCACGAAAAGATCTACAGCGAGAAGAACTGGAACCCGATCACGGAAGAAGAAGCCATTCAGAACCCAGCGAACGCATACCGCGCGTCAAAGACCTTCGCTGAGCGGGCGGCGTGGGAGTTTGTCGAAAAGGAAAAGCCCAACTTTGACCTTGCCACCATCAATCCACCACTCGTCCTTGGCCCGGTGGTGCACTATCTCAATTCTCTCGATACCATCAACACTTCCAACGAACGAGTCAGAAACATGATCCAAGGCCGGACCAAGGATACCGGTCTTGCTCCTTCAGGCGTCTTTATCTGGGTCGACGTTCGGGACGTCGCGCTCGCTCACGTCAAAGCCTTGGAAGTTCCCGAAGCAGGTGGCAAACGATTCCTGACAACAGCAGGCCACTACTCCAACGCCGACATTGCGCAGATTATCAAGCAACGCTTTCCGGATCTGGCTGATAAGCTACCCGACAAGATCGAGAGTGACAGGCCACAAGACTGCTATCAGTATGACAACTCGAGAAGCAAGGAGGTGCTGGGCCTGAAGTACCGGAGTCTGGAGGACAGTGTTGTGGATACCGTCAAGTCTTTACTCGCAGTTGGTGCTTAAAGCCCCGGTATCTATCCCAACAGCACGAGAGCCAGGCTCCAATATAGTTGAAATGGTCGAGATGCCGGACTCTCCTGCTGGATTCTCTGCAAGACTTGGGTCTGAGCTAACAGACAAACATCCGTGTGGAAGCAGCCCTTGTTCCACGTGGTCGTGGACTTGATTGCTAGAACGTTCATTCTTATAGAAGCCAGTGGTAAAGAGCAAGGCAGACAAATATATAGACAAGGACAAGATATATAGAAACTGCCATCTCCTATGCTAGACAATTAGGTAGACATACTGATTTGATGAGAATAAAAATATTGCGCTATAGAATTGAAGCAAAAACAAAACCGTCAAGCACCCAAAACCCGCTTATAACCAATCTATATTTCTACGAAACTCACATGTTGTAAAATGTCCTTTGTCCTTTTTGGGATGATTCCCATCCGTTGTCTGAATCCAGCGTATCACGCCATGGTCCGTCTGGTACCCGAGCAATTGAGTGATGACCTCGAAGAGAGTGGATGAATTACAGACGTCGATCCTCCCGAAATTTATCCATCCAATCGAACACACCTGCATGTGCTCTGTAACCCCGGTGGTGCCCTTTTCTGCAGTCTCCTCCATGCCTCATGCTTGACCCAGGCATGATGAGACGTGAAGCTCGTTGTTTGTCAGAAACATGACATGGCCGAGTATGTTTCTCTGCTTTCGTCGGCAATGGCCAGTTCAGGATGTGCCGTCCCTTGCCGATCCACTCGTACCACTTTCCATCAAGCCGCTGGAACTCGAAATGTCGCCCCTTCTCTCATCAGCCTCGCTTCGATTTTGTGCGTCTTCCTTCTCTTGGTCCCTCTTCTTCTTGTCCTTTTTCGTCTCCAGCTTCGTTCTTCCTAGTCCCAAACTCGCCACAAAGGCGCCGGCGCCGCATCCGACACAAAGGTAGAATGTACTTGTGATCGCATGATTGTACGCTCGGAGCACGCCGTGCCTTGTGTCCGCGTTGGCGCCCCCAGCAGGGAGCGTGGCGAGGTAGTTCGTCGCGCCAGTGTTGATTACATCCTGTGCATTCACATCGGGGGCATAAGTGCGCAATGCATGACTGAGTAAGTTGATGAATGTGGTCTGACCAAGGCTGATGAACAGCGCAGCGCCGAAAGTCTGTGCAAAGGCCACAGTAGCGGTTGCGACAGGGATCATGGCGGGTGAAACGATGGACTGGACCGCTTGGATGGGTTGCTGCATTGTGATGCCTCGTCCGACGCCGTTGAGAATCTGATATCCAACGTACTTACCTGCGCCAGTATGCGTGGTGAGTGTGCTGGTCAGCCCTGCTGCGATTGTAACAAAAGCTGAACCCATTGTAGCTGGTGGCGCGAGATAGCCGAAGTAGGGCGTTAGGGCACCGATAAGAATGGCGCTGGTAATCTGCAGCGCAAAAGTTGGGAGAATGTTGACTGCACTCATCGTTGGACTTAAGGATTTGATCACTTGGAACCACAAGGGAAGGTAGTAGACGAAGACCGTCATACCACCATATTGAAACATGGCGTTGATCAAACAGCTGTAAATGACTCGCTGCCGTACTAGCGACACTGGAATCATGGCAGATTCTCCCTGACGGTACTCCCAAATAATGAAGGCTATAATTGCCCCTGCTGAGCCGCAAAACAGTCCAATGATCGTAGCGGACGACCATGAATAAGTACTCCCACCCCATTCTAGGGCGAGGAGGAGCATAATGCAGGCTGGCGCAAAAATGGCAAATCCGGTGATGTCAAAGTCGCGAATCACGTCTCGAAAGGTCCAGTTTGTTTTGCCAGCTTTGTATACCGGAAAGCCGATAAACATGGTCGCCACAATGGTCACCGCGCCGACGGGAAGATTGATCCAAAAGCACCAGCGCCACGATGCATGTTCAGTCAATGCGCCTCCGATCAGCGGCCCTATGACTTGTCCAGCACCGGCGAATGACATGAGGAGACCCATCATTGTAGGCCGTACCGAAGGAGAGGCGGAGACGGCAAATATGGTGAGGACTCCATTCATTAGACCCGATGAGCCCATACCAGCGATTGCTCGTCCCACTACCAGCATTTTGCTAGACGTGGCGAGGGCACAAATTAGTGAACCCAATTCGAAAATGGCGACAAAGGCGATGAAGGCTGGCTTAAGCGAGAAGTATGTGAACACTTTTCCGGTGAGAGGCTGCAAAGATGCGTTTGTGATCATGTATGCTGCAGGGTACCAGCCGACTGTCGACTATTGTTAGCCTGTGTCTCGAGACTATCCCTCATCTGGCAACAACTCTTGCGAAGTGCTGTCGTGTTTCTGAAGGTGTTTCTGAAAAGGGGGAGTTCTCACTATCGGCGATTGTATGGAAGTGATCCGTAATCTTAGGAATGGCAGTCGCAAGGATAGAGACATCGAGAGTGACGAGCAATATAACAAGCAGAAGGGAGCCACCCAGAAGTGTCAAGGCACGTGGTCCCAGGTATTGATGTTTCTCGTCCTCCTTAGCAGAAGACGACCCCAACGATTGTTCATTTTCAACATCGTCGGCACGGTCAACTGTGATATTTATGGAGGCAGCGGGCGACGTATGTGTTGAGGTGTCAGCTCGCGTCTTCATTTTGGCCAGTGCTGCGTTCAAAAGAATGGCCTATTGAGGATTGGCAGTGACAAGCCTGAAATACCCAAGGACATGGGGCCCTCTGATGTTTATATTAGCCCGGATTGGGGAGGGCGGCCTGCGATCCGGTACCCCTGCTTTACACTCCGTATCCGGCCTCCACCGTCCCCTGTATAGACCATCGACCACTCACGAAGCCAGTCGGAGTTTAGAGTCTCGAAGCGACGGCTCGAGCCATCATACCAGGTGGGTCTCGCTGCTCTGCATAGAGCTAGAATTGTATGTTGGCGTTCCAATCAGCCATGAGGTCTGGCCAGAGGCCGTCCTCGAAACCCATGAACAACTCTTCGGTGGAGATGGTTTCCGAAAGCACACCGGTGTCTGGACCCGGAGCTACAACGTTGGCTTCTGCGTTGAGCTTGCTGGCGTACCACTTTTTACAAGCACGCATTTTCTCTGCGAACAAGCTGAAGCGTGCTGCAACGGCGTTGTTCGATGGTGTATCTCCAGCGGCAAGGCTCTGTTGGGATACCGTTTCCATCTTTTGCGCCATTCGGTCTATAGCGGACGGAAAACTCATTTGAGAGCCTCTTATCGATTGCGTGTCCCACCCGTCGAGGACAAGAAATGACATCTTGGCCAGAACAACCAAAGCGTGGATGAGATGCAGCCAAAAGGGGAAAGTTAGATTTGGCACACACCGCCACGGGATGGCATCTAGGCTGTCAAGCAAGAGGCTGACATGACTCAGACAGTTGTATAGTGCTTCGGCTCGGTGATACGGGCTCTCTGCGGGGACTGCGAATACGGTTTCAAAAAGGCAGATATAAGCATTTTGGGTCTGCATCTTCAGGAGCTCGTTGCCCGTCAGGCTGGGGGGTACGCTCTCCTCGTATTGCTTGAGGTCTTTTTTGAAACAACTCATGAAACTCCGGAGAGGCACAGTAGACGTCGTCAACAGCCCGAGAGAGGGAGAATAGACCTCTACGTTCCGATGTAGTCGGACCACGTAGACAGCATAGATATCAGAGGGGTATTCTGCTGCGGCGACGAGAGCATTGCAACAGTCTTCCAAGTGTTGTGTCCAGCGCATAGGGTCCGACCTCCGAAAGCAGGACGACAATAGCCCAGACAGACTGTATACTCCAAGCAGGGCCCGTTGGTCGTCAGAGGTCTGGATACCGTGGTTGGCCAGCTTGCCGTGGAATAACTCGGCGGCGTCAACCACCATGCCAATTGGGGTCAGTACTGCTGGCTGTCTAGGTCGATTTAACCCAAGGTCTGCAACCAAGGCGGTTGCCAAATGGAGAAGGTTCATCACTTGCGGGTTGCTGTGAGAGTAGTAGTGATACCAAGAGCTGAATACCAAGAGGCCTTGCAGGAGATCGAGAGATTTCTCCCCTTTCATGAGCATGCGCTCCCCGATGTATCTCATCAAGTCATCAGCAAGCTGCCGTAGTAATGACGGCTCAGCTTGAGCGGCCACCGTGATGCATGCCCGGAAGAGAAATGGTCTCTCCTCGCGAAGGGCAACAGCTGTTGTTTGAGGGGGGATCACCACAAAAGGGAAGTGTATGTTCATCTGTGTGCGGAAGTCACTGAATAGCTTTTCTTCCAACACTGGAGCCAGAGTTACTCGAAATGAATCGCTTGCATTTGTGACAGTGACTCCCACAGATTTCAAAGACTTCGCACAGCTCGTTAAATGAGTTTTGGTGGACTGTCTCTGATTGGTCGTGTTGCTGTCGCCTCCCCCTGTCGGCACCATCGACGTTGGGGTCGGGAGCGAGGCGGACCATAGTCCATTGGGAAAACCAGCAACACTTTCCGCAACAGTCGGATCATCAGGCTGGGAGTACTGGCTGCCGCTACTTGGAGCAACGGCAGGCTCAGGCCGTGCAACAGGATCGCCGTCATTGGAGGCCAAGAGATCCGTCAGAGTATTGATCTTCTCCTCCAGCTGTGAGACGCGCGTTGATCTGCCGTTGTTGCGCCGTTTGCGTGGCAGCGGTGCCGGGGTCGTGCAGAATTTGCCCAGGCGGTGGCATCGTACACAGATCGAGTTGGCAGACCCTTCCAATGGGACGCATTTCGCTTTGATCTGGACGCAAGGGCGACACGCCCGATTTGCTCTTAAGCCCGGCGTGTCAGTATGAGGCGGAGGCGGCGGAAGTACGGAGTTGGTTGCCATCATGGCACAAAGAATTCAATTGTATGCTGAACCAGCGTCGTTGTGCTTGATGCTGACGCGCATGTTCAAGCCCAGAAACGGAGGGGTTTGATATGGCCTCCCTCTCTCCTCTGCTTCCACGTCAATTTCTTTTTCAGTTGTCAATACAGAATGGCTATCCGCTCATCTGTCATCCCCCGGGCAGCCAGAAGCAGGCCCCCAGAACTTCTAACACCCAACGTGTGACGCTTGTGGCTCTCGTGGGTATCCGGACTTCTTTTGATCCTCCGGAGTCCGTGTCTGCCTCCGGGTCCGGTCCCAGCCAATTTAGGGTCGTCCATTCATGGGACAGCTTATGACAACCTGGTGGGCTCTTCGATCGCCACTACAAGATGGCATGTTTCATTGTTCTTCCCGATTGAGATCGTTCCGCGTGGTGGATTCCAAGTCATTCATCGGTGGTTAGATAGTGGCAGACACCAGGAGGTGGAGGAAACCGAGTTTGCCTGTGACGGATGTGGCATGGTCTGACAGCAGAAGCACACAACGGCAGCGTGGATTTTGACACGGCTTGATGGCACGGAGGAGGTTGGAAATGATGGTTGGCCTGAAAAGCTATAAGATCTGAGGCTTCGTCGTCGCAATGGGGTTATGGTGAGGTCCATGGCATGGATTCGTAGGCAATGAAATTGTGTTGTCTTGGTGGACTTGAGTGATCCGGTGGCTGCGGAGAGGAAAAAATGACAGCTGTCTGACAAGGCCTTTTTCGGCTTGGTGCGGTACATACACTCCGAGTATACAATGAGCGAGTGAGCAAGGTGAGTTAGTGAGTGGCCGTCGAGTCGCATATTTCTGTCAATGATAGATAACTATAACTTCCTATTGTGTGCTTGGTCCCCTGTAACTCTGTACCGATACTGTTTTTCGACAGCATCTTGAGATCCTTGTCAGGTGTGACAGCCTTTCCTTTGAGGTCGAGCACCCTGAAGCCCCTGAATATGTTCGCCTTCCATAAGCGACATGCCTGAATGGTCCAGGCATATTTCAAGGAGACTGACTCCAAGACTCCATGGTCCGTACAAAAATGGGCCCAGAATAACGCAGTCTGTGAGCATGTACTCAGTCGCCCGTTAGGGACTGGTACAAATCCTGACCTCCCAAATGTACATATGTATATATTTAAGTATCAGAATCTTCGTCTCCTAGTGGCACAGTTGATGGATTGGTTCATTACTCTTTCTCACTAGGACATCTCTCATTTCTATTGTGTTGAAACTCATCCATTTCGACCTCTTCTGCTCGTGGGAACGCTCACAGGGTTCGCTTACAGAGAGATGAAGACAGACTTCAACTCGGTCCAATAATCCGTCGCATACCTGCTCAACTCACGGCCGTCGCCGCTCTGCTTGAAGCCACCAAACGGCATGTCAAAGGCCATGGTCGGGCTCGTGCAGTTGACGCCCACCGATCCAGCCTCGAGAGCCTTGGCCACGCGCAAAGCACGAGAGATATCCTTTGTGAAAACACTCGCGTACAGTCCGTATTCGGTGTCGTTGGCACGCTTCAATACCTCCTCTTCGTCGGTGAAAGTGTTGATGCACACGACGGGCCCAAAAATCTCTTCCTTCATGACCTTCGAGTCCTCGGGGGCATTGGCAATGATGGTGGGCTCGATGAAGTAACCGGTTGTGCCTTCGCGGCCGCCCCCGATGGGAATATCCAGCTTGTTCTCCTTGGCATAGTTGAGGTAGCCCATCACACGGTCGAATTGGATCTTGTCAGCCTGAGGTCCACGTCGGGTACCGGCGACCGTGGCATCGCCAGACGTGCCCATCTGGACCATGGCAGCTTTCATGGCTTCCATGAATTTGTCGGCAATATTGGCATGGACGTACACCCGTGAGCTGGCGATACAAGCTTGGCCGGAGTTTGCAAGGATGGAGAAAGCAGAGGCAGGGACAGCCTTTGCCAGGTCAGCGTCGTCGAAGATGACCAACGGACTCTTTCCTCCCAGCTCCAGAGTGACGTTCTTGAGGTTGGATTCAGCGGCGGCCTTCTTGACGGCTCGGCCGGCAATGACTGAACCGGTGAAGGAGACCTTTCGAATATCCATGTGCTTGGCGATGGCCTCACCACAAGGTCTACCATAGCCACTGAGAATGTTCAGAACACCCTTGGGCAGGCCGATCTCTTGACAAAGTCTGCCAACGACAAGGGAAGAAAGGGGTGATTTCTCCGAAGACTTGAGGACCAAAGTGTTGCCAGTAATCAGAGCCGGACCGACTTTGTTAACGAGCATAAGGAGAGGGGCGTTCCAGGGGATGATGGCACCGCACACCCCAAAAGGTTGACGAAACGTGATGTTAACCATGTCCTTGGTATTCAGGGACGAATCACCATGGACATCGAGGGCTCTGCTGGCCAAGTATCTCAAGATCTGAACCGCGACATGGCCGAAGACTATAAAGGGTTAGTGATGCCACAGCCGCTGAGGGGCCAGCCGTCGAAGACTTACAGTCACCGATGTAGGGTTTGCCCATGCTGATGGCTTCTAGGTAACCGATCTCGTCTATGTTCTTCTCCATGGCATCGGCCAGTTTTTCCACATAGGCTTGTCTCTCCCCAGCAGAAAGGGCCGACCAAGCAGGGAAAGCAGCCTGGGCTGCCTTGACCGCCTCGTCAACATCCTCGGCGCCAGCTTCATATACCGATGCCGCCAACTTCTCGTTGTTGGGGTTGATGATGTCGAACTTCTTCCCCGACTTGGACGGAACGAATTCACCATTAATGAAGAGACGGTCTTCGATGTGCTTTGGCTGGAATCCCTGTGCCGGGGCATCGGCGGTTGCTGAGGGAGCCATCTTGCTGAGTTAGGGCTGTATCGGTAAGGCTGAAGTTATTGAGGGGTAGGGAAGCTGGCCGTGGTCAATGGTGAGTGATTAAGGAGATGTTCACAGAAGAAAAAAAAGACAGGACACAAGGTGGTCTTATATACGTGTAAGACATGGCTCGACTGAGGGTCAGCTCTAATCCAACACTCAAAAGACACGACAACCAAAAGGCCACAAAAACAGCACCAGTGAACGATACCGTATGCACGCAACCCCTCTTGCCCTCTTGCCGCAAATTGGGTTTGGCAACCATATCGCTTGGTCAGGCCAACAGCATCCAGGGTCATAAGCCCCATGGGTTGGAAGTGTCCCAGTATTCCTTCACAGCCGACGTGGCGAATCAACTGGTGAAATACCCATCTTGCCCCCCTTTCCTGAGACCTGACACGGTGGTTCAGAGGACAAAGAGTTGTGGGGTTCGATTTGAGGAGATACGAAAGCATGGCAAGTAATCCATTCTCTGCTTACCCCACCCACAAGTACACGAGTCAACCAGAGTCTAGCACACTCCTTGTCGAGTAAGCAGTAACACCGGTGGGCCTGACGAGGCTTTGGGAGTCTGATTGAGTGCTGACAGGGTTTTTGCAAATACTGGCAGCCAAATCACAAGTTTGGTACCGTCGAGGTGACTTGTGGGAGAGGGTGAGAAAGAGAGAAAAGAAATGAGTCTCAGAGAAGCAGAAGGACAAATGTGAGTCATTGTCAACCTCGACACTCACTCCAGATTCCCAAAATACTCGTTTTACTACACAAGCACAATACGAAGGATCTAGTTGTACACTGCGCACACAGAGACAAGGCCTTGCAACCCGACAATCGAGGCATACTGCATACTCAAGGTACTTTAGCGAGGGGCAGGCAACCCACCTTCGTCACTTGGTGGTGTTTGTCATACACACAAGGTAAAAGGCCAGCCACAAATTAGTGATATTTTATCTAAACGGACCCTGTCAATCCGGATCTGTTCCCAGCCGACCAGGGACGTACGTGCACGGCTACAACAGAGTAATACATCCGGAAGCATTATTAATGCTCCATTCGTGTCCATACCACGTACCACTGTGTATGAGGTCCAGGCCAGGCCACTTCATACTATCCGTCAGATATGGATGGAGGTGTAGGTCGGGTAGCAGGGATCGCGACGCAAAGGAACATTCCGAGTAGTTCTGCTGCTCGTCCAAAGTACGAGTACCTGTTCCGGAGGGGGCACCTCCCACCCACCTCCAGTTGAAGCCTGGATCCCGCCGCTAGGTATCCTCTGGCATAAGGGCTAAATAGCCTGTTAGGCTTCAGACAGTAAGCGGGCTTCAAGGTGCCATCGTGCGTCTTCTTGAAGGGTTTTCGGCTTGGCTTTGATCCTTTGAATAGATGCGGTGTACGGAGTACGTATGTACCAAGGATGACTCCAGTGGCTTCTGCTCCCTTGATAACTCATCGTAAGGGTCAGACACCTTTTCCCCAGGCGAGCTCATTGTTTACATATCCCTGTGGAACCGCTTCTGGGCCGTTTTCATGTTGGGCCCCCAGAATATGGCTCAGATCCTCCAGGGCCATCGGATTCGGGTCTTCAAATTTGTACGACCTTCGTCCATCCTTGACTTCGTACAACCTCAACTTGGATTCCCTTGAGGCATTCCCGGCCAAATAGCGGGAGATGTACTCGGTACCTCGTAGGAAGCGGTGAATGGAGTGAAAGGTGTTTACTGACTGGAAACTCGGTACATACTGGGGATATATCTACGGCATGTCCATATATTGTGGGCCTGTTATATCTCTTGTATCCCGTCAACTCAACTAGGTATACATGGTGTTGCAGTGCCGAGTACGAGGTCGGATGCCCTTCTCTATTATAAGTTAGACCAATTTCCTGATTGTCACTATGTATACATAGACCCCCACACTCAGCATTCCCTGCACTCCTGAAGCGGAGCCTGTACCTGAGCCTGACCTTGTTGCAGCAGCCATCACGAGTTAGTCCACTCGGCCTTTTTCTTCTCTGCAAACGCCTTCATGCCAATCTTTTGATCTTGGCTACCAAACAGACTGTGGAATATGCGTCGTTCGTATTCAACACCCTCTCTGACCCCAAGGTCCTGGCTCTTGTTGACAACTTCTTTGGCCGCAATGACCGCCACCCGACTGTAACTAGCAATCTTTTCCGCCGTGTTTAGAGCACCCTCAAGAACCTCTTTGTTTCCCCCCTCGAAGGCTTTGGCAGCGAGACCGTGTTTCTCGGCCTCCTCGCCACTAAGATTGTTGCCTGTGAGAATGAGTTCCATAGACTTGCTCTTCCCAAGGGCTGCGGTGAGGCGCTGGGACCCTCCTGCACCTGGTATCGTGCCGAGCTTGATCTCGGGTTGCCCAAAGTTTGCAGTCTTGGTGCAATACAGGATGTCGCACATCATGGCAAGCTCACATCCTCCACCAAGAGCATGTCCCGAGACTGCTGCGATGATGGGTTTTCGTAGGGTTGTCATGTAAGACCAAGGGGCTATGAAGTTGTTGACATAGGCGTCGGAAAAGGTCAAGGGAGCCATCTCTTTGATATCTGCGCCGGCTAATCACAACCTGTCAGTCTGCGATCAATCTGTTGCAGACATGCTCTTTTCCTTACCTGCAAATGCCTTGTCACTGCCGGTCAGAACAATTGCACCAATATCCTTGTCGTCTTCGTATTTCTTCAGAGCATCGTTTAATTCAACAAACAAAGCACTAGAGAGGGCGTTCAGGGCTTTCGGACGATTGAGCGTGACTGGAAATGTCAGACGGTATTCTGTGGTAGACACAACCATAGTTCTAAAAACGTACTGAGTCCAACGCCTGGTCTGGGTGTAGACACCAAAATGTTTTCATAGCTGCTGGAAGTGGATTGAAAGCGGACCAGCCGTGGGAGGGTTCGTGGCACAGCAGAGAGGGCGGTAGCAGGACGCGAGAGCAGCCTCAGAGGAGCCATTGTGCAAAGTTGTTGCTATACAGTATTATCAAGGAGATCGCAGAGATCTCGAGGGAGTGATGTTTTACATATTGCAGGTGAAGCATTGACACAGCTTCGACACCGCAGAACACAAGCCCAAGCCCGCAACCCACCTGTTTGTCCTCGGCTGCTGGTCCGCAGTTTTGGCCGACCACCGACGATTCGCCGCGGGAAGACATGAGGACCCCGGAACGGATTAACTAGCCTGCTAGCCTGCTAGCATTCAAACTTGCCGCCACAGGCTGAGGCGGGTGTGGCTAGTGAGGCGCAGTTTTGACATTTGCCCTGCGCTCTGGAGCCTCCGCTCCCAAGTTTTATGAACGGCTGCCACGAGTGAAAAACACGACGTGGCTTCAACAAACAGACTCCTCACCCCCTTTAACACATCTCGCCACATTGTTAGTTCATTCCTCGTCGCCAAATATCGTCTCTAACTCTACGACGAGTTTGTTCTTCGTTGGAACAGACATCCTCAACTTGTGCGCGCCTCTCCATACCTTGTCCCCAAGCGCGCCTGAACTGCATGCGCAGGCCCTATATCTCCTCAACACTACCGACGAGCGCTGCCACTATGGACGTACCTGAGCCGGAAACTACCCCTTTCGACGCCATAAGTACACAGAGCAATAAGCTGCTAAGGGTATGAACTGGCACTCCGAGTACCAAGAGGGGAAACAATTCCAGGCCGCTAACAAAGATCTCCTGCAGCAATACCAAACTTATCTCGACAAATCAACCCCCTACGTCGCCTACCGATGGTCGGCAACCGCTGTCCTCCTCCTTCTCTTCTTCCTCCGGATCATTGTCGCTCAAGGCTGGTATATCGTCGCCTATTGTCTGGGTATTTACCTGCTCAACCTCTTCCTCGCGTTCCTTCAGCCCAAATTCGATCCCAGCCTGTCGCAGGACGAGGGACTCGAGGATGGTGAAGGCTCATCTCTGCCCACCAAGAATGACGACGAGTTCAGGCCGTTTATCAGAAGGCTGCCCGAGTTCAAGTTCTGGCATTCTGCAACAAGAGCTATCACCATAAGCTTTCTCTGCAGTTGGTTTGAGATCTTCAACCTGCCGGTCTTCTGGCCTGTGCTCGTTATGTACTGGCTGATCCTCTTCTCCCTGACTAGTGAGTTGATCCATCCTCCACGAGCGGGTGCCGTCGCTGACATTGCATCCCAGTGAGACGACAGATCCAACATATGATCAAGTACCGTTACGTACCCTTCTCGTTCGGAAAGGCCAAATACCCGGGCAAATGATGAACGGCCACTTTTTGGGTGACCGGCTTTCTCACGTTTTCCTTCACATCTAAATAATCCCTGACAGCTGGGTTTGAGTATCATGGAAGATAGACTGCCGCAGGAATGTACAGTGCCGTTTCAGCGTTTTTTCTGCAACCGCGACCCAGCGCTCTCGATCACATGTAACGATTCAGCGACTTGACCTGTTCGTCGATTGGACAGGAGATGAGTATCACGAATAGATTTGCATGGAGGCAGCCGAGATGCTCGTGCTTGCCATTCATTGCATCAGTTGAGCCTGGATTCCCCTCTTCTGCCTTTTTCATGTCTACCGGAATCCTTTGGTCGAACAGAAATGTTGCCTTTGCATCACAACAGCAGCTTCAAATGCTCATCCCTTTGCTTTTTATTTAGGCCGGCAAGGCTTATATCTGTCATCTCCAGCACGCCCGATTATATGACGCATCTATTCATCTTCTACACTTAGCTCGTGAGTTCTCGGTCATTACTCTCCTTTGCCCTCCCTTCTTCGACGAAACGCGGTCATTGTCGCGCAAATTCCCGAGTATCAACTCTAGACATGGATCACTTCATCTTACCGAGTCAACCCTCAGCACCACTAGCATATGCTCTTGATCCAGAAGGCTACCTGAATCGCCTCAACGACAGCCAGCAATATGCGAGATACGACACCATCCCTTTGCGTAACCTACCAGGTGCAGAAAATTCCGTCCTTGTTCAAGCGACAATCTGTGACCAGTCCACCGGATATGCCGAGCTGAACCATGACCCGTCCTTTCCTCCTTCGCTGGTCCTTTACCATCTTCCTGAGCCTCCTTCAGATCCTCAAATACCCGAAGATTCTCACCCCAAAGCACTAGTAAGGGCAGATGTCTTCTATATTTCTGTGCCCAGATCCCTCTTCACGTCCCTGATCGTTTCGAATCAACATGGTATAACTACTTTACCTGTTACTAATCCGACTCGCAGAGCACCCACCAAGCTGCATTGTTATTATTCGCGAAACCCTCGTCGCCCGAACCACACATCCCATCCAGAAGTGGAGGACTTGCTCGACTTATGCCGTTTCGTCGTTGGTCCTTGGACTCGCTGTCCATGGGGTCGTTGTATGATGTTCAGCAACAAACAGATGTCCATATTCCTAGGCCTCTCCATTATGACCCTGAACGCTCGATCTTGCTCACTTCGGCGTGGGGGAAGCTGCGGCCACTTTCACTCCTGTTCGGCGAAGCCTTTGACCAAAATACTCAAAGTCGCGTAAGAACGGCAGACCGATTTGCAGTTCGAAGTCTCTTTGCGTGCCCTCGGATCGTTAGGCCCTTTTTCAAGTTGCTGGGTACGAGATTGGCTGTCTTGCTTGCCACGATGCACGACCCTCATATCACGAAACAGCTGCAGTTGACGAGCAATGCTCCATCGCCTACGAAATTTGCCTGTGCGGATGAAGGGAGACAAAGACTTCGTGGAGAGGTTACAAAATGGCGAAATCACGTTCGGCACATGGAGGTATTTGTGGAGTCTCCGAACGTGTTGGATCGTTTCTGCAGAATTCTCCTTGACGACGTCGACCGGCAATATTTCCCAGACAATTAGTGCTTCAGTCATGGTAATTGCTCCTTTGACAGCATTCTAGCCACCTTGACGCCAGGAGAAACGGACGAGCCATTTGGAATGGCTTTCTGGGAGCATGCTGGTTTCTGCGGAAGAGGAGTCAACGGTGACATCGCCCAACTGTTTGCAGAGCTTGAAGCATACCGAATTGCGGTCTTCTCTCAAGGTGTTTCTGGTAGCAGCCGCAATCCGCGTCTCGTTGACTACGGGGTTGCACTTCATAGTCTTCAGAGCAGTCTCCTGAAACGGTACAAACATGAGAGCAAGTGGTTGACGTCCAAGGATATGTCGCCCAACCGCATGCAGTGGTGGGGGAGAAAGAAGACGGTGGAACGGGAGGAAGCCCAAGTCGCTTCACCAAAGGCAATTGAACGCTCCATCTACCTCGCCCACGGCCTGTACCTCATCAACGCGGCTTCCGAGAAGCCATGGCTCTGCACAAGAAGGCAATGTCTTCGTGTCAATGGACGCCACACAGAAGTCAAACGGGACTGTGGCCTAGTGCGGTATATCTTTCACTGTGGGCTCGAGGTACTCTCTCTTGCCGGGGAGAACGAAGAGGCGTTCAGCCATCTCGATGTCAAGAACGAGATCCATCAATTCAGAGGTGGCTTGGGCGGTTGGCATCCGCGGATTGTGGAGCTTTTTCACGAAGTGAACGACGTGTGGCGCGGTTCTATGATCCCTTTGATGTTTTTCTGATTGGTGTTGTATATTATGTTTGATTGTCTCTCATGATATTAAGGGGGAGGGAGACGGCCTGGTGAATTTGTGATTAATATAGCAGACCTGAACACGACTGACATTGCTTATACGTAGCGTTTAAAGAGTTACAGTTGTATTGCAGGTCGCACCTTGATTCGAATTGTCGTTTTACCTCATCTATATAAATGTGCGTTGGTCGGACACTCGTTGAACAAGGGCAGCATGTGCGGTGTGAAATCTCAATGACACGTCTCAAATGAACACACAGAGAGAGAGAACGCTCTTCTAATTTGTGTGTGAGACCCCTTTCTTCATCCCCAAACATCTTCCCTCCACTTGCCCGTCCGCTTGAGCGCTTCAGTCCAGCCCTTGACCTCGGAATCGCTCCATCCTTTCAGCGCCTTCACCGTCTCACCCAGACTGAACCCGACCTCTCTCGCCATCGAGGCGCGCCCGCAAATGTACAGGTTTGCACTCTTCTCCTCGATCATCTGGACAACTTGGGTGCCGTGTTCTCGCACGCGCTGCTGGACGTAGACCTTGTCTTGGCCGGGCACGCGCGAAAAGGCCGTGACGATCTGGAAGACGTGCTTGCCGACCGCGGCTTGAGCTTGCTCCAGCTCGTCACGATAGATGTAGTCTTCTTGGGGCTGGCGACAGCCGAAGAACAGCATCATCTTCCCAATAGGTTTTCCGATGGCGTGGAGCTTTGCTCGCTCGGCAATGAAGGCTCGAAAGGGGGCGATCCCGGTCCCCGCCGCGACCATGATGATGGGACAGCTGGATTGGATGGGGAGTTTGAACTTGCTTTTGCGGACGTGCCCGAAGATCTTGGTGCCGTGAAGGAGGTTAGAAGGGCCAAGGAGGTCGTACTGTGGAGAGGTGACCTTCTCTGCCTGTATATCTGCTGTGGCAGAGGCAGGATGTGTCTGCGATAGTGCAAGGAGATAGTTGGATGTGACACCCAGGATCTTCTGCTCTGGATTTTCAGGGACATGATCCGAAGCGACGAGGGCAGTGATCGCGGCCTTTCGTGGACTGAGCACGCTACTTGACGAGATCGAGTAGTAGCGCGGTTGCATCAGAGGCAGAGCCTCTATCAAGTAAGCCATGGGTAGCTTGGCCCATGGTTCCCCCTGGCTGGCAAGCTTGAGTAGCCGACCTAGCGTCAGGTGGTTCTTCCTCAGGAATAACATGTAAAGGTCTTTGTCTTGGCCAAGTTCAAGGACTCGCTGCTTTGCTTGGGGTGACGGAGCGAAGGCAGCGAGCCCTTGGATGGTGCTCCTCGATACTGGGGCGCATATTTCCAGATATCTGTGGAAAAGAGCACGGACTGTTGTAGGGGTCGGAATTTGGAGCTTAGTTGCGGCATCGACAGATTTGAGGATCAACGGAAAGTCTTGACGATCATGTAGATGCAGAACCGAGAGGAGTATTTCAACTTCTGGTTCCGGGTTTGTGGGCCATACGGCAAGATGATCGCCCGTCTTGTAGTGAATCTCAGGATGCTCCGCAAGGTCAAGCTCCATGTGGACACAATTTCGCTCGGAATTCTGGAAGAGTTCCCGCGAATTCGTGATTGACAGTGGCCGAATAGGTGAGCATGCTGCAGCGGCTTTGAGGTTGTCTCTGGCATGCGTGGGCTTGCCTTGATGGATGTCGATGAGCGCTAGAGAATCGTCTTCGGTGACAATAATGCTAGGTTGATATTCGACCACACGTTCTTCCATCCCCAGTTTACTCCTGAACATAGCGAAGAGGTCATCTTTCCATGAAAGGAAGTCTTCATCGGTAGAACGTTCCGCGTCATCTGCTTTACCCGCCGGTAAGAGGAGAGTTGCTCCTTTCCTTGTCAATGCTTCGACCACCACATCGACGACGCGGTTGTAGTATTTGTAGTTGCTGTTTCCGAGACCAAACGCAGCAAATTGTAGGTTCGAAAGAGAATGCGGTGATCCACGGTTGATCCAGTCCCAAAAGCCATTGGCATTGTCGCTGGGATCACCCTCGCCGTACGTCGAGAGGATGAAGATCGCGAATCGACCATCCGATAGTTCAGTGATAGACTCCGAGTCGTAGTCCGAAAGATCGGCAGACAGCGCACCAAGCCCGAACCGCGATTGCACCTCTTTCACAAGGTGACTGGCGAAACGTTCTGCTGTCCCTGATTGAGAACCCCAAAAGACAACGGCTCTTTTGTCGGTTTCGGACAGCTTCTTTGCGATATTGCGCTGTGATGGGGTTTGCGAGCTCGCTACGCCATTTCGCTGTTGAGGTCGTTCAAAGTAGATGTGGCTGTAAGGGTCTGGCTTATCCCACAGCGTCCCTCTAGTCAAGTATCCCGCAACAATCACGGCCGCAATGACCAATGCCACATAGTCTGCGATTGAGGCGGGTTGCAGGCTTGTGGTAACAAGCCTAACGAGCTGAGGAATCGACGTGACCTCGACGGCTCGTGAGGCCATGGGTGGATTTGCGAGGTGACTTGTAGTTTCATGTTGGCTAAAGGATAATACGTGAGTGATGGTGTAGATATAAGGGATTCGTGAGCCTCATGCAATGAGGAAAGATGGAGCGGAGGAAAATTGCCTGACAGGTATAGAGTCTGGACAATCAACAGAGAGAGCCTTGATTGGACAGACGAGGGATGTGTCTGATGTTTGAGTGCAGGTTGGTCCGGCGAAAAATTTCCTCTTGCGGTTGCGGGGTATGAAGTGACTGGCGCAGGCACAGGCACGCAGGCTCTGGGCGTAGGCAAAGAGGCCATCACCACTTCTCCACTGCCAGCTCCTCGCTATACATTCCCTCTGGCATCTCCCCCATCCCTCCGTGGTATTGCACGGCTGTATCATGGGCTGCAGAACGGATGGAACCAACTATGAGTGCCAAGGGTGAATTCGGAACATTCTTTTTGTCTTTACTGACGGTACCCTTCTTTAATTGCTTGCTGCATCATGGGCATCCGCATCCCGGTGTATCTGCGCCTCGCTGTTTATCCCCCCTTTGCCACAGCCTTGTCAGGAACATGGTGGCCACGAGGCTTTGCTCGATATAAATGCCTCTGCTAGATATTATGTCTTCCGCATCTCGCTTTGATCAAGCTCGGCCTTCATAACGAGCCACCTTCTGCGAGGTGTCCTTTGCGTGCTTTTGTTCCTCCACCACAACAGACCTCCCAATCCCTCGCCTGCCTATGATCCCGCACAATCACTCAAGCTAGCTCTGTGCCGCCATCATCTCACCAATATTCATCATCAATTCGCTCGTGTCCGAAAACACTCGCAGCAACTCCACCTTCAGAACCCCAGCAATGTCCGGGCGAGCCACGATCCAGGTGGCAAAATCCGTGGTGACCTCCTTCCCAGATTTCAATACACTGGTCAGTTTCCCTGTGAAAACGACTTCAGCCTTCCCATCTGGTGCGCCGGACATGAGGAAGACTCGGTCAAGGTAATGCTGGAGCGACACAATGGGACCGTTGTTCGAATGAATCATGTCGTCGTGTAGTTTCCTCATGGCTGCTTCGCTGACAGCCGGCTGAGGGGTGACATGCAGGATGCCATCAGGGTGGAAGGCGTTGACATATTCGTAGTCCGTGCATGCTTGATCCCAGGATATGAGAATCTTCGTGATCACTCCGAGGACGGCGTCCGGGACGTGTGAGGCGTTGATGAAGGTGTAAGGGTCGCGGCCGTACATGATGGGAGCAGAGTAAAGCTTGGTTTGGAGCTACTGTGAAGACAGAAAGAAGTCTCCCCAAGTCCAAAGCAGGTTTGAACTGAACGCAATTGATGCTCGATGTAGAGCAGCGGAACTTCCCACTTCAGCTCCAGCCCAGCTGGAAGGCGCGCGACGCGAACCAATGCCGCAGATCCATGTCTTGGTCAAATGCTGTGTGACTTGACCTTGGACGTCAAGAGGCATCACCATTCTGTAATGGTCACACATGCTTGTGTAGCCGACATTTCAGGGACCCTTGGTGCCCATTGGGTCGAGTTCAACACCTCTGGTCTGGGCAAGTGTAAATATGCCTTCCGAGTCTACGGCAAATCGATCGGGGTTGTCAGTTCGAGAACTACTCATCATGTGCTTCGACGATAAAAGATCCAGATGGGTGCCAGAAGACGAGTCGGTGTTGACCAAGCTGGCCAGAACCACCCCGCTCTTTGTTGTTCCCTGCTAGTCTGATCCGACTGGTGCTACCCTTGTACCGCTGACCCAATCATGTTCTGACTTGTATGTATACAGGGTCGACGTCCAATTGGATTGGATGAGCCGGGATACGAGAAGACCACACCAAGTCAATGCCTCATGACTATCTGCGACGTTTCCTGGCTCTTGTCAGACCTTCATTTCGCCGACCCCGCTTGAAACGATGAGCTCACATTCCAGAGTCTTTCCACCCACAATCTCCCGTTCAACATTGGAAAGGTGATGGACGACATAGACACTCGTAATACGAGGACGCACCCTGGGAAGTGAGGGATTGAGTTGCAACGAGAATGCCGTGGGGAGTTGCGAGCTAGATGGAAGAAATGTCAAGATCGTGCACAATAATGTTGGTATCATTTAGGCATATCATCTCTTCCCACCGCCAATAGCGCCCTGATAAAGAATCACAAGTGCCCTCCAACGTATGAACTCAACCATTCCTCTCCTCCTGTTTGATTGTACCGTCTTCACACCTTCTCAACATTCACGGACCCTCTTTTCTCCATAACCTCGAATGCCTCGAGATCATTGATGTCGCCAATGATGGTTCCTCGTCGCTCATCAACGTAGCCAATCTTGCTTTCGCGGAAACCGTCCAACTCTCTCTTGCAGACCGTGTTCAAGTAGATAGGGAACACAAAGCTGACAAAGAACCCGACCAAGGGAACGCACATGGCCTTGTGATAGGACATGTGGTCGGCCGCGAGGCCAGTGAGCGCAGGAAACAAGGCACCACCCGAAACGCTGGCCACAATCCATGAGGACCCCCTCTTGGTGTGTCGCCCTAATCCACGGATGGAGAGAGTGAAGATGGTAGGGAAGATACAGGACTCGAAGAACAACACAAGGGAGAGGAAGGCCACACCGGCTTCTCCCGAGATACCAATCGCCAATGCAATGAAAACCATGATCATGGTCATGAACAGCATGAGAACCAGGCGGGGCTTGACGAACATGAACAATCCGGCTGCAGCAAACCGCCCAATCGCAAAGAGTGCTTGACCGATGGCATATCGGTCAGAAGCGCTGGCGCTCGAGAGTCCGGCCGATTCCTCGGCGTATCTGATGAATTGAGAGGCAACCGCAACCTGTGCGCCGACGTATGTAAACTGCGCGGCGACTCCGAAGAAGAGCTTGTATTGCTTCGAGAGGGGCTTTTCTTCGTATCCGGTCAAGTCAGAGCATTGCTCCGCCTGAAGAGCCATGTCGGCGTCCGTGACCTCTGGGAGAGGGCTGAAGAAGAAGACAACCGCTAGGCAGAAGACAAAGGCTGCGATGCCTACGTAGGTCCATTGGACGTGGGAGAGGTCGGTAGACTGCGTGTCCTTGAAGAAGACACGCGAAGCCAGAAGAGGGGCCACAACAGATCCGACAGCCTGGAACGACTGTGAGAGCTCAAGGCGGAACTCTGACAATCTCGGGGGTCCGCAAGTCGCGATGAATGGGTTGGCAGACGTTTCCAGCGTCGACAGCCCGGACCCTACGATGAACAAAGAGCCACAGAACCCGCCAAAGGATTTATAGACTGCCGAGGGCCAGAACATCAAGGCACCGACACCGTAGATGCACAGACCGGTGATAAAGGTCCAACGACTACAAATACAGGTTAGTATCGCTTGATGTTGTCACAACCACAAACCAACCCCCAAATGGAAGACTTACTAGCCAAATCGACGGACAATCCAGCCAGAATATGTCAGAGGCCCAATAAAATATGCTCCAAAGTAGGATCCCTGGAGGCCTCCTGCCTTCGCGGCTGTAATGTTGAGGGATGTTTGAAACTTGGCATTCAACACATCGAGCAGACCATATGCAAAGCCCCAGAGGAAAAAGAGCAATGTGACTAGGGTGATGGGAAAGATAGACTGTCGGACAGTAAGTGCCGAAGCACCCGTCAAGCCTTTGTTGGCCACACTCTTGCGCCGCTGTTGACCAGTAATCAAATCAGCGTTGGACGGCTGACGTTCGACTGAGTCGTGATCCATGGTGGTTCAAGAAAGTAATGTACTAGGCTTTGGTTCACGGCAGAGGAGAAGAGTCGAGTAACGTGGGCTGAAAGCGGTCCAGCGTAAAATAGATGGACAGTGCGAGGATTATATAGCTCGGAGGCGGGGAATGTGCTTGGGTGAAGCCAACAGCGAAGGGTCCCGTAAAGTCTGAAGAACGAAGAGTCTGGATCGAGGAACTTTGTTGGTGATCATGATGAATAGATCATTGCAGGGATGGCTGGCTGCCATATATACTCCCCGCGAGGGCCACGCCTGTCTCTAGCGGAGAGAATTGAACCTTCTCTCAAAGACCGCTGGTTCGGATACGTCTGATGAGTTTCAGTACCGGTCATGGTTCATTGTGAAGCAGAATTGTCGCGAACACTTGATAAGGTGAGTTTGGCCGACCGGACTCATGTCGCAACGCTTGACCTGTTCTAGCAAAGTTGTCTGCACGTTGCTCCCTCATGGCAACAAGTTGTGACCTGCCCCATACCAGATAAGTGGAGATCTTGACCATTGCTCGAACCAGACGAGTCTGCCCAGCTTGTCTCCTCAATATCAATTCGAGCGAGCTGCATTGATTGGTGGATGTGGCGGACACCCACAGAAGGCTACTCCCCGGAGCGGCGAAACTATTCCCCTGGATCAGGCATGCAGCTTCGGCCTTTCTCTAAGCTCGAGTTTCCCCGAAGCCCTGGCAATCTATACATCCCTTCTCTCGTGCTCAGTAGCGGCCTCTTGCCCCCCCAGCAGAGGCCCCTCCAGGGATCGTAGCGGCTGGCGAACAACTTGCCAATAAGAGACCGCAGAAGGCTTGGGACGGGCTCCGCTCCGGCAATGGCTGACCTGATGATGCAGCCTAGATTTCGAATTGTACTTGTCCGCATGCACCACCAACCAGTGCCGGAGAAAAACAGATCATACTTTTGAAATCCAAGACTTCTCTCGGTCAGAATCTGCAGGAGTAGACGTTGAGGTCTAGATCGTAAGGCGACAGCATACCTATAACGGCCACAACTTGTTCCGATCTGGCATAGTCTGATACATCACGACATTCGGCTATTGACGTCCACCCCAGCCTGGGTGAAGCTTCCTGTGACAAGCAAATGCGATGTGCCGAGTGTGCAGTTATAGGCGGTTGAGAAAGGGGATGATTTCGAAGCATCGCCCGATGGGTCCATCCCAGAGCCAAGAAAGCGCAGTGGTGCTTCGAAAAGGTTGAATTTTGCGGGGAATCACTATGATGAAAACCGCAAGGCGTGAGATATACAAACTCAAAACGTCGGCTTCTGACGAAATTCTGGTTCGCCCCCGATAGCCGAACGGTCATTGACTCCTGCGTTGTCGTTGTGTGTGCCGAGGGTTCGGAGATGCTGCATAGCACCGTCTCCAAATTCCTTGAAGATAGCAAGTCGTTTCTCTGAACTCGAACCAATCACGTCCACTGTTAGTGATTGAAGAGAAATGTGACGGTCTCCGGGAGTGCGCATTCTAAACGTGGTGGAGTGCTTGCATTGTTTCTTCGGAAGTTTTATATCTTGAGATATCGCTGGGACGTGTAAGGACGAGGACCAATTCGTCCTGGAGCGTGCAGCGTGCGCTTGAACGACTCCAACTATTGGCTTCGGGACAAGAAATGGGTTTCTCAGTGATATGAATGTTGCGGTCAAGTGGTTGCTGACTTTTCGATCTGGAATACACAAGCCAAGGTGTTGTCGTAAGGGTTGCTTATCCTTTTATCTTCTTGACCTTCTTTGGTCTAGAATCGTCATCTTCATCCACAGTCTTCCGCTTCGCCTTTTTCTGCACCAGATCTTCGCGCGGAGCAACAAATGCCTGTTCTCGCTGCCGCTGCCGCTCTTCCTTCTTTTGTTTCTGCTTTTCCTGCCGTTCTTGTTCTCGGGCCCTCTCTTTGGCCTGCTTGGCAAGGAAGTATTCACCACTTTCAATCTGCAAATCAACCTTGCTCTTCTCTTGAGGCGGCGGGAATGGCGTGTAAATTTTCTTGGACTTGTCAATAACCTTGTGAGGAACCCGTCTCTTGCTCAGAGTCTTCTTCTTGAAGTTTGGTAGAAACCTGTCCCAGCTTTCATTCTTCAGGGCAGGGTCTTTTGCTAATTCTCGCTTGATCATAAGTTCTTTGACATGGTAGATAGGGTGGATGTTGTTCATGCAGTCTTCTACGACCCTTCTCACTTCTTTTAGACCTTTATAGCCGCCCATCGCACTGACTGTGTTTCCCTGGACGAGGATGTAGGTGTTGGTGAGAAGTTCAAGAGCCTTCAGCGTGGAGCCGTTCGGTCCAAGGAGGCGCTGTCGGCGTTTGACGAATCGCTCCTTGTTCGAGACCAGATTTCTGATTTTAATGACATCGCAGGCCATATCATCTTGGAGGATCTTTATAGCCTAGAAAAACTGTCAGACATGAGGGAAGGCCTTTCCAACTCAGGACTCACCTGTGGAGCAGGTACGCTGCGGGCCAGGAGCTTGATGAGGTCTCGGGCATCGAGGATTGCGGCAGGGTCAAAAGTTTTTCTGGTGGTGCGCACTTCCATACGACCTTCAACCAGATCGAGTGTACACGCAATGCCTCTCTTTTCCAACGCTTTGGTCACCAACGGCCAGGCCTGCTTCAGGTAGAGTTCGCGATATTTCGGAAACAAGCACGCAAAGGACGATTCTTCTGCGAATGTGCCACCAAGATTATGTTCTGGCTTGAATTCTTCAATCTGCGCAAACGTTAGCGGAGGCAAGACAGATGGCAAAGAATGCTGACCTTCCACTTGTCTATATCGTCCGTGTCCCACGGCTTGTCCTTCTTATATGTTGAAGGCATAGCTACGTCTGTGCTGATTGCTCTGCGACCTTGTCCGCAAACGTTGTAAGGTAATCGATATCGAATCGGTCATGTCACTTTGAACATTTGGAGACTGCGGTTTTTTGGCAGCAGAATCTTGCCAAGCCGGTCGGAAGAATCCACGGGTGAGGCTCCGAAAATGGCCAAGGCTGATTGGCTCGTCAGCGACTTCCCACTACAACGAAATATTCTGCCCAAGGGTCAAATACGAATAATCTACGCACTTTTATCAGTGGTGGAAGGATGAGATGACTCTGCGGGATGATAAATTGTACTCAGTACCTATAGCTCTAGAGGTAGCAACTAAGTCATTCGCATTCTTTCCAACCTGGAGTATCTTCTGCTTGTGCCAAACTTCAAATTGTGTAACATCGGAGTCCGCCCAAATCCAGCCTGCGCCATTCCTGCCTTACCTTTCCCTAGGCCCCTTGTCGCTTGATATGTCCTAAAGTACCATCCCAGACCTCGACAGAATCAAAACCCGTGTTCGTCGTCATCTAACAGATGTGATTTACCACCCTCGTGCTTGTGTCCTGGCCCGCTTACACCTTCGGGAAGCAAAGGTGTCTAGCAGCTGATGGACGCGCAGGTACTCGGTCTTGGGGCAGAGATTGGCGCGATGTTCGCAACACCCTCATCTTCTGCGGTGCCCGACCAAAGGGTATCGAGGTCCGGAAGAACATGGCAGCATCGGAACTGGTTGATGGTCTGAAGTTGTGTCGCGACATTGTTTGAGTCGCCCGCGTTGGCCATGATGTTCCCTAGTGGAACTAGGACATTTTTCTCAAAGCCATTGAAGAGGTCGTTCGCTGCATCCTGTGCAGGTGTTCCTGCAACGTCTGATTCGCACGCAAGGATGTTGAGTTGGTTGGGTTCATTTTGGGCGGCGGTCAAGGCATTCGCAAGGTCCGCCATCAATGTGGTAGGGTCCAAAGATGCGGCCTGCTCCAGAAATCCATTGACCGTGACAACATCACTGTTCCACTGATTGATGGCGTTGGCAATAGCACTTGACCCAGGATCGGCTCCACAGCTGTTATCAGGGTTGTTGCGCTTTGCGAATCTGAGGTTTGAAGAAGCGGCGGCGGAGGCGCCGACAAGGGCGAGCAAAGATGCTGTAACGAATGACTTCATATTGAGTCTTGGTAAAGGCCAATACAATATGTCGGAATCCAACTAGAGGGTAGAAAGAAGAATTCAACGAGCGACTTGAGTTAAAAAGCGCGAAAATAAGGTCGATTTGACTGTAGAAAGTTGTTGTGAAGAGTTGTATGCTGGGGGGACATTTCCTACTCGGGGACCACCTACCTTGTATTTATGTTTCAATCCGTCACCATGAAGCTTGCTCGTGAGTACGTCGTTTGAGGGACATTTGGGCGGACGAAAGTGCCGTTTAGCGTGGGCGACGATGTTCTATGAGTAAGGATTCATTGCGGAAAGTAGATTCCTCACGCTGTGTGCAGCTAACAAACACTTGAGAGCGTTAGTGATGACAGGAATAGAATCCTCCGAGCCTCACGCGTGGAAATTGCCTCCACATGGTGGGGCTCATGGGGCCAAGAAGGCTTAGCAGTTGCTTAGTTTGATGAAGCTTTTGGGCTCGTCGGTAAGCACAATCTCGTTGGTGCCTGCGCTCGTACCTTCCTACGTGTATGTGCCGAGTACATGGCGAACCTAATGAACTCTAGAGTCCCAAAAAGGAAATGCACCCCAATCGAGTCCTATGAGCAGTCTACATCGGAGCTAGCCTAGGGTGCCCCTGTTGCCACTGGAAATACCTAGGGATATGGCCAAATCCTTCCCGGCCCAACCGGGGGCTCACGATCAAAGTATCTTCACAAAGGCGTTGACACGATTACTCCCTCCGCTGGGAGACAAGTCAATGCATATGGAAAGAGTAGACTGACAGGAACACGGCGCTTCATTGGGACCGCTGTCATTGGAAGGTCGTATAAGGCTAAATATGAGAAACTTTACATCCGGAAACACCGCACTAGCACAACTAGGTAACTCGGTCTCTGTGAAGGCCGAAACATGTCTTTATCGCCTCTTGAGATGATGCATGAATAATATACATTGTTGGTAGAAGAGAAGGGATTCGACATCGTAACCAACTCAATACCATCCTGTAATGGTATTAGATGCTCCTGGAGCCCGTCAATATGTCTCACAGTGTTTGTCGTGACCCTTTCCACTCCGTGCCCTCCTAGATGGCTCAAAGGCTGTTGTTCCTTCGTATACAGGTACATCGAGTCGAAAGATCACCGGTCTCGGAAAACCCGATCTATATATCTATGCATATATACCTTTTCCGTCCCTTTGCCATTTCAGATGCAATATGACATGTTTGTACCGAAGTTGAATGTTGAATGGCCGTAAGATGTTCCAGTCCGTCAGGGGAGAAGTGGTAGTTTTTTTCTTTGCGAGTCAACTCAGTCATCGTCGTCATCGTCTTTGCCATCTTTGCTCTTCCCTTTGCCCCCTTTTTCTTTTCTCTCCAAAGCTTCTTTCCACCGAGCGTTAATTTCCTTTGTGCTGACGTTGGGAAAGACGATGTCGAAGACCTCATCATACCAATCAACCGCATGACCATCAATGCCTTCTTTGATATTCTGTGGTTCGATCAATGTTAGCATGGCGTTCCCAGCAATGTGGTCGGGAAGAAACGCGGAAGAGAGAAACATACCTCTGGTAACTCGCACCAATCCCCCCAATTATCCTTTGGAAACAGAATCTTTGTACATCCAGCCCTCCTCGCAGCGACCGTCTTCTCTCTTAATCCGCCTATCCTAAGTACTTTACCTGTAACTGTCAACTCGCCTGTCATTGCTAAGGCGGGGTCGACTTCTTTGTCCATCGCTAGACTCAGCAGAGAAGTCGCCATCGTGATGCCTGCCGAAGGACCATCCTTCTGGACTGCGCCCTCGGGACAATGAAGATGTATTTTGGCGTGGTCGAAGAATGTATTCTCAGGGAATTTCGTCGCCATGACGTGCTTGGCAAACGAGTATGCAATCGAAGTCGACTCTTTCATAACTGGTTTGAGATTACCTGTCCGCTCCAGCCCGGGTCGACTGGAAGAAGAAAGAGCTGATTCGAGGATTGATTCGACGTATAATGCCGCGCCACCCATGCTTGTCCAGGCTAGACCCATGGCTACACCAGGTGGCGTGGTCTCGTATAGTCGGTCAGCAGTAAAGATAGGCGGGCCGACGTAATCTTTCAAGTTGTCCTTTGTGATCGTAATGTGGACAGAATCTGGAACCGTAAGTGCAATCCGGGGCTTTTCAGTCGTTTCTTGCTCGATCGTTTCCGGGGTGTCTTTGATATCTGACTCGTCCTTTTTGCTCTCTTCAAGGGCAGCTTTGCCCTCTTCCGTCAGGGCCTCTGCCTCGGGAAAGGCTTCTTCACCAAGGTCTTGAACAATCTTCAGTGCCGATTTGCGGTAAACTTTTTCGATTTGCTTTTTGAGATTGCGCACCCCAGATTCCCGGCAATACTTGTTAATAAGCTCTTCGATCGCGGACTCGTCCAAGTTGACGTCTACATCCTTTAATCCAGAAAGTTCTTTCGCCTGTGGCGCAAGGTATCGATCGGCAATCGCTTTCTTCTCGTCCGCGACATAGCCACTGAGTTCAATCAACTCCATTCGGTCGAGGAGGGGTCGGGGAATGGTATCGGTCATGTTAGCCGTACAAACGAAGAGAACTTTGGACAGATCGACTGGGATGTCCATGTAATGATCCAAGAAGCTAGAGTTTTGTTCGGGATCGAGAAGTTCGAGGAGCGCAGACGCCGGATCTCCCTGATGACCGCGACCGATTTTGTCCACTTCATCGATGAGAATCAAGGGGTTCTCGGTTTGGCATTTCTTGAGTGCTTGAATTATCCTTCCCGGCAACGCGCCAACATATGTCCGGCGGTGGCCTTTGATCTCGGCGACATCAGTCAGACCGCCCACACTGAAGCGATAGTACTGCCGGTTTAGCGCCCGAGCGATTGATTTGCCGATAGATGTCTTTCCAACACCAGGAGGCCCGACAAAGCATAAAATCTTCCCTTCCACCGTTCCGCGGAGCTTGCCGACCGCAATAAACTCGAGAATTCGGTCCTTGACATCCTTCAAGCCGTAGTGGTCTTCGTCTAGGACCGTCATGGCGTTTTGGATGCCAAAGTTTTCAGCACTTCTCTGGCCCCACGGAATCTGGGTAATCCAATCTAGGTAGTTCCTCGTCACATTAAATTCAGATGCCGCAGGCTCCAAATGTGCGAGTTTGTTGAGCTCTTCCTCAAAGACTTTTTTCACAGCTTCAGGCATAGCCAACTTTTGAGCCTTTTCCCGGAACTTTTCCACCAACTTGTCCTTGCCATCAGACTCGATCCCGAGCTCTCTTCGAATGCCCTTCATCTGTTCCATAAGCCAATACTCACGTTGACGTTTCTGTATCTTGCTCTCAACGTCTTTTGAGATTTTGGATTGTAGCTGTGCATTCATCAGCTCCTTCTTAAGTACGACAAGAGCCTTGTGCAGCCGTTGAGCAACATCCATTGTCTGCAGGACGTCCTGTAATTCTCCAATCTCACCGGCAGAAACTGCCGCTGCAAAGTCGGCTAGCTTGGCTGGCTCTTCAAGCACATTGCCCGCGGATTGTGAGACGCTGAAGTCGGAGATCTGATCTCGGAAGAGTTGGTTGAGGCTGGCGACTTCCTTGAATACACTGACAATCTCCGATGTTAGCGCCTTGATTTCACCGCTCTTCTTGTCAAAAGGTAGCTCTGTCATATTTTCCACGTTGACTAGTGAGACAGGAAATTTGCGTAAGAAAGCAGTGGGTTCGTAAACACTCAGTTGTGCAGGTTGGTCCTTGTTAGGTTCCTCGAAGCTTGCCACAACATCGCCCTTGTTGTCTGTGCCATCGGTCTTAGGTTTGGCTTCCTTGACAGTCTGCACTTCGACCACCGAAGCCCCGTCTCCCGTCGTTGATGGTGGCATCAAGGCAGTCATTCGAATTCTTCGGTGTGGGTATAGAACCGCAGTCAAGCTGTGTTCGTCACCGTGCACGGGAAACGCGCTGGTGATTTGAGCAAAGACGCCTACATCGTGGACGTCATCCATCTTCTCAATGATGTCTTTATCGGCAGCGTCGTCCTTGAAGAGGAATGCACCCACGTAGGGTTGTCCCCTCTTCATCATTTCTGTTATCGCAGCAACGACATTGGGATCTCTGATGGTGATCGCTTTGTAGAAACCCGGGAATAGAGGTCGCTTCGCGATGGGGATAGCCATGACCTGTGGGTAGGTCTCTGGAATGGTAGGTTTGGATATCTGTGTGCTCCGGCGCCCACGCCTGCTACCATCGCCCCCAGCACCGGAGCTCTGTCCAGTTCCTGTGCTTGAGTCATTACCGCTGCCTCCTGCAGCCGCCGGTCGGCCATCGCTCGCAGATTGAGGTATCGGCTGCGGCTCGGCGGGGGGTTTCTTGGCTTCAGCAGCATCTTCTGTCCGTGGTGCGTCATCCAGCTCATTCTCGACTTTCTTTTCCTTTGTCTCGGCCTCTTCTTTCTTGGGCAGCGCATCATCCTCTGGAGGCTTGTCTTTCCTGCGAGCAGGATGAGAGGTGAACTGGCGTATTTGTAATCCCCTCTGGGCGGCGATAGACAGGTAACTCGAGGGAGTCACAGTAGTCGCGGAGGTCGCTAATGAATTTTGCTGCAAAAGCTGTCGCCTGCAGTCTCTACAGATGTGGCGTGAACTGGCCCGGAGTGCGCTCCTCCATGGTAACGTTTGGCCGCGAAGCATGCTCTGTTAGGATCGGACAGCTTCTGCCCAAGTCGGAATGAAGGAGAATGCAGAGGTACAGGAGAGCGAGAAGGGATGGAGTAGCGGCCAAGTCAGATGCAGGCCACCAAGAACAACGAAGGAGGGGAGTTGAGGGGGAGGGCAAAAGTTGAAGCAGGCAATGGTGCATTGCGAATACTCTGCTTCGCATAATTGTCTTTGATATCATCGTATCGGCCATGCTTGGTTTGGAAACTCTGCCGAGCAAAAATGCCGAAAAGTGCCTGGAAGTTTCGAAGGAGGACCAGTCACATCAACTCCACGCATCTTAAAAAACCCATCCTGCGATACCTCGCGACTCGGCTTCGGCGGACTGCTCGACTCGATGCACTCAATTCGGTTTTGGTAACATATTCTGAAAACAATTCTCCATGAATCTCGCAGCAGGCCCAGCCGCATGGGCTGGAGCGACTCCGCTTCCTATGCGGACGATTCTAAGGACGGTTCAACGTCCTCGACAACGAAATAACTTTACTCGCAAAGCTCAAACAAGGAGATTCTACGATGCCACCGCTTTTAAAAGACCGTCAATACAAAGATCATCAATATGCTCACGACCGCCGTCGAGTCAAGTCCGACACTTCTCCGCAACCACGACTTTCCAGGCTATGAATGATCCTTATGCGACTTTGGGGGTTGGAAAGAATGCTACCGCATCTGAGATCAAGAAAGCATACTACGCTCTAGCAAAGAAATACCACCCAGATACGAACAAAGACCCTAACGCGAAGGAGAAATTCACGGATGCGCAGTCAGCATATGAGCTACTCAACGATCCTCAAAAGAAGGCTACATATGATCAATACGGTGCAGCGGCCTTTGATCAAGGGGCCGGCTTTCATCCCGGCGCGGGGAACCAGCATCCATTTTCCGGAGCTGCTGGAGCAAACCCTTTCTCCGGGTTTGGTGGAGGCTTTGGCGCGGAGTTCAACTTTGAGGATCTTTTTGGCGCGTTCACTGGCGGTCGCCGCGGGCGGAGGGCCGGAGGGCCTTTCCAGGAAGAAATTCTGGTGGGGGAGAATATCGAGGTACAAACAAACATATCCTTCATGGACGCTGCAAAGGGCGTGTCCAAAAACATCACCATCACACCTCTTGTACAATGCGGCACCTGTAAAGGCGACGGTATGAAACCGGGCTCGTCGAGGCAGCAATGCAAACGCTGTAATGGAACCGGTACAAGGATCCATGTCATGCAGGCCGGATTTCAGATGGCGTCTTCCTGCGATGCTTGCAGTGGGACTGGAGTTGTTATACCGAGAGGCTCCGAATGTAACACGTGCGCTGGTAATGGAGTGGTCCGCAAGAGAGAAACGGTGGAAGTCGATATCCCGGGTGGAGTGGAGGATGGAATGCGTCTACGAGTGGCCGGTGCCGGTGACTACCCTCCCACCGGAATGTCAGCAAATCCCAAAGCACGAACCCAGCGCGGGGATTTGTACGTCTTCATTCGGGTAGCGCCAGATGCCAGGTTCAGCCGCAACGGGGCCGATATCCTCCATACCGCCTCGATACCTTTGACGACAGCGCTACTTGGGGGGGAGGTGGTTGTGCCTACACTGGATGGAGAAGTCAAAGTGAGGGTTGCGACAGGAACATCAACAAATGACAGAATAACACTGCCCGGAATGGGTATGAAGAGACTTGGTGGACGCGGTGCTGGTTCTTCTGGCGACCTTAGGGTGGAGTTCAAAGTTCAGATGCCCAAATATCTGACGGCCAACCAGCGGACTATTATTGAGATGCTAGCTGACGAAATGGGCGACAAGACGGCGAAGAGGATCATGAACTTGGACAAGTACAAGCAGTGAGTGGATCGAAGACTTTAACGAGCAGGCCGTTGACTGATTCCCACAGGGAGCCTGCCAAAGACAGTAAAGCATCGAAACCGTCCAACAAGGCCGCTGATCACAAGAACGAAGGATTCCTCAAATCTACCTGGCATCGACTTACCCACCAGCACGATAATCTAGAGCCAGACAAGCCAGGTAAAGAGAAAGAAGCAGAAGCGCAAGACGAGGATGAGCCGAAGAAGGCATCCGGGTCCGGTTGATTTCGTTCGCATTGATCTTTGAATGCTACAATACCCATCTCCTGCCTTCTCACGATTCATAGCGACGGCGATAGACTTTGACCTCCAGCGAGGTTTTCCGACTTGCATATTGCTTGGGGTGGGACGTTTTTGAAAGAGTCTACGGTGCTGTATATGTGTGTGTGTACACTGGTGGTGTGTTCGATTAGCCTCAAAACTCCCATCTACTTGTACAATTACTGGTGCTGCCTGGAAACCCAAAAGCATGCCAAAAAGTTTTTGATATAGCAATGACCTTCTATGCGACCGTAAGAGTCGGCTAAACGTGATATAGCCCCCAGAGAGTACCTAATAAATCTCGTACAACGCGAATGAGACCAGTTCCTTACGAGGCTGCCTGACCGATACTGCCGAGTGGGTCTCAGACTCGCATCACTTGTTGCGGGACGTCGATCAATCAACTTCATCCGCATTGCCCTGCATGTGTCGTCGACATATCTCCAGAGTCGCCTCGCCTGGCCATCGCACCTGGACCGTCTGACCGTTCGAGACTGATTTATCTGATTGCAGTTGTGTCCTTCGATGCGTTAATTTATACCCTCCCACTACCCTCGTCCCTCTCTCCCCGAAACATACCCCCCACCACCGTCAAGATGGTGCAAGCGCCCATGATATCTTGCCCGCTCAAGACCACATCGGAGGTGAGCTGGGTCGAACCACTGTCCCAGTATATCCGCACGAGTTATGGAGACGACCCCAGCAAATATGTCGAAGAGATTGGAACGTTAAACAGGTTACGGCAAGACATGAGGGGCGCAGGCGCCGACTCGGCATCTGGAAGAGACTTGCTCTACAGATACTATGGACAACTAGAGCTGCTGGACCTCCGGTTCCCCATCGATGAAGCGCACATCAAGATTTCTTTTCAGTGGTTTGATGCCTTTACGCGCGCCGCCACATCGCAGTACTCATTGGCCTTTGAGAAGGCCTCTGTCATCTTCAACATAGCCGCTGTCTTGTCCTGTCATGCAACCGCCCAGAATCGGTCAGAGGACAAGGACCTCAAGACAGCCTATCACTCGTTCCAAGCATCTGCAGGCATGTTCACCTACATTAACGAGAACTTCCTCCATGCGCCGTCCACCGATTTAAATCGAGACACCATTAAAACCCTCATCAACATTGTTCTCGGCCAAGCGCAGGAAGTGTTTATGGAAAAACAAGTCCGTGACGGAAAGAAACCAGCACTCCTGGCCAAACTTGCTGCACAAGCGCAATTTCTGTACAGCCAGGCGAAGGAGGGTCTTGAATCCGATCATGCACGAGGGGTGTTTGAGTCTTCTTGGTTGAAGTTGATCCAGGTTAAAGCATTACACTTCTCTTCGCTGGCCGAGTACTATCAGGCTTTGGCAGAGGAGGAGACGAATCAACAGGGATCTGCGGTTGCGCGATTACAGCTGGCAGAGAAGTCAAGCAAGCAGGCCTACTCACTCGCAAAGGCCTTTCCTTCGTCACCGCCCTCTGCTTCAAATCTCGGGTCTGACACCGCTTCAACGCTACAGTCAATTACCCGGAGACAGATGGAGAGTGTACAAGAGAAGCTGGTAGCTTCAGTCAAAGACAATGATTTCATATACCACCAGACCGTTCCACCAGAAGCGTCCTTGGCCCCCGTCACAAAACTCCCGGCGGCAAAAGCCATCCCCCTCTCCGAGCTATATCAAGGTCAGGATATCCAAAGGATCATCGGGCCGGACATCTTTCAGAAAATTGTCCCCATGTCAGTCACAGAATCAGCAAGTATGTACGACGAAGAGAAGGCGAAGTTGATTCGATCCGAGGCGGAGAAGGTTGAACAAGCCAATGGAGAGATGGCTGCCAGTCTCGACTATCTCAAGCTGCCCAATAGTCTCAATGTCTTGAAGGGCGGGCTCGAACAAGAAATGGGTGTAGACAGGGAATTTGAACAGTGGTGTCAAGAACTGGCGAACCAGCAACCTTTTACAGCAGCTTTTGAACAATTGCAGAGAGACAAGCAGAGCGTGTTGGATAGTTTGGCTAAAAGCACGAAACAACTGGACATGGAGGAGAGCGTGTGCGAGAAGATGCGATCCAAGTATGGAGCCGATTGGACCCAGCAACCGAGTTCGAGGTTAACGTCGACACTGAGAGCGGATATCAAGAGCTACCGCGACACGGTGGATGAGGCTGGAAACAGTGACGCGCAACTTTTCTCGACAGCGCGGCAGTATGAAAGTGATTTTGAAGAGATGCGTAACGCAGGCGAACATGGCGAGGCCGACATTCTGTATCAACAGGCGTTGATTAAGGCTGGGTCTGGGACCAAACACAGAGCCAAAGACGCAGACGAAGGCACGCTTCTCGACGAGGACTACGGGGAGGGAGGTTTGTCCGTTGCAGACCAGATCGCCAAAGTGGAAGATCTTTTACGGAAACTCAATCTCGTGAAACGCGAACGGATGCAGGTCCTGAAAGATTTGAAGGAGAAAGTCCACACCGACGACATATCAAATGTGCTCATCCTGAACAAAAAGGCCATCGCGAACCAAGAGAACCAGTTGTTCCAAGCCGAGCTCGAGAAGTTCCGCTCTCACCAAAATCGGCTCATCTCAACCGTCCACAAACAGTCTTCGTTATTGAAAGAATTGACCAAGACATACGGTGATTTGCTGCAAGATAAGCGGGTGCGGTCAGACCAGCAGAGGTACGATGCCGTACAAAAGAGCAAGAACAGTGTTATGAGCAAGTATCGAAGAGTCTTCAATGCGCACGAGGACCTGATACAGGGACTTATGCGTGCACAAGGCTTCTACAGCGAGATGAAGGAAAGCGTCGACAGTCTAGAGAAGAACGTTGATTCCTTCGTCAGCAATCGCCGAGCTGAGGGAGCGCAACTGCTTCATCAAATCGAACAGGCCAAAAACAGTTCGGCGGATGGTCAGGCTGCTGCCGAGCAAAAGAGAATGCAAGAGTTGATGAACCGCTTGTCGATGGAACCCAAGGCGACGTCGCCCTCGCAATCAGACCCTCCTGCTCTTCCTCCTCTACCACCCATAACGGCTTCCAGATCGCCGGCACCAGTCTCACCAACACACCCTACCACAAACGCCGACCCGCGCTTTACGATCCCTCCCCGTCATTCGCCGGTCCCCGTTATACCCAATGGATATTCAAATCAATTCCAGCCTCCTTCGCAGCCGACGAACCCGTCGCCGATTGAATCTCAGCATGCCTTTGCTCAAGGGGCAGCAGCACCGCTTTCCTCTGGCTATAATCCCATGGCTTACCCTTCGAGGTCGGTTGCATCACCGAACCAGCAGCAGGCTTCCTATGGCTTCTCCCCAATCACTTCACCTCCGCCCGGTTCCATGAATACATATTTCCCACCAGCTGGCCAAAATCACCAACCATTGGCATTCACTTCCCCAAGCCACCAGTATTCTCAGTATGCCTTTCCCCTCCAACCAGGCGCGCCTCCGCCGGGTGCACCTTATCAAACTCCTTCGCCGCATCCACAGGGACCCCAATCCCAAGCACCTTACCAGCAACAACAGCCTTATCAACCCTCGCCGTCCCCATACAATATGCCCCAGAACTACGTCCCTCCCCCTCCGCCCCCTGGCCCTCCTGGCGGCGGCTCAACAACACAATACCCTCCTAACCCTTCTGGCGTTTGGGCCAGTGGACCGGGCGGGTACGCGAACTATACACATCCCGTCAGATATGGGCAACCGAATCAGCAGCAAGGCCAAAGTCAGGGCCAAGGGCAGACGCAGCAGGCACAAGTTGGGAGTGGGCAAAATGTCGGAGGACAGGAGCAGGATCCGTGGGCTGGATTAAGTGCATGGAAGTAGACGGGCTGATGAATTGGAATGCTGTAGACAAACATATGCTGGGGACACGAACATGACGGTTACAAGGGCTCGTCATGGGATAGAGCACGCAATCATGACAGAGACTGAACTTGAATGGAGATGTAAGATGTGGGCTACACAGCAGAATTCAGGCTCTGCGTTTTGCTAGACATGTAACGTCGATTGTGCAAATGCATATGGCATGAGAGGGAAAAGGTGAACCTTTCCCTGCCATACTAGCTACGAACCTGTCTTTCAGGCGGCGAGACCTACGAGTGCGAAGTTCATTCTTTGGAGATATTGTCCACTAGTGCGTGCGTCTGAGGCATTGTCATTTCTAAACGACAGAAAGGATAAGAAGAAAAGAGATAAAGGCGAAAGTAAGGAAGTCAATCGTGAAGAAAAAGAACAAGAAATGGTCACGGGCCCTTCGCAGGTAGCGGGTAGCTTCTCCTCCTCCAGCACCACCTGAGAGAGTCCTATCCCGACATGACATGATGTATTGGAAGTGAGTGAGGGGAGGCAAGGACTTTGGACTTTGGATCATGTGTGCGATCAACCTGTGTGAGTGATCCACTGGCACGACCGGGTAGCCCGACGACATTACTTACCTACCATCCACCAAATACTCCGTACGAGGTACATCAATATTGCATAATCGGCCCAGCCAGCCTTCTTGTGTGGGACCTTTGACTTTGTAGGGGAATCAATCGGTTGCCGCTCACGGGCGTGACGAGCTCAACTGACATCTTGTGTGATTGGGGATGCACGAGTACCTCTTGAGACAAAAATAAACACCCCCCGGGATGGGAAGGGCGAAGCAAACGAGATGTGGAAGGTGGCTTGAAGTGGCGCTGTGTCTTGTGTCTGTCACATCAAAACCACCAGCGTGGCCTGGCTGCTGCGGACATCCGATGTGCGAATGCGTAGCCAGGAAATGGTGATGGTGAGTGCCTCTGGCCCAAAAAAGGGTGGAGGAGGCGGCAAATATCCCTACGATCCCTGCAAGATCGTGTTCAGAAACAGAAACAGAAATATGAACAGAATATGGGAGGGTGGAAATCAGTGCTTTTACGAGGGGTCTCGTTTTGGCCTACTCGTACTCGTAGGGGGAGAGTGAGTCGGTCATTTGCTGTTGGTCCTGGTCCCAAGGGTTCGAAAAGGATGAGTTCTGAAGCGGGTTAGGTTGTCTGTCCAGTCCTGTTTGAAGTCCTGGACGGCGGGTGAGACAGTGACAGGGTCTCAAGTGCCCATTGCCCACACCCTGGGGGAGCAGCCAGGGAAATTCTTGAGCAGTGGGAAGTGGAAAAAATCTCCAGCGTGAGGCTGATCTGGTCTCCAAGCATCGCGAAAACAACGACGAGCGTAGCCCGACACACCTCCTCGTACCTACCGACAGGCATGTACCGAGTAGGTAGAACGCACATGTCTGCGTCCTCTCGTAAGAGTGGGACCCTTTGCATTTTTGTTTCCAGCCAATCTCAGGAAGCGGATATTGTGTCCAGGGAATGGAGCGAGCTCATGACACACCGACGTTCCTCAGCATACGAGGGGGAGAAGTGTACTTGGTTTGCACTGGTTTGCCCAGGGTTTGAGAAAGCGGAGTTGACCATGAATCACTGGAGAAATTGCATTCGGACTGTCCGTGGCGGTTGAAGTCTCGCATGCAGACGTACGAGTTCGCTCGTCGTCGTCCAAGTGCCGGGAAGCTGTCTCCGTTGGTGTCTTGATGCAGGTGGAGAGGATTGCCACCCGTCCCCGGCATCTTCAAAACGCCACTCGCTTGAATGGATAGAACTATTTCGTGATATCGTGCACCGGAACCACCATCCGTAGGGTACTTAGCAGGGTATATGGGGCCATGCGCAGTGCTTTTGCTTCACCGACAACTGTTTCACACCTCACTGGCCTTTTGGTTTGTTGCACGGAGAAGCCATGACGCAAGGGTGGAAAGCCATCAATCCCAACAGTTTCCCTCAATGTCGTATCTGTATGTCAAGAGTAGCAAGGTATTACGGTCGGGGTTGAAACTGTTCCGACTCGGGCAGCCGGAAGCAGATCCTCATGTCTGAAAAACCTGGGGTAATAGGGAGAGAAGTACCCCTTGGCCTATTCCTAATCAAGAACAAAGAGGCAAAGAGGAGCAGGAAGGATACACCATGTCGAGCTGACCGAGCCCAAGGATGTGCGCGGAAGTCCTTCCTACAAGCCTGCGAGATTTCAATCGAATGGATAGACCATGACGACAGAAGGCAGGGATCGGGGGACAAGTGTGGGTGATTGGAATCTGTAAAGGGTTATTGGATCCTCTTCCCCACAAGACTTTAAAATGGAAAAGTCCGAGCAGCTTGCTCCGAAGCCCTTGGGGTATAGTAACATATAATATGGGGAAAATTGTGTGCAGCGACTCGCTGACACAAATGCGGAGAGTGTGCAACTGACTGACTGAAGCGTCTGTAACCTTGTGAGTATTGGCGATCGCCGCACACCCTCTTTAGCACCGGAGGGGTGGGGAATCATGTCGAAATCAGAAAGCAGGGCGACTGTAGCATTTGGAGCCTGATGCGGACCCGCCACGATCAACGCATCCTTGCATCCTTTGACGTGGAAGAGGCTGCGCAAATGCACGTCCAGCAAGGAAAAGTGGCAGTCAGTCGTAGTCCACCCTCTGACACCTGCTTGCTGCTGACCAACAACTCAACAATCTTCGGGCGAATGGGGCCCCCGAAGAGGAGCCTGCAGACCAGGTATTCTAGATGTGAAGTTGCCGACGTGTCCAGGATCAGAGACTGTTTGTCGAATGTTTGCACTGTTGCCTCCACGCCATGTTTGTCATGGACTTGGCCGTGGACGCTCATAGGTGACGGATGCGCTGGAGGACTTTTCAGCTGCGGACGTGGGTCGTCATTGGCCTGGGTGGCTGGCCAGCTGGCTGTTGTCGACCACCTGAACAAGAACGCCATGTATTTCGATATCACAAATCTGAGCGAGACAACAAGGCATGTGCCTGTCATCACTGTGACAAGGCCACTGTCGATCTCCCCTCTCACCGCAAATCCCCCTTGACCTTTCCTGAAGTCTGCCTAGCGATGAGTAGCAAACAACTTGAAGCACAGCCCCGGTATTGGTGGTCCCCCTGAGAAGTCACTAATACGAGGTGCTGAGAGGCATGTGAGAGGCTGCGCCGAGGACTCAAAGCCCATGCCTTAGTCACGGCTACCCTCGTCTATGCCCTGTGCACGTCGGGTGATCGGCTTCTTATTGAGACAAGCAGTTCTTGTCCCCCGTAGTGACGGGCAAAACATGCGAACGTTATGGGCGTGACTAGGCACCTGCCACAAGCCTCGCCAATCCACGCAGCCCTTCGCAAGCCCCAACATGCAGGAAGGACTTGACATGTGGTGAAGTGGCGCGGGTTAGGCCTGCCTCCTAAGAGGGAATCTTCTGCTCCTTTCAATAACATGTTGTCAGCGCATGTGCAATCTGCAAGGATCGGGGTACGAAATGATTCCGTGGGAGTTTGGCTCAATGGGGTAATGTCAAGATAAGGAACGACTTCGTAGTCTGTCGGTTGACTTCGGCCAGCCAAATGCCCTCGAGGTACTGGTATTTCTCCCAGTAACAAGTGGTCGGCTCGGCTTACCCATTCCCATCAAGACAGAGCAAAAGGGGGAGGGGGCGGCAGATGTCAACCTTCCCCCAAAAAGGCCAAGGTGAAAAAGATAATCAGGCTCTTTGAAAACCCCCATTAGGGCCTGGAAACTCCCACTCAAGATACGAGCGCACTGGGTGGTGGGGCGTGGCGCCCGTGAAGCTTGCAGGAACACGAATGCCGCATTCTCCGCCATTTGCGGGCGATCGGTGCAGGAAGTTAGATTTGTGTGGGGGAGGACGACGACAAAATCGCGGAAAGCGCGGGCTATGTACCGAGTCGACACTGCGCCCGCCTCGTTCAACTCGTCCCTGGGCCGTCCCCAGTCACCGCGTGTCACAATCCCGAAACAATTTCCGACTCTTTTGCACATCTCTTACACGAGGACAGACCTTTTGCTAGTGGCGGGCGAAAAGAGTGCGGACAACACATGTACCTCGTCCGAAGGTATTCCTCCAGGGGAAAAGGAGGAGGAAGAGGATCTGCGCTGAGACATGTCAGAAGCGATGACAGGTGTCAACCACTGATGTCTTTTGTCTTGACCGCTGTGAGACATTGGTGTGTGGACAAATTCCGAATGCAGCCGCTGGCGGAAGACTGGCTTGCGCGAGGCGATTGGAGGTTGCAGAGTTGACGGAGAGTGAAGATATCTCATAGCATTCCGTAGGTAGTCGTTAGACTCGTAGCAAAGATGGGCTCAGGCTATGTTCCGGTCTCGGTATAGAGGGCTTCGCAGGCTCGATAGGCTGAATGGGTTTTCAAAACACCGTGTGTCTGACCATCTTCTCCACAGTTACGTCCATCTCATCTCGATCGACACTGTAAGCCTGGTCCAGTTGAAAATCGCCCGAGCATATACCCTCGGCTCGCTCTCTTCAAGCATCAGCACGGCAAGGTTTGGCTGGTGACATTGATTTTTTCTGGTCAGAAAGTCATTAGTCGTCGTTGCGTCAGTTGGACTGACTTGCGTGACCCTCGGGTTTCTGTCAGTCTACGAGTAGCGATGGAATGGATCGGCTGGTCGGAACCGGCAATACGGTAAATGTATTCCGCACCGAGCCAAGGTTGCAGTGGATGTGTAACTCGTCCGGTCCAGAACTGTTCGCCATCTCGCAAGATGCAAAGGCTAGATCGCACCTTGACCGACGCTGCCTCCGCATTCTTTTCGAGTCGCGAGTGACACAGGCTGGGGACTCCGCGATTGCCACCTCCCCGGCTTCGGGTTGCTTGTCTGGGGAGCAATCGAACCACGGGATCCCGTTCGGGTCCCAATGTTGGACAAGCCGCGAGAACCTCGTGTCGGCCTCCAAATTTCGTTGAGGGCAGGAATTTGGCCCGTGGCTCGGTCGCCTTCAGCTGGTCTGATCACGACTCACACGTCCGCATCAGCCCTGCATAGTGTGGGGGGAGAAACGTGCTCTTAGACAGGTTGTTGCGACGAGAACAGCCACAGGAGGGTGTCTCCGTCCCAATACTTTCTCAGGCAAAGCGAAGGTGCTGCTGAGTCTGGTGGTCCGCTCACTTGTTCTGCTCACTCATGACAGTTGTGCCATCCCCCACCACCAAGTCCCCCATTGATCATGTGTGTGAATCTGGATTCCTTCGAGTGTCAAGATCAGAGCCCTTTCTCGTCTCGCCCCCTTGACATACTGTTAGACTTCTACCTGAAATGAGTCCGGAGTTTGGAACAGCGTCCATGGCTGTGGTAATGAACAAGGCGCTAGGCTGCACCGTGACTCATCTGTCTAGAATTCCCGGACGACGCGGAGACGACTTTGTGGGGGGTTTGTCGGGTACTTCGTTCTAGAGGTTGTACCAGAGTAGTGAAATACTGGAGTTGCAAGGGTGCAATTTGAATGATTAGCTGAATGCATTATCAGATTCAGTCAGGCCTTGACCCGGGAGAGTCTCTTGGCTCATCCCTGGCGGCCTTGTTCGCAGAGCCCAAGTCCGGGAAGAAGGCCACACAACCACAGGCAAGTCGAACCAAATCAAGGGCTAGAAAATGTTTAGCATTCGTAAGGTTGAATTGGCTATCTCAAAATTACACATGTAAACAGGGGATTGGCTGCTCAAAACTCTAGGAGCGCACGTTTGCCAGGCTTGATACCCATCATACCATACATCCCTTCACCAATAAAACACCACTCTATTTGGGCGCATTCGTGCGGCGCAGTCCCCCCTTGGTTGTCCGTATCCGTCTATAACCTGCTCCTCGCTGTGATATCGTTCTCCAATTCATCCCCGTGTCCCTAGCACTGGGGCCGAGGGCTTCATTCCGTATAAATAGATAGTCACGACCACAACGCCCCTTACACAAAAGAAAAAGAAAATCCAGCCAAGGAAAGAGAAGCGAGCTGCTCATCAGCCAAATGAATTGAACACACCCGTCATCAAGTAGACCACAGCGGACTCCGTAGAACGCCCGTGTCTTTATAATCCGGTCACCTCGAGAAGTCGCCATTGATCGATGCTGCTGTACTCGATTCTCCTGAACTTAGACCGCTTGGTAGATGAAGCATCTCGGCCACACCTATCTTCGGGAGCTGCGGCACGGGTAGTTTTCGTTGCGCTCCAGTGACGATATCTGCTATCGATGGGCCCGAGTGTTGCGGAGGGGGGATGTGAGAGTAGGATCCATCAGCTTGCGGCTCCATGGGCGCCAGTAGAGGGGTGTGTCCAAGCGAGAGGTGGCGCAGTCCTGGGAGCTGTAGGTCACTGCCGTGAGGTCTCAGACGTGGCGAATGTCCTGGAGTGGCAAGCGGTGTATGGTCAGGAGTGGGCGATATCGACTCATGAGAGAAGGTGGGGGAAGAAGGGGCTGTTGAATGGGGCGAGCTTGGCCTCGAGCGCTTGACTCGGTGGTCGTCATCATGGGTTTCCTGGGAGTGTGATCTCGACATGGAGTGCGAGATGGCGTATGCCGATAGCGAGGGCAAACGTCCGTTGGTGTTGTGCGATCGATGGCTGAACAGATGGTGCTGATGCTGGTAGGGAACCCTCGTGACGTGCTCGTCTCGCTCCACTTGAGATGCCGCGGTCGCCAGGAGATTGATGTCCATCGAGTTCCGGTCGTCGCTACGACCAAAGAGTCCAAGATGAGATGACATCTGACCGCCGTGAGGGACTTGAACGGCAAAAGAATGAGGCGGGGAGACATTGGGGGAGCCAACAGCAGAAGTAGGGGCGGACCGAGGCATATTGTTCTTGCTAGGCGGCGGCATCATCTGAGCCTGTGAAGCGAAGTTTTGGTTGGAGCCATCCTGGAGGCCGGCGAGAGCGGCGGCGGCGGCGACTTGGTGAGTCTTCTGGTTTCTTCGCGAGTTGGGATTGTTGTGTATGCGCGAGTGTCGAGTCAACTCGTCGGATCGACTGAACCGCTTGCTGCAGCCGGGGAACTGGCAGGCGTGAGGCTTCTCTCCAGTGTGCGTACGGATATGTCGGGTTTGGTGCTCCAGGCGGTGGAAGGCTCTGTCGCAAAGAGGGCATTTGTAGGGTCGAGGAAGATCTTGTCTTTCTTCTGGATTGGGAGCCTGGGCACCCATGGCCGTCGGCATCAGGCTGACAGCGGCTGCCATGTTACCGTCGGGTTGTGTGGTGGTTGAGGGGTGGTTGGATTGAGGGTTCGTCGAGGTGGACTCGTGCACAGGTTGAGAAGAGGAAGGAGAGTCGGAGGAGGGAGAAGAAGGATTGAGGATGGCAGTAAAGTCTACTGCAGACGAAGAGCGTTGCATTCGAGCGAAGGGAGAGAGTGTTCCCCAGGAAGATGATCGCTTATCGTGGGGTGAATCATCCACTTAGTACTTTAGTTGAACCGAACCCGGCGTGACGCATGCACCAGAACCGTCGGGGCCCGGGGGTGTTCGAGAAAGGCGCAGATTGGAGTAGAAAGCGGATTGGGCGACAATTGAGCTGGTAGCGTGGGAGGGAGAATGAGTTGGAAAAGGGTGGTGTGGTTGGTGGTGAGGTCAGAGAAATGGTGTGGCCAGAGAATTGAATAGTTTCAGAGAGGGGGGTGGGAGGAAGTGGGAAAAAGAGGAGAAGAAACGAGGAGGCCCGGGGTGGACGGCGTTTTGTCAGGTATGCAGGAGTAGATTTGGGATGAGAGATGAGCCGGATCCGTGTGTTGGAGAAAAATAGGTTGCTTTAGGTAGTTGAGTAGGTGAAATGATGAGTTGAGCGTCAAGAAATGGCAATGAGGAAATTACCCGGCACTGCGGACGTGGAAAAACTGGAGACCGGGGGGAACAGGGGGTTGTATGACTGGGGGGCGGTTTGGAAGGTTTGTGCGTGCGTGTGTGTGTCTGAGAGAGGGAGATGAAAGATGATTTTTTTTCTCTCCCTGACAGAAGGATGCAGAAACAGGAAGAGACCAGCTGTGATGATTCCTGTGACTGTTTCCCACCCCCTTGATGAGTTATTACCGTCCTTAGGAATGTGGGAGGTAACGCTGGTACCAGTCGTGGTCGTGGTCGGTGGATGCAGCCTGTACGAGTCGTTCAAGTTTGCTTCGGTAGGGGTTGGCCCTGTGTGATGTGTGTGCGGGCGGTTGTATGTAACCGTGGGTGAGTTAAAAGTTGTGAGGCGGGCTTTGTAACTGTGGGACAAATAATGATGGGGGGAGGATGACCCTCTCGTTAAGGGCCAAAGGGCGGGTGGGCGAGGGACGAGAGGGCGAGAGGCCCAGGCAACAAGGCAAGGCACGGCACTTTGTTGGCCCTGGTGGTCCAGGTGGCCCAGGTGGCCCTTGAATCTGGAACTGTGATGAAAAAAAAAATGGGTTTGAAAAGACAAAAAATGGAGTGACGATGGTGGGTTCCCCGGGTCCTTTAGCGCCGATTTCTTATCAGGCCACGGCAATCACGCAGAGCCTTGAAAGGCCCCCAAAAAATGAGGAAAGGAAGGCCACGTCTCAGGAGAACAGCGCCCCCCCGGGGAGAGAGTCTGATAGCTGATAGGAGGGGATGAGAAGCCCGGCGAAGGTTGCTTTTTGTCTTTTCTTCGCATCGACCATCGACCTTGGGGCTATTATGGCATTATCTGGGTAGCTACTAGGTGCATCTCTTACTCTCACACAAGGTGCACACACAGAACTATGTTATGACATGGCATCCTTTTCTTCTCCCGTCATCCCTTGCTCTCCCCCCTCTCCCCCTTGACACCCTGGTTTGTCTTCTCCCTGAACATGGTCCAGGATGGGAAAGTAGGGATGATGCACTGGGCCTTATGCGATGATGATCCGGGGAAGGATGGCCGGATGAGCTGAAGCTGAAACTCGAGTAGCGAATGGACATGTTTTGGGGGCCTGGAATTCAACAGGCACCCCCCTTGCTCACTTCTTCGTGAAAGGATGGGAGGGGCCCGAGGGAGTCTCGGCGAACTGCGAAATGTGCGGCTTTTCGGAGTATCGGGCTGGGATGCGTTCCCCCGAAAAGACGGAGACAGCCAGAGATGTGCGTCTTCGGCATCATCGACCATCGACTTTTCTGGGGGAAAGCCTATATTCCGGCCACTAACCAATTTGTTCTTTTTCTACTTCTGGCATTTGTCCGTACGGGCGAGCTACAAGTACTCATAGGTACTGGCCCTCGCAGGGTATTTCCTGATGCAGAAGATACTTCTTGATCAGTGGTAACCCAAGAGATCCAGCGTAACTCTCCGTCTTGGGGAAAAATGATGGGGAAGCACACAAGTACCATCCCGCACGAGATTGGCGTTAGAGTGACAAGGGCGCATCCGAGGCACTCGGGAATCGGGTCGGTCTGACAGAGAGAATTAAGGACAGATTTCCACTCCACGAGAAAATCCCGGAAACTGTCGAAGGGATGGGGAGGGGAGATATCGGGATTGTTAGGCATGACACCCTGTCGTGATTGTCTACGTAACTAACTGTCCTCGTTCGGAATATTGTGTGCGAGCCCATACCCAAGATAGCACTCAGACGGGAGGTGATTGCCGGGCACCGCAATAGGTAGCAATACCACCCGGCTAATAATTATACTTCTCTACTTTGTAATAACAACAAGGAACTCGGTGTCTTGTCAAAGGTCTCGAAGTACAGTACTACCTTATTACTGCCCATTTCACATCTCTCGCCACAACGGGGTCGCCGTTGCAAGCGCACTGCGGACACTACACAAGAGTACAGTCATCACCAAGAAGCCGGAGAGCAAAAAGTCAATAGAGTTGGCGAACTGCTGACCGACACCGACACACCGACCGAAAGCGGACTATCAATGGAATGGCGCAATTTGAGCAGCCCTCGGCGATACATGTAGAGTATAACCTACTCGTACTCGGTACTGTCACGACCACCTCCTGCTCACTGGCTCTAAGGCCACTTCCGACAAGATGGTCTATGGAACGCGTCAGAAGGCCCCGGAAAGGGGGGGTTCTCCGACTCGCGGAGATCCTGCTATCAGCAATCATTAATTCTGGGGCAAACTGTGGCTGAATCGGAATGGACAGTGCCGCCTTTTCCCAAATACCAAGGTGGCGCTTCGCACAATAACCTCAGCTCCTCCAGAGTCCCAGGCACATGCAAAATCTCGGTTCCTCGTTCACTGGCCACTAGGCATTGCCGGTCAAGTAGGGTGGGAACTTGAACGACACCTGGTGGATTTCCCTTGACTGTCTCGGAGGCTTGGTGCTTTCGGGACATCTGGCGGGTCAACTTAGGGCTTTTGGTTATCGCCTTGGGGGGTTGCGGCGGAATTGAAGGGATGACTCGATGGACTTGTTGCAAGATCAGTGTCAAGCCTCAGTCTGACACGGAATTTGTGGCTGAATCTCGGCCTCATCGCCGACTGCTAATAACCCCTCCGATGTTTCTCCCTCTGGCCTTTGAAGCCGGCGAGCCGGATACCCGACTGGACTCGGTAAGTCAAAGCAGAGTTCAATTATTTGTTCAGAAAGGGAAATCCCACGGAGAATAATCAACGACCTTCGATCGCCTCTCCACATCGGTCAATAGGGCCGAAGCGTTGCTGAATAGAAGTCAGCGACACCATCGTCACTCCTGACAGCTGAACATGAGTCAAGATGCCGATTGCTACATCATTGCCCCCAGAAGACGACATTGGGCAAAGAAAATTACACAGTGGATTGTGCCATCCCATGCGTTTCCGGCTCCACAGTTTCCCAGGTACGAGGACAAAATACCAGGGACACCTAGATACCCCGTGCATGTCTGATTCGACAACATGGCTTCACCAATAAATGATGAAGGATGCACGCCAGGATGCCCCCAAAAAGCATGGGTGGGTTGAGGTAGCACGGCATATTCCCACTTCTCCACAAATCTCTTAAGTGTTGCCAACGATCGAGAAGCCAGAACGTAACCCAAGCCGAAATATTGTTTCTTTACGAGTAGTACATAGTCTGGTCAGCGACAATGGCACCTTGATTTTGGAGCTATGGGATACCGGTTCAGCCTGAGGTAACTCATCTCGAGACAAACCTGCATTGCTATCTTCGTCACTTACTGCAAAAATCGCGGTCCTTTCATGACTGGATAGATATCTGCGCAATCTGCTAGATAAGCCAGGTGAGTGGACCAACCATAACAATGAATATCACCGAGGTACCCAGATACAAAGTCCGATACCTGAGGGTCGGTTTTTCGTACGAGGTACTTGTCGTCATGCCGTCAAAAAAAGGCGAGCTTCACATGCCTACAAGAATGGCGATCCATGTGAAGATCACCAGCGAGAGGCCAATATTCCATCGGCGTACGAGCGATCTCGATGGTCCTCCTTGACTTCACGAAAGTTGGAAGCGGGGAGTGATGGAGCCCGTTATCGAGTTTGGACATCTCGTTGCTCTCTGCATCGCGTGCCATTCATATTCAACGGTGCAGAGTAATACATGGGGTGGTCTGACTGTGCTTGCCCTACTGCAACAGGAAAGCGAAGAGCACGACTCTTCCAGTACCGAGTACTGAGCTTGTTCTCCGGGCGCCGGAATTCAACTGTGGAGAGCTTTCACATCCTGGGGTCGATGGTCGACGAGCCCGACAGCCAACTCGAGCTGTGATGTCTTTTCTTGATCCCCACGACTTCGCGGTCCATTTGCTTGGTCTGGAGTCACCAGAGGATAAGTGCAAAAGTGACAGAATAAAGAGCAAGACCACATGTCTCTTCTATCCACCTGTGTCAGGCCAAGAACCAAATCCCCGGTTTTCTCTGCTGACGGTAGTGTGCAGCTACAAATCCCTCTGTCAGGGGCTCTAACCACACACATGCTTGCTTCGAGGTTGCGAACATGATCATTGACCATATGACGGAGCCATATAAGGCATCCCAATTTCCCTATGCACTGTTAGTTGGTGCAACGATTTCCAGCCGCCGGATGCGAGTATATCAGCTTCGGAGTGTGCCGCAAATGCATGCATTAACCAGCTGTTTATGCTATCCACCATGCATAGTTGTTCCTACATCCCATTCATCTCAATCAGGAGAGGTTACTGATACAAAAACTTAATGTCGAAGTACTGTCTCGATTCTTACGAACCTGGATACACCAACTCTTCGAGCGGAACGTCACATGTCAGGCTATGAGGTCTAGATCCGACTCGGACGATGCCTCTTCAGGGCCGCCGAGAATGGAGCAAGTCAGGTCTGGTTCCAATGAACATGGTCTGACCATAACACCCCGAACGTCTCGAGCGTTCTGACTCGGAAAAGAAATTCGGCCCAATGCAGTACCGAAGAAAAGATTAGGAAAAATTCCCTCGGTCTGCTTATGCCGGTGCGGTAGTTTTGATAGTCGGTATCTCTGCCTCGGAGTCCAGTTCCATGGAAACACTTGTCTGACCGGCTGGTGGGTGCGGCTCGTGGCGACTTTGCAAGGGTTCCAGCCCTGCATGGAAAGAGGAGCTCATTGCGTGTGATACAAGTAGGTCAGGAGGAACCATGTGCGATTTCGGAACTCAAGGAGGAGCGTCTAAGGATGGCAAAATTTTAGGGTTTGAAGAAATTTCTTACCTTTTTTCACATGTGGCGGTGTTTCTTCGGGCCAGCAAGAACTGCGAATCTGCCATGTGCTTCACTCCTGCCACCTGCGGATCCCAAGTTGACGTCAGCTATCGAGCCATTGCAAATCCTCATCCCCATGTGCTTGGTGTGTTTCGGATGAGCGTATCATTCTTCTAACTGGCGGATGGCTGAAGGAAAAAACACTCACGGCAGCAACGTATCGTGCTCAACAAATTCTCCCCAAAAGAAAAATTTCAAATCGGGACTGCCATCACAGCAGGGCCGCGACCCTGAACGAAGATACTCATGTCCACGTGGCGGGGAGCGGAGATCTCAACAGTTCAGTCTGGGAAGTTCTGAGTGTTTTTCTGTTTGGTCCTTTTCTATACACACCGACAGGGCATGGCTTCGGTCTTCTGCTCCCGACAAGCCTTTGCGCGAAAGTCTGCTCGAGCCTCTTGAGGACGCGACGCAAGGCGCGGCCTTATGAGGAATTATCACCCTTGACGTGGTTTGATGCGTTGGTCTACGAAGGTGAGCAGGGTTTTTTTTTCGAATCCTCCTCGGTTTCCAATCCTGAGCTCCCCTGAAGGAGCTTGTTTCTAGTGACAGACGCTTGGGACCTGTGTGAAGTCTATTATGATGAGAGTAACTCCATGCATTTGCAATGCAAAAAGGGCAAGAGAAACACCCAAACAAGAGAATTGGAAGCTGAGCTGTTTCGTTACTGGATTCGACCATGGACAACCCCAGGCGCTGCGTCCCACGCAGCTTCGACCAGCACTGCCGATGCCCCTTGACAACCGGTACATTAAATACGTGTATCTAGTACATTCTATTTGTGTCAAGCTACAGGTTCTGGAAACCTTGCATCAACTTCGCGATCAATCCCAACGACTCTAGAAAAAGACGCTCGGTAGATAGTATACCTATTCACCAGCGAAACAGTGTAAAGCAGAACACCGGTGCAGGTAGGTACATAGCAACCCTGACATTTGCCACTTCGACATCCCCCAGCTGCAATATAATGTCCATATGCAGGAACAGGCCTTGCGCTCAAAGGTTTTGGCAATCCCTCGCTCCCTCGTCCTCTGCAAGGCTCTCAGCGCCAAGAAGACGACGCGGAGGCGGGAGCTGCCGTTGGCGCTCGTGCCCAACTCACGTTTTGGGGGCAAACGGGCAGGGGATGCCCTATGACGTATCATTCCACCGTCTAATTCGCCTGCGCGCGTCCCTGAAAGCTCGGTTCATCTCGTATGAAGAGAAATGGTCAACGACTAACATGACCATTGCACTTTTTCTCGCAACACATTTAAATCCATGTAAGAGCACTTCCTAGTACATGTTCCGTCAGGGAACTTGCTATAGTTCCTGTCAGCCGCCCAGCCTTCTCATGGTGTGTCGAAATCTTTGTTGCTATAAACGATGCCACCTGCACGGGGACGAAATGTCGATGATTCGAGATCCGAGACCTCAAGCACCATTACGAATCTGAAAGACAGGTCCGCTCTAGGACCAACCAGTGGCTCAGGCGTTTCAAAGGGAAAGCGATTTGCCTCAGGACTCAACGTCCCCAACGCCGGGAGCAAAGCCGCGGTGAATGGAAACGGCACCACTGCTGCCCCTGCTTCAGCCGTACCAGCGGAAGGGGACAAAGACCCAAACCTCCCTCGGGTATGTCGTATTTAACAGAAACCCCTCAAGAGTGCTAGTTGAGTGTAGCTGACGATACCTTCATCTGCGAACAGACTGAATGGAAAACAATGTCCGTGCCCATTCTCCGCTCCTACCGCATTGCCCACCGTCTCCATGTCCCCGCGGCGTTTCACTACCCCCATGCCGATATCACCTATCAATCGTGCGAGGCTGCGCTGCGCGCTCCATCAGCGGTTCAGTACAGACGAAAACAGCACGACCAACAACTTCAGCGACGAAAACAACGCCTGTCGCAGCAAACAAACGGTAGCGGCAAAGACAATAAATCCAAGGAGAGAGACAAAGAAAAGGGCAAATCAAAAGAGATGGGCAACACAGACAAACGCTCAAGTACAACTCACTCCATGACACAACCGGGTGACCATCCTGAAGTCACCCCAAGTCAAAGCCAAGGCCATCGCACCACCCTATCTCCGTCGTCCCCTTCCTCCACCACGACGAACCTCGGTCCTCGTGAGCCACCCTCGCATCTCGCCAGCGCTGTGCGCAAACATTTCAACGCGCAACAACTAAGCGAGGCCGATACGATAGCCCGCTTTATCTACGTCGTGCAGCAGAACGGAAGGCAAGTGAGGACAGAAGGATCTGAAGGCGACGGGTCGGGGTATTGGATGGGTAGTCAAGGAAGGGCCGCGAGACGAAATGACGTCCCAGGTGGAGATGTCGGGTTCCGACTCAGGTTCAGACCATAACGGCTCTAGGAATTGCAATACACGGCGTGGGATTACGGACGATAGCGATGGTCTCTTAAGGGCATTGGACGGGCAGCATGGGATTATTGTGTATACTATACTCCTCGTGACGATACACTTTCTCGGGCAGGAGGGATAATGGTATGAAAAACAGGTGCAACGGGTGTTTCAGTCGGGGGGACCACGTTTGCGTATCGTGGTAAAGGTAGAACGTACGTGACTATCTACCTAACCGGGTAGGTAGGTAGGGATGCCAAATCTACCATACGAACGGGCAATTGCACAACCAGGCTATATAGGGAAACTTCACCAGAGACATCCTTCTTCCTCGTTAAGATGAAGCTCCATCATAAATGTGGTGTCTGCTCCCCTTCAAAGCCCTCGACCGACCTTTCCACTGAAGCTACATAGTCTCCAGTCTGTGGCAAGTGAGATAAGAGACATATGGCAAGGCAGGAGAAGAAGATGGAGGAAGAGGACCATACCCAGTCGAAGGAAAAGCGAAAGGTTGTTGGGCCTCTCCTCGGGGGGAGTCAATTTCACCGCAGATAAACATCCCGGGGGACCAGACCAGATCAGACCAGATCACTAACTGACCAAAAAAAGAAAAATGAACGAGTGTCCATCAGTCGACAATGCCGTGAGGCTGAGAGTTCTCAACAAAAACCCGTCAGTTCCAAAATGTAGCAGGTGGCAGGTGGCAGGTATGCGGCGGGGTTGGGTCTTTGTCTCCTTGACCGCTCTTTGCGTGATCAATCAGATATCTAGGTGCTGTAGATACCTACCTAGTATGTCATTTCGGCCAAGGAATGTGCTTTGGCCAGTCCAATGACAGGAACAAAGAGTATTTCCGGAGAAAGACGAGCAACGACGAAGTGGGCGAAGGGAAAGAAAAAGGGGGGAGCAAAAGTGAACGTGAAAATGAATGTTGAACCGTCGCTCGGAGTAGGTGGGAGTTCGAGCATACGGCACTCTGAGAGAGGGTGATGTTGACCTCGAGCAGTCGTCAATTGTGACGAGACGAGCATGTCGGGCATTTGAGGTGGAAGTTGGTTGGTCCTGGATTGGATTGAATTCAATCGTGCAAACGCTTTCCATTCACGATCAGACGAACCAATTTTCCCTTCCTTTCGCCCACAGTCAAAGCATTCTAAGAGCAGCCATCTCTGTAGAGAACTGATCAACGTTGGATAGACGACATCCGCTGTCCACGTTTCTCGAAGAAGTGTAAGCTGATCGGCTCCATAGCCAAATGTTCAAAGAACAAAAGCCATTGTGATCAGTATAAACCATAGCGGGCTCGCAAAAGGCGGTCATCCGGGGATGCAATTTGTGCTTATCGAGTCCCGTACCCTAGCTTAAAGTTTCTTTCCTTCATCTTAAGACAAGACATCCTGCACTACCGCAATCTGCGGCTGGTCCACTGATTGTGGCGGGAGCAGAACGATGCGATCTTGCTGAACTCGCGGACTTTTGTTGGACTCCTTGGACCCAAAAAATGCTCAGATTCAGGAGAAAAGGCATAAGCCAATAAAAGGACGAATCCTAAAGGAGGCTTCGGTGGAGCAGCGCTCCCAACCATTCCCCCTTCATCTTTCTGCAGGTCATGTAGACCTTGCAGACCGCTCTGATCACGGGGATCTGTTTCCCAGTGACTTCCCGGAGGACGATCTGCTCAGTAAGCTCTGAATAGCTTGCGCCAACCTGCTGGGACACATCAAGTAGTGTCAACTGATCAAAGAAAATGAACTCTTGAGGAGTTGACCGTCTTTAAACCATGGTCGAATAATGGCGTCTCTAGATGACTTGATGGAAGAACCGAATGCAAAATGGCTAAAGAGAGCTGACGACTCCTCGCCAGCAGAAATCGTCGCAATAGAGGTCCTTGCTGTCCTGAAGATGAACGATATTGACACACGGACTCTGGGATGGTGATTGGGTCCCATCGTCCTTCTTGGGTACTACACGTGAATGCTTAATCCCACTCTTCTGCCCACCTTGTTGACGTTTCGCTCCGAGCCACACAGCATATGATGATGACCCTGGTGATCGAGGAGTTGAAGCGGGTTGAGCCGGAGCATCAAGATCCATGGTCAGCCCACGTAGAAGGATGACAGCAACAAAGGCAATAGGCGGTGTGGTGCAAGGGTAGAAGCAACCCAAACTCTGACACAGATAAAATGCCACCAGAGTCCTGTGACCCCAATTTAGGATTTATAAGAATGTGGTCTTGGGAACCTGAAGGATAAGCGTCCCACGGATGATGGAAAGGTCATGCGGGAGGTCAGTCGATGTCGAAACATCCTTGAACAGGGGTGGCTTTGATCGCGTCGGCCACGTCAACGATGGGACCAGATGAAGGAAAACTCAAACGCTGAGTGCTTCATGGCAATGATGAGATCATGAGCTCCGATGTGATCTCCGATAGAGGTTGCTTTAACGAAGATGGCGAGAGGGGTTTGTGAGACAACACGTCAACCGAAACGGCGATATAGGAGCAACAAGCGCCAATTGAAATGCAAACCACCTGAAAAATTGCAGCCCAACGATGAGGCAACAAATTGGAGAAAAGAACATTGCAAGAAAATCTCTAAGTGGATGAATGCACAGTGTCGGATGCCTGCTGCAGAATGTGCAGTAGCGGCAGGATTGGAGGAGTCGAAGCCTTCCAAAAGATGCAGCTTTGGGCTTCTACCGCAGCTAGTGTGGCTGCTCCGTTGTTCCCAATCGTGCGTCCTCGGTGCGCCGTCTTAGTAGTCCATGCTCAACTGCACGCATCGTTTGCCGCCCTCCTTTTGTCCCCCCGACTGGGGGCTGCTTCAATGATCCAAAGGAGCTGTCTATCGGAGCAAACAGGAGAGCTTGAGGACGTCGAGAGTGGGTTGGGGCTGTGGAGCGGAGTCAGGATCGGTGAGGTATGAGAAGCCCAGTAGAGATTTGCATAATTCTGATGGAGGAAAGCGAGAAGAAACCACGAGCTGCGTTGAAAGATCACTGGAATTCAGTATAAGCTGGTGCAAGTAGGGCTGAAGACGGAAGGGAACATTTAAAATTCCGGGGTTGGCGGGGTACAAAGGCACCAAGGGACTCGGAGTCGTCACTATCAAAGGTGCTCGCTGGGTGTCTGCCTTGCAGCCCAAAGCAGCTCGCCTAGTCGCATTTCTCTTCCCGTGCGAAGAAATACGATTCCAGGCTTCCATGCATAAGTTCAATGCGAAGCAATTCGAGTCATTGATAGGCCTGCACCAGTGGTGGAATCGCAGCCTAAATGAGCCCACAAACCTACCATCCGAATTTGCGAAAGCAAAGACAACATGCATTCCCCGTACATGCTTGCACAGCTTGCAGGCGTAGCGCCCAGGCATCACGATGGGTTCCTCTACTCGAAGCGGCTCTAGTTAACGGTTAGGCCTTCGGGGGCACGGGCCAGCGGGCATCCAGGGAAGCTCCCGTCGCCTATAACTGTCGCCCTTCTGCCTAGGGGTGCCATTGGCTGCTTCGCCCTCATCCACGTCTTGTGTTGGCAGGTGTGTTGCGGCCGAACAACGGCCCTCTTTTCCCACTACAGTCACCAGCCCACCCAGAGTGCCAACGTGCCAGTCCACCAGCCCACCAACTTACCAGCCTACCAGCCCGCCCGTGCGCCCCCAAGCCCCGGAGCGAGCCTGAACACAATGTCCGACTATGGGAGGCTTGCGGCACACTGTACGAGGTACCCAGCATCCTCGCCGTTTGGCTAGTTAAGTGATGCCTCTCAACCCAGATACCGGCTGCTCAGTGTTGACAGCGGAGTCCAATCCACACCGAGTCCAACCTATCTACCGCCTGCGCTCGAGAAGAAAAGAAAGAGGGTGACTGAATCGAAAAAAAATAAGGAAACAGGGATAGAAAGCTTGCGAGGAAGCCTGGTAGCATTTCCTTTTCTTCTCTCCTGCTTCTTCCAACTCTTTTCTCTCGACTCCCTTATTCTGCCTTTTCACTCTGGCCTCATACTCAACCTCGAAAAACCTCCTGTCTCCTGCTTCATGCAGCTGCATCAGACCCAGCATCGGCTGGCATAGCCTACGCCTTGTGGCCTTGCTTAAGCGGTAAACCACCTTGAACCACGTTGAACCACTTTTCGAAACCCGCCATAAAGCCATCAAACCTGCTCGCAGCATCCTTGCCTCATCTCAATTACCATTCCACCTACTTCCTGTACTCCAGTACCCAGACGACAAGCGTGGGTCAGACAACAGGCCGTCCTGGCCAGTATTGGGATCCATTCGATATACTCGGTCGGCAGCTCAAGACCACTCACCTGCGCTGTGGTAGACCATATCCCGACTCTCCTCCTCCAGCCGTCCTTCAAATCATTTGACAAGTCCACATTGCACAGGGGCAATATTCCGTCGTCATTCTTCCTGAAACATTGAATCTCTTTGTAGCGCGGGCGGGCACACCGGGTGCGATATTTTCCCAAACACTCGGTGCTCTGGTGTCTCTTCACCGCCTCCCAAGCCACGCCCACCCACCTCCCGACTCTCCGAAGTCTCCCAGCTCTCCCACCCTGGTCGATGGCCCATCACCAATAACATCCATCGATTTTCCGAATTCCCACCAAAACCTCTTCCATCTCTTCTGTACCACCGTCAGACATCACACATAACGCGACGACACATAACACCCTTTGCACAACTTCAATGTTCGATTCCTGTTGGCCTAGTCCTCTCTGCTGCTGTACTGCCCGACTCGGCGGAGGCTGCTGATTCGATTGTTGGAGGACCGTTGTGCCCCTCATTCGTATCAGAGTCCTACTGGAAGGCAACCTCCGCCAGAATGGGCATTCGACCAAGCCATGCTGAACACAATCCGCTGAGACAAATCGACTCTGAGCCGCATCGCCACCATCCCAGACACTCGCTTAGGTTCGGCATGTGGCAGAAGATCCAGCATTTCTTTGCCAAAGATGACGCCACCCAAAGCCCGATCGAGTGCTCCGACGATGAGCAATGGCCTCA